CAATTCTGTTTTTTTAATATATCAATATATTGGTTCTGGTTTAATATGTACAAAGAATTTAAGCTCTTTTGATTAATTAGTTGTCTTTCTTCAAGCATTGCTTTTTTGAATACACACACACACACACACACACACATTTATTTAATTTGTTGTGTTTACAGGATGCAAGTCTTTTAATTGATTGCAATTATGTTTGATTCCAAGCTTCGAGCATGTTTCAGTAATATGTTTGTCCTTTGTTTAATAGTTAGATATTAATCTGGCAAAGCAATTAAATTTGTTGTACATGGACAAATATTTACGACAAATCATATGTGTCCAAATTAATTGCTTTAGCCTGCCATAAATCCAAGATCAAAATATACAAGTCACTTGTTGATGTTGTAATCAGATTATGCAAAGCTTAAGTGGCAAATTAGTTACAGTTGCTAAAATGGTTTGAGAATAATCAAATATTATGTTAGCTACTTCAACAACTTTTTAGATGTTTAAACTCTTTCGGCTTAGTTTATTTAGCTTGTTTTTAAACTAACCCAAGCGAATTCTTTTGCAGCAGCCGCAGCATATTCTATTATCAAATATAACTAAAATGTTTGAAACAACACTTCTATAAATGTTTTATGTATTTCGAATGAAATTGCGGTTAGTTGCCTCTCCGCTTTTTACTTTACGCAAAAGCTAACCAAATACCAAAGGAACTGTGCAGAGCTCAACTTTGGATAATATTACTATATTAATATTGTTGTTATTATGTGTGCATGCTAATCGGAGCTGTGAGCAGCCATCTGAATCCAATTAAATCGCTTCAGTTTTCCATGAAGCTTCCGTTTCTGTCAATTTTTGCGAATTGCGTCGAATCATATTAGTTTTCACAAATCCAAAATTTTGTTAGTTTTAGCGGGGTAAACAACTGGCGTCGGTAAGCGCCAAATTAATTCGCGATATTTAATTAAAATCGAGCCTAATTTAGTTAAGTGCATGTGGTGAAATTATGCGGCATACTTAAGGGCTTAACAGCCCCCAACCTATGTGGGCGGTATGGCCTGGTAAACATTGCGTGCTATGCGGCTTATAAGCAAATCAAATTGCTCAAATTGTTTTTAGAGTTTCGCTCTGGGGTGCCGTGCGTAGCCAACAAAGTGCATTGGCCTCCTAAATGGGAGTCTCTTGTCGACAGCGCAACAGGCAGGCGACTAAATGGGCATTGACCTCAAGCATTTTCATCTAACCAATTTGCTTATCGTGCATCTAAAAGGTTATTGCTTGAAAAATGCTGATCAATATTCGTGGGCAATTTAGTTTTGCTTATCAGCTTACGTCAAAAATACAGTTGTCTAAGGACCTACATTATTGTAACGCGCTTAGATGCTGTCCGATTTGCTGCGCAAGACTCTCCTCAAGGATGCTGTGCCCATAACATTGCTCTACTCTGGGCTCAGTGTCGGAACCGCAGAGGTCTGGTCTTCTGAGAGTTTCAGCAATCGCATTGACTATGGTATGAGCGATACGATACATGCAGAGACATGCAGCATCTTTTCACGCATTGAAGAAGAGATGGCCACTATGGATCCACTCTTCTTTTTAACCATTAAGTGTGAACAGGAGGAGTACGAGCAAGGAGAAGAGGTAGAGCAAGCGAATGAGTTTACGTAAGAAATAATCACTAAAGTTAATCACTCAGCATTGACTCTGATTAAACTTACGCAGAACACCTAGCAGGAGCTGCGCCAACTTGGGCAAGGTCATTAATCCGACTGACATTATGGTCGTAGTGGGTGCTCCACAGCCCTATCCCATTCCGTCGTTGAGTGAACTAATGCCGGAAGAGGGTGATGAGCGGTTTCGATTGGATTTAGATCACTATCGCAGCAATAACCAGCGTATTGTCGAGCCACCAAAGGAGATTGGTGGAGTCGACGCGAGCTGTCAGTTAAAGGTGCTGACAAAGCATTGCGAAGCTTTTATCGACGTGGTTATTAAACAGGTCTCTCGCTTAACTTCACCGATGCCAGATGAGCAGCCACTATTCACGCATGGCCAACGGAACATATACAAGCATAAAATTGTTGAGAACACGGTTCCTGTTCCTGTTCGTGACATGAAGATGATGTCCATGAACCTGAGAAAAATCTTTCTGCCTATGAAGTCATTCAACAGTACATCAAAAGCGGTCAAAAAACCGAAAGCGGAGTTTCTAATGAGACAATAACAAAGAAGTCGAAGTAGTCTCCCTGTACTTGCACGTGGTACAAGATATGCGCTCATTGTCGCGTTCGCCAAACTTGTGCGGTCATCTTTATGCCACCCGCTTGGCACCAAAAAGTTGAGCCTACTGATCATGCATCATACTCAAGCCAGACGGAAAAATCGTCCACAAAATGTCGTCCTTATCTTGAACGGGTATTTTCCGAATTGCAGGTTCTCTACGATACAAATGCCGCAAAGAAGTTGAGACATTCAAATAACCTCTGCAAGCGGCCTCTTTTCAAAGGGCGTCCATCATTGTTATTAAAAATGTAAACGTAAATTTATGTAATTGACTGAAGAAAGCATCTTCCATAGCGTAAAGTATACAGTGTCTCGCAGTTCAACTGGAACAGCGCCTAGCAAAATATTTAAAGTGCTATAACTTTTAAACAAAACAATAAACGCAAAATGTTTAAATGCCAATTTGTTTTATGTTATATCACGTTTGAAAAGGAAGCTTCAGTTTTTATTAAAATATTAAATAATTAACTGAAATTTGTCAAAAACTGAAAACATATCCAAAATACATGTCAAAGTTTTTTTGGAACAGTTTTAGAAAAGTAACATATTAGGCGTATAAAAACTTAAATAAGGATGTTAATACTTAGTATGATATCCTTTACCCCTAATAAAGTCCCTTAACCTATTATTCATGGAAGATACCAGCTTCCGGGTCGTTTCTGGACTGATTTTGCTCCACTCATCCAGCAGAGCATTCTTGAGATCGGATCTGTGATTCCGGATGTTATTTTCGAGCAGAGCCCACAAATTTTAAATAACATTTAAATCTGGAGACTGGGCCTGTGGAATTATCATGTGGAGGCAGTTCCAGATATGCCAAGACCGTACTAATCCGGACTTATTCTTGGTTGTTGTCCTGGTCGTTGTCGTGGTAGATCTGGAAAGTACTCCGGATTCCTAGCTTCTCGGCACTTTGGAGTAAATTTTCCTTTAATATATTGAAATACACACTCTTTTCCATTGTTGTTTCAAAAAACACCAAATTTCCGACGCCGGCTTCCGAGATAGATGCCCATACCATGACACTTCCTCCGTCGTGCTTGACTGTTGCCTTTAGGATTTTGGGACTCAGCTCAGTATTGGGCTGTCGCCACACATAATTCCGTCCGTCCGAGCCAAAAATGTTGAATTTGGACTCATCTGCAAATATGACTGTGTCCCAGAACTCCAAATCCTTGTCCAAGTGGGTTTTGGCGAACGTCATCCTAGTCCCTTTATTTTTTGCGCTTATAAAGGGCTTCTTCCGTGGTACTCGGGCATTAAAGTCATGATTGCGCAGAACCCGACGCACAGTTTCCACACTGCACTTTTTCCCCATTTCATCCTGCACCTGTTGAGTCAGTTTTGGAGCCGATAGCTTGGGATTTTCCCTTATTTTCCTGATGATCCTCCGCTCCTCCTGTTCGGTGAAAATCTTGTTTGGTGCATTTCTGACCTTGTCCTGTATCCGATTTTCGTCGACGAAGCGCCGAATGATATTGAATACAGTTGTGGTACTCAGATTTACCATTTTAGCTATTTGGCGATATGAATATCCAATCCTGAAGTGTTCCAGGATCAGTTTCCGTTGTTCAATGGTAGTCCGCTTGCCCATAGTCCTTGTTGGCTGGTTGCACTCGAGATGCAGGATATAACTAATCTGACTACGAAGGATTGGTCTATTTATACCAAAAATAATCAACCTGACGTAAAAAATCATGGTTTTATGGCACCCAGGTGTCCATAACGCCCATGTTCCAAATAATATGTGACCACAAATTAAGGTACTTTTTTACATAACCCGGCCTAGCCGGTGGGAAAACCCCAGTTTATGGGGGTCATATAGTCATTTAGGTAGTCAATATATGTACCTGCCATCGGTCTTTGGAATTTTTGAAAAATATTGAATAATTTGTTTATGGCAGGCAATTAACTTTTTTGCTAGGCGCTGTTCCAGTTGAACTGCGAGACACTGTATATATTCTAAATCAGCATCAATGACCGTTCAAGTCAAACGGGGACAAGCGACAGTAACACCAAATAGTCATGTATCTCAAATACCTTTCGCAAGCTACCTATAAAATTGAGAGACTTTCCATTTTTCCTCCTTCAAGGGTATATGAATTCATATTGAGCAAACAACTCAGCAGCAAGCGCCACGGGCAATCAGTTTCTCTATGTTTGTGTCTAAATATAAATAGATACAAAGTGTATTTAATTTTAGGTATTACATTGCTATCGTGTTAGATTCGTGTGCCATTAATTTGGCTTACCTTATTGCAAGCAAAGCTAATAAATTGGTGTTAATATAAGTTTTTGTATGAACACGCAATTGACTTAGTTTTCCACAGAGACCCAGTATTTCAGGGTCACCAATAGTTGTGCTGACCGAAGAGTCCTTATAACTTTCTTGCAACTTTTGTTTTGAAAGCTATTGAAGTTAATGGTGTATAAAACTTAGGATTATTTTATATATCCGGCACTATTCAGTTAATATTTGAAAGCAAAAGAATGACTGTAATTAGTGCATAATTCATTTGTTTTTGTAACTTACTATAAAAACGATTTTTTTTTTAAGATTACGTATTTAACATCGGTCATTTGCTGTGCAATTAAATTTTAAAGAAATTAAATTAATGTTATTTTAAAGTAAATACATTGGGTAGACTTTCCAGCAAACTTGGATGATGAACAAAGATATATTTATGTACCTATACAAAACTTGCAATTATATGTATTTTTTCAATTATATATTTTGTTTCAATAACAATTTATTTATTCATTTGATTCGAGAACAGTCATCAACAATTAATGATAATATTTTGTATTTATCTCAATGTAATGAAATCCAATTATTGTCGTCAACAATTAACCAGCTTTGAGGCAGAAGTTTCACACTGAACAGTTCCCGTAAGGGATTTACCGTTTAATGATCATATGGCGCTATTGCTGAGCAAATTGATGACGGCAACTAAATGGTGCTGTATCATTTCATTAAGATGCCTTTGCCTTTGATGATTTGCTGCGCTTAGACGACGTTGGCGCCTGGTGCTCAGTGTCAGCTGCAGGCTCGCTCCGCTTCGAAGATGAGGCTGGGGATGTTGCTGATGGCGACGGCGACGCCGATGTCGATGTCGATGGCGACTGTGAAGTACGCTTACGCTTGTTGCCCTTGCCAGAAAGCTCGTTAAGGATCTCCACTATTTGCTGGTATATATCATCGACGTCGGGAAACTTCTGTGCACGCGGCGTGCGTTTTAGACCGGACCAAAGCGGACGCTGCTCGCTGGCAACTGCTGTGGGGTTGGGGGCAAAGGACAACTCAAATGCGCCACGCCGAGGGGCACCATGGGCGTTGAGCTGCAGTTGGAGCTGGAATTGCTGGCCTGCATTCTGAATTCGAGTTTGCAGAGCAGCATGCAGCTCTTCAGCGCGCCGACGAAAGACGCGTCAGGAGCGACAGTGCTCGATATAGAGCACCGGATTAGTAGGATCCAAAGCCTTCGACTCCTCGTCATTTGCCGGTAACTGCCCAGAAAGGAATGCATTTTTTGTCAAATTGTAGCTCAGGGCAAAAATATTACTACTTACTGGCCGGGGCGCCGCTTTTTTTACACGCTTTGGCGGCATGTTTGCTTACACGACTGGAATTGCGTTCTGGAGAACAATGCGCGCTAAGATTATGAAGTGTATCGATATATCGATATTCATAATCGAAGTTGAATAGACAAATTTAATTACTGGCACGACAGGCAATCGACAGTGAGTATCGATTGCTAGCTTAGTCAACTGGCACAAAGTCAATATCAATATCGATCATTCAGCATCTCATCGCTATTTACTTTAAGTGTTATATTTAAGTGCGTTGAAGACAAACAATTTTCAAGGGAAATAACTGGACTTGATTTAAGTACTGTCATCAATTTAATTCCAAGCTATAAAGTATGTTTATTGTATCCCATAAAAAGATCAAGCTTAGCAATATAACTTTCCACCTTCGCAATTTGAGGCCATCATTAAATAAGCATCAATCACCAACAGCATCATCAATCAACTGATAGCAATGGACAAGCCAGAATCAAACTCGAAATCCACTAATCCAACAGCCTCATTGTCAGAGCTGGTTCCAGGCACAACGTGGAGGTATCCAACAAAGTAGAGGATGCGGATATTTTCGACCAGCTGTTGCTGTTTACTCGAAGAATCAAGCGAATTACCCTGTCGTCGTTTACTTCTCGACTGCATTGCTGTATCTGGCGCTGCTCGAGGTATTCGCATCGTTGCACATGCCAAATGGACAACACACCAGCTAGAACATAGCTAATGAGACAACATGTGGAAAACTACCCGAAATCTGCATCTGCTGCCCAAAGCAGTATGGATAGTGACAGCAACACTGCCTACTGCAAACTGAAGTCCAAGCAGCCCACGCGAACATAACCACGCATATGGCAAGGAGCACAATTCAACTGGCTTCGACAAAGCTAGTCCACGTAGCTAGTACAAACTTCCTAAAATGTTTGCACCTTAAGCGAATATTATGAAAAGACCATTTTATGTTATTCATTTGTATAAACTCAATAGAGTCAATAGTCTACACCAGATCTTTGTATATCTCCTATACTTTCCGCAAGATACCTTCAAATTGGAAGACTTGCCTTTTTGCATCTATTTAACAAACAACTTGGCCACAACCGGCGCGGGAAATCAGTTTCTGTTTACTTATGCATAAACACAAATAGGTGCAAAGTGTGATTAATTTTGAGTCTTAATTTGCCATTATTTAGGCTTATCTTATTGCAAGTAGTGTTAGTAAATTGGTGTTGTTATGAGTTTTTGTATGGACACGCAATAGGCTTAGTTTTCCACAGAACCCCAGTATTTCAGAGCTATCAATATTTCTGTTGCCAAAAAGTTCTCTTAACTTTTTTCTTCGTTTGCCTTGAAGGCAGGCCAAAGTATTTACTCGTGCTTATGAAGTTGGGATGATTATTGATTATGTATCCTATTTTCGGGCTTCGTTTTTGTCAAGTGCAGCAGGTAAGCAGTTCGCGACGGTAAAAGCGTGAAATTAATGCGCGAAATTTAATTAATCTTCAGCTTAATTTAGTTAAGTGCATGAGCTGAAATGATGAGGCATATTTAAAGGCTCTTGAGCAGCCAACAAAAGGGGGCATGGTCTGGCAACGTGCTAAGCTGCTTATCAGCAAATCAACGACTGCTCTTGCGATGAATGAAACGTGTTAAAATTGGTTTTTGTGCTTTCGCTTGCAATGGGTTGTAGTGGTCTCGAGCGATTTGCGTAGACGACAAAGTGCATTGCACTCAGCGTCGTCAGCGCAACAGGCAGGCAGACTAAATGAGCAATGCCCTAAGGAATGTCAAAGAATTCAGCGCAATTAAGGGTATTTTGGCAAAGTTCTTGTGGGTAACTTTGGGTCGTCTGCTTGTAAATCAGCAATTATATTAAAGGGCCAATGTAGTTGATATCCAACAACCATCTTGCTAAAACCAACCATTTATTAATAATGTTCAAATTTGTTTATTAAAATGTTGCTAAGTGTCTTTTATTTTCATATAAGTATACGATAGAAATTTTTGTCATTTAATATTTTACTTCATCAACATCAAATTTGTTTTTATTTCATTTCTATTTTGATTGTATTTTTTAAAAAAAATTTATAATGTCGACAATTGAACCCATTTCGCGGTTGAACTTTATTTTCGACATTATTGTAACTCGATTGCAGTTTATCAAAGATAAAATCGATGACCCAGCGGATCTTCTGATCAACTTGAAGTTTAACAGTATTGGGGTTAGCATTACGTCTAGCCGCATTAATGTGGGCGATTTCCGGGCTGGACGCTGCACTGAATTCGTTTCAGATCCGAGTGCGTTGCGCACAAATCTCGAGAGAAACGGTATGCCCATAACGGTACGCAACAAGGGGATGACTTTGGGAACTGCTCTGGTCGCATTGCCTCAGAGCTTCATAGATCGCATTGAGGTTGGGATGAGTGATCTAGTATTCGAACATAAATGTAGCATCATACGACGCGACGCTGAGGTGGGTACTTTGGAATTCCTTTGCACTCTAATCATTAAGTGCGATGAGCAACCACAGCAGACGGTGTAAGTTAGCCTCACAAATTGATTATGCATTGCTCCAGCTGTTTATTGACGGTTCATGGCTTCCCACAGCACATGTAACAGTGCCTGTGAGAATTTGGCCAAAGCCTTCAATCCGACTGACATTATGTTCGTAGTGGGTGCTCCACAGCCCTGTCCCTTGCCATGTGAGCCGTGTTTGGATGAATTGGAGCCAGAAGAGGGAGACGAACGCCTCCAATTGGATTTGGATCGCTATCGCAGAAGGAGCCAGCGTGTTACCACACCTCCTGAGAAGATATGTGGAATGGAGGCGTGCTGCCAGTTAAAGACAATGACAAAACAATATGAGGAATGCATAGAATCGGTTATTGAAAAGGTGTCTCACTTGCCTTCACCGATGCCAAATGGTGATCTTTGTTTTACAGACTGGAGTGGCAAACAGAAAACGTTCAAGCATAAAGCTACAGATCACACAATACCTGTTCCTGTTAAGGACATGGAGGAAGAGATGGGTATAAAGCCAATTCGCTTCTGTCCTATTTGTCTGACTCCAATGAGCTGGCTTCCAAAATATACACCCTGTCCCAAATGCTGCGCCGTGCCCATTCCCCAGATAGAAGCTGAGGAGAAACCCACTGCAGCCCAAATAATACGAGAGTATCTCAAATTGCCCTCGAATTCAGACGAAGACTTTTGCCACGATCCCTGTGATGAGGCAAAGAAAATGAAAAAAAAGGAAAAGGAATTCCAAAATTCACGTCGCTGTTCTTGCACAATTGACAAATGTTGTACTCATTGCCGTGTTCGTAGTCTCTGCTCGGGCACTTTTGGTCCAGCACATGAGACTAGCACTCCAGATTCAGATGAAAACTTCTACGTGGAGAGCAAAGATCGTCGCCCATGTTTGGAATTGGTATTCTCTGAACTGCGAGCTATGTACGATGAAAGAGACGAAAAAAAGAGAGCTAAATTAAATAAGACATTTGGGCAAAAACCAGATCTGGCTAGGAATTCATCAACAAGTGCCGGATTAAGAGCAACTGGAAGTCCAACTCTTTTGCATCGTTCCCTCAACGCTCCAAAACTTGGCCATAAGACCTGCCTCAAGAGACAGGGGATCGTGTCCCGGCGACACGGCTGGACATGGCCATCGAGCAAAGAGGCACGAAAATACGGCTGGCGTCCAGGTGCCATTCATCGCTATGTTGGCGCAATTATGAAATTCTTTCTAACAAAAACAACAGAGCACAATTCATATAACATCTGCCGTTGTGTGGAAGACGCAGAGAGTCGAAAACAGCTTCCCATTCTCAATGTCTGCAAAAGGAACGGCGAAATTTTCATAGCACTACGAGCACTCAATAATCCAAATGTGCGAATGGAGCCCATTGTGTTCAAGGTGGTCAAACGCGATCTAGCTGTTGCCCTAAGGGAGATCAAAAGAAAGTTCAAGGATATGGGTTTTCCCAAGTGCACCTGCCACAATACGGTTATGTTGTGCGTCTGTCGCAGCAGCGTGGAAAAGAAGCATCTCGAGTCAGCACTGCGGAAGGAGTGTGAGCGCAGGGGCATCGAGAACTGTGTAGATCACCTGGTGCTCACAGATACCAGTGACAGCGAGATGGAGTTTGACTTCGATGTGTCCCCTCCAGCAGCTGTAGTTAAGCCGCTGTTAGCTATTAAACCGCGCTCTATCAACATTAGTACACAGACTTTTAAGAAAGTTGAAACTGTGCCGTCCAAGTATCCAATCCCTGTTGATCACTACTGGCGTACCTATGACTGTGCTGCCGGTGATCGATTTACGAGCACGGCTTTCGGTGCTCCCGGAGAAGCAGTGTTTGAGGATGGCGTCTTTGGATATAGGGCCGGTGGGCCACATGGAAAATCAGTCTCTCCGGGTGGCAGGCCTAAGACCGCGAGAGTTTGGGGTGCGAGTCCAGGACCTATGCGAGGTGGTGGACGATTGGGACCAGGGGCTATTTGTCGTATTGGAAAGTCTTTTCCTGGGTGTAAAACTAAATCATCCAGCCCAAGTCCGGTTATTCCTGTCAGAATGCCTAAGCGCTATGTTGAAGGACTCAAGAAAGCTGCTCAATCTGAAAAGGATGCAATTGAAAAGCAGAAGGGGAAAAAGAAGGCCGTTGACCCGATGAAGTATTTGATGGAAAAAGGCACCGTTGCCAAACCCTGGAATCCCAATGACCCACAGCCGAAGTAATCAGATCTATATTGAATTATAGATGTTTCAATGATTTTAATTTTGAACCTATATATCTGTACAATATTTTGATGATGCAGAAATTAAAATAATAAATAGCTTGGCAGACCGTCTTATCACCATAAATCTTAAGACTCTTGCAATATTGTAAAGCCATTTAAATTGTATACCAAACAATACATAATCTCAGAAACATGGCTTTATTCCGAATTCATATTTCTAAAAGGCTAGGCTATGTCATTTGCCATCAAAGTGTTAAAATTTTGCTTCTGCAATTTTGAAGCCGAAATTTTGGATAGAAAATTTCTAGCCGTCGACAACTCTCATCTGTAAAACCAACTGCAAACAAACAAACAAAGATATCATCTACCGAGGCCTTTTTTATTTGAAGTTATTCATCTAAATAGCTTTTGATTCAGTGTATTTCAATGTTGTATATAAATGTAAAAACTTAGTTCAGACTGAACAGAAAAATTTCATATTTTATGTAAGATTTTTAAATTTGGCGGTAGTCATACTTTTTAGTAGCCAACCTGACGAAATTAGGGATCCGTTAAATTAACAGTACCAAAATATTCAAAAATTATCTTTCTTAATATGGAAAGTTGTAATTTTGTTTTTGATATTATTGTGACTCATTTTGAGTGTACCACCGTCAAAATACCTGATCCCAACAGACTGAAAGTAATCGCTAACTTCAATAACACCAAAGTGCCAATAACAGCGAGCCGCATTAATGTAACTGAGTTCAAGTCTGGCGCTGGTGTCGATCTAATTGCGGTGCCAAAGAAGATACGCAAGACTCTTGGAGAATGTGGCATGCCCGTGTCGATCACGTATAATGCTCGCGTCCTCGGCACTGGCACTATATTCTTTCCTGCAACAACAATAGATCAAATTGAAAACAACATGTCTGATCTGTTGCATGTGGACCGCTGTTCTTTTGAGAAGGATGGAGAAGTTATTGGCAATCTTGAGGTGCTCTGTCGCTTGATTATTAAATGCGATGATAAGACAAAGTATGTTGTTTTATTTTTGGGCCTAATCAATAGTTTAACATCGCTTTAACACATGTTTTCAGGAAGGGGGAAACCGATTGTAGTCGAAATATGGACAGAAGCATCCAACCGCAGGATATCTTGTTCGTTATGAGTGAATCCCAGCGATGTCCCAGCCCTTGCGACCCTTGTCTAGATGCTTGGGAGCCAGAGGAGGGCGACGAGCGCCTGAAGTTGGATTTACAACGCTATAGCCACTCTAATGCTGCTGGCTTCAGGGCAGCAGAAAATTTCATACATAGCCCAGCCGGTAATGCAGCCTGCTGTGAGCTTAAGGTCGGTACAACAAAACCAGTAGCTTTTGAAAACCTCTTTGAATGCACTTGCATTTGCAGAAAATGGCGCAGGAGTGTGGACAGATTGTAGACTCGATTACCAATCGAGTTGGCCATCCAAAGCCGTTAAAGTCGCCTTGTCGAAGACCCGACGAACTGGATTTGGGAGCTCCTTGCAACGGTCCAGGTCCCTTTAACCAGGAGGAAAAGCTGCCGACTGGTTCACATTTGCCCTGTTTTTCGTACCTGCCCGCTCGACAGGGTAATAGCCCTGATTTTTGCAGTCCGGAGCTGATACCCGTGCCAATAAGCGACACGACAAAGACAGATATCAAACCCATTCGCTTTTGTCCCATCTGCCTAACCAATATGTCATGGCTGCCAAAATTTGCTGCCTGTCCGAATTGTGGTGTCAAACCCATGCCGGTCGTTGAGGAACGCCATAAGGAAAAGAAACCGACCCCAGACCAAATAATTCTTGAATTTCTCGGCAAATCTACAGACTTAAAAAGCGACTACTGCAAGGATCCCTGTGACAAGACTAAAAGCCAGGATGAGGATGTTGATGACAAATGTCGGTGTACTTGTAAATATGGCAAACTGTGTACTCATTGTCGCGTACGTCTGCTCTGCGCGGATTTCTTTCAATCGAATAATGAAGTGTGCCCCAGTGTAAATCCAAAGTCCTCCGAGGAGGATTTTTGTGTAAGAAAAGACGACACACGAGAATGTCGGCCACATTTAGCACGTGTGTTCTCCGAACTGCGCGATTTGTATAATGTAAATGATGCTAAACCACCAGCGGAGTCCAATATTGAATGCACTCAAAAGACCACACAAAGAAAGCCACGTCAAAAAACCAATTCAGTCTCAGTTGAGAAGCGTAAAATAATTGAGAAGCCACACAAGCCCAGCGATCGCAAACTTCCGATCTTCGGTTTCGGACACAAGTTGTGCTTGAACAGTAAGTCGAGTGTCTCGCCTCGTCACGGATGGGCTTGGTGCTTGAGAGAAGAGGCCAGTAAGCATGGCTGGCGACCCGGCGCCATTCGCAAGTCTGTCAAAAAGCTTATGAAGTTCTTTTTACAGGACTCAACTGAGAGCAATGCCTACAACAGGTGTAAGGAAGCACAAGAAGCTGAGAAAGAAAAAGAACGTCAGCTGCCAACACTCAATGTGTGTAAAAAGGATGGGGAAATTCTCGTTACTCTGCGGGCCCTCAATAATTCAAACATCAAGATGAAGCCCATTGTATTTAAGGTAGTCAAAAGCGATCTCGCAGTAGCTCTAAGTGAGATCAAGAAGAAACTTAAGGAAAAGGGTTTTCCCAAGTGCACCTGCCACAAGTCGGTGATGATGTGCCTCTGTCGCAACCACGTGGAGAAGAAGCGTCTCGAATCCGCACTGGAGAAGGAGTGCGAACACAGGGGCATGGAGAACTGTGTAGATCATCTGGTGCTCACAGATACCAGTAACAGCGAGATGGAATATGATTTTGATGTGACACCGCCAGCAGCTTTAGCTATGCCACCAAGTCCACCAAAGCACCGCACTATCAACAATGGTACACAAACTGTCAAAAAAGATCAAAACGTGCCGACCAAATATCCAATCCCTCTCAATCCTTATTGGCGGGCTTATGACTGTGCTGCGGGAGATCGATACACGGGTACAGCGTTCGGTGCTCCTGGAGAAGCAGTGTTTGAGGATGGTATCTTTGGCCAGGGCGGCGGTGGACCACACGGGAAGTCGGGTTCAGGTGGACATATGCGTGGCGGTGGACGTACTGGACCAAGGGGAAAGCCCTTTCCAGGGGCTAAAAAACCACGTACTGGCCCAAGTCCGGCTATTATTGTAAAAATGCCTAAGCGCTATACTGAAGCGCTCAAGAAGGCTGAAGAAGACAAAAAAGCTGCAAAGGAGAAGGAGATAGCAAAAAAGAAAAAGGGCATTGACCCGATGAAATATTTGATGGAAAAAGGCACCGTTGACACACCCTGGGATCCCAAAAACCCTAAGTCGAAGGGACAGCCGACTAAGACGGGTCCTGTAGTGGGGCCTGATGGACTAACTGATGCACAGCGCAAGCGTCGAGCTCTCAACGAGATGTGCATACCACCACTTGACAGCATGCCCCGCCTGGGCAAGGGATTCGATCCTTGTCAATGCTACGATTTCTGCAACGCCCAATGTTGCTATCCATATTGTTATTGTTGCTAAACGATGCTATTCAAAACATGTTTAAACTCTCTATGTCTCAGTCGCAGAAGAGAGTGCTCTTATTAACAGAAACAAGGATCAATTCTACGTTGAGTCGTCTACAGTGATTTGGTGTACTGGTATATTTTCAGTTTAGTGGAATCGCCTTAAGCTATCTTAAGATTTTATTTCAGTACAAAATTTATGTAACTTATGAACCATACTTTATAGCCTGTATAAACGTCTTCTTTCGAAACAAAATAAAAGATTTATTAAATTATAAATTATATTATGGAATGAACTGAGCCATTCATCAAATTATAATTGGTAAAACAAAGAAAAAGGATTCGACTTTTTCAGTTTTCTTAGATGCCTACGATTTATCCGAAAAGTATATTTTCACAGATAGCGAATCAAGAAAAAAATGTGCAAATATTTAATATGCGATTATTGAATATTTGTGCCCTATATGGGGCAGATGACTTGTACAGCAGCAAACAGCTTACAGGTCGAAATCTGAATGCTGCCCTGATCCATGCTTTTTCTTTCAATTTAGTAATGTCAAGCAGAGATTTCAATGTATTTTACGTACACAATTTATGTATTTTTATAATTTTTTAATTACACTACTCTTTGTTTTACTTACATTTTATATAACTTTGAAATTAGGCAAAACCTGCAACTATCAAATATCAATCAAATCAGAAATAAATTAAATGGCAGACTGTAACTTTGTCTTTGACACCGTTGTTACGAAATTTGAGTGCTTTCATGTTGAAATTGGGAATTCCCAGAAATTGAAAGTCTTAGTTCAATTCAATAAAAAAGAAATCCCAATAACAGCCAGCAGGATCAATGTAACCGATTTTCCGCCCCTCTCTGGCACTGAGTTCAAAGTACCAACACAAACATTGCGACAAGTCCTCGAGGCATGCGGTATGCCATTTTCGGTATCGTACGACAATTTTGTTCTTGGCACCGGTAAGATGAGCTTCCCTCAAAGTTTTATTGATGGCATTGATGAAGGCATGTCTGATCTGGTGCACTGGGACTCTTGCCAGTTTGCGGCAAATGGTCAAGTTAAAGGTACACTTGAACTGCTCTGCCGTTTGATTATTAAATGTGATGCGCAGCAACAGTAAGTAAATGTTGGAAATTCTTGGTCTATGTCTTTGTCTTTGTCGATGTCATATGTTTCAGATCGATGGAGCGGGATTTTAGGTGCAATGCGAACGCAAGCATTAATCCGCAAGATATTCTGTTTGTAACGAATCGATGCCAGGGATGTCACAAAATCTGCGATAATTTTCTGGATACACAGCAGTCAGAGGACGGTGATGAGCAGTTGAAATTTGATATGGAACGATTTGCTGGTCCCAGACCAATAGAAAATACACACATTCATAAAGCAGAAGGCAATGCAGCCTGTTGTCAGCTAAAGGTGCAATTGAAGCGTCACAAGATCTACTACAGATATCTTAATGGCTTTTCTAATCACAGAAAATGATTCATTGTAATAATTTCGTGGAATCACTTATAAAGAGCACAGGGATTCCTGATCTACCCAAGACGCCTCGGCAAACATCCGAGGAGCTGCATCCGACAACGGTTTCGTATTTGCCAGAAAGACAGTATGAAATCAATGATTGCTGCAGCTCGAAGCTGCTGACTATTAAGCCAATTCGCTTTTGTCCCATCTGTCTGACAAATATGTCATGGTTGCCGAAATTCGCCGCATGTCCAAAGTGCGGCACCAAGTTTATGCCGTTCGTTGAAGAAGAGAATCAGACCATTCCTGCCGAGCAAATAGTAAAGGATTACATGGTCAATACCTCGACGATCATTGATGATAAAAAAACTAGCAAGGAGATACTGACCAGATGTCGATGCTCGGGCAATACTCTGTGCGCCCATTGCCGAATACGTAAACAATGTGCAGATTTTTTGCAGCTCCAACCTATGGCGCAGGAGTCCAAAGTGGTAGATCAGCCCTCTGCAGATTATTGTATAAATTCAGTAGACTCTCGTCCACATTTGGCACGTGTGTTTTCCGAATTACGCGATGCTTATACAGAGCAGAAGGGTCAGCAATATCCAGCGCTGAAAAAGCCATGTGATGAAAGACTAACACACAAGACGAAATCATCGAAAGCCCATTTACCTGATATTAAAAGAAAAACCAACACAATCGACCAAGTTGCCCGACTGACAGAAACAAAGCGACATATTAGTTCTGTGCACAAGTCTTGTGTGAAGGCACAGCAAAGGCGTGTTTCTCGGCGACACGGCTGGAATTGGTCCGACAGCAAAGAGGCTCGCAAGTACGGCTGGCGACCCGGCGCCATTTTCAGACCCATTAAGAAGATCATGAATTTCTTTTTGTATCCGCCGAAGGATAACGCATACGCAATATGCAGAGCACTGAAGGAGGTCGAGTTGCAAAATAAATACCAGCTGCCAATTCTTAATGTGTGCAAAAAAAATGGTAACATTTTCATTACCCTGCGAGCAGTCAATAATCCAAATGTGCAAATGAAGCCAATTGTATTCAAAATAGCTAAAACCGAACTGGCTATAGCTCTAAGCGAGATCAAAAAGAAGCTCAAGGAAAAGGGATTTCCCAAGTGCACCTGCCACAAGACGTTGATGATGTGTGTCTGTCGCAATCACGTGGAGAAGAAGCGTCTCGAATCCGCACTGCAGAAGGAGTGCGAACACAGGGGCATGGAGAACTGTGTGGATCATCTGGTGCTCACAGATACCAGTGACAGCGAGATGGAATATGATTTTGATGTGAGCCCGCCGGCAGGCAGTACAAAGCATCCTTTGCAAGTAAAGCCAATCTTAGTTAACCACGCCACACAGACATCTAGAAAGCATCGGCTGGTGCCACCTTCATATCCAATCAAACACAGCCCCTTCTGGCGCACCTATGACTGTGCTGCTGGTGATCGTTACACATCCACAGCATTTGGCGAGCCAGGAGAAGCAGTGTTTGAGGATGGCGTATTTGGAAATAGGGGAGGAGGTCCACACGGTGCATATGCCACTCCGGGGGCAGACCCAAAAACAAAAATATTTGGGGTGCCACCTCTGGAGGGTCTATGCATGGTGCCGGACGATTTCCTTACGGAAATCCGAAAAGCCCAAATGGCAAGTCTGAGTCGATTCCCGTAAGAATGACTGAGCACTTATTGAGAATGGCCCAAAGGGCTGCCGAAGCTAAACAAGTGGTAAAGAAGAAAAAGGCCTTCGATATGATGAAGTATTTGACGAAACACGGTGCCTTTTCTAAGCCCCTGATTGGCCCGGACGGACTAACTGATGCTCAACGTAGGCGTCGTGCTCTCCGATTTGTACCCAGGACACCCATTGAACTTGTGCCACGACTCAGTAAGGGCTTAGATCCCTGTGCTATCCAATTTTGTGGGTACTATCCCCGGGCAAATTATTGTTAACAGCACTTATTTACTTCTGAGCAAAAGCTATTTGCATCGTAAACATTCAAATTTTGGGCGGCGTTCGTGGAATTATCGAAAAGTGAAAATTCATATTAATCTAATATATATATATCTCTAAGATTCTTTTAATAATATATTTCATGTTTTAACATTTATTTAATAACACTTTAGAGTGCTCAATTCGGTTGAAGCCATACGATATGAAACTAAGTTTTGCCTAACAAAATCTGCGTTCCTCATCCAATCCTAATGAAATCCTTACATCTAATCAACAATAAGTTAGCATATTTCTTTGCAATTCCGTCCTGTATTGCTGTTATCAATCAAATAAAATAAACTTAATCTGCGCTTGGTATACGAGAATTCATATTGTAAATTTGAAGTCTCTAGATCGACTCGGCTATTGAAACTGATTGGATATGCTTTCTTCTGACCTTTGAATGGGTTTAGGGTAAAATAGTTAATACTATATCTCAAATTTGTTTATTTATCGTACTATCATTTGACTTTTAGTCATTTAACCAATATATCCTTTTCAGATTTATGTAAATTATTCGTGTTTCAAAAGAGCTTAACATTTTTAACAGATTAGCTGTACAAATTATAATTGTCAATTCAGAAGTTGCTTATTTGGATTTAAAAAATAACCTTTAATTAAGAAAAGCAAACAAGAGCAATAGAAGTAGGCAACGAAAGCAATGAACCAAGAGCCAAACTGTAATTTTATCTTTGAGGTTTTTTTGACTCGTCTTAAGACAAATCAAATACAAATCAAGAATCCACAAAATCTTAAAGTAACTGTTAGATTTAATGATTTGCCGGTGCATATAACACAAAGTCGCATCAATGTAACCGATTTCAAACCCGAATCTAGTATTGAGTTCAATGTGTCGGCAAAAAAGCTACGTGACAACATTGAGAAATGTGGGATGCCCGTGTCGGTTATGTATAACAATATAACCATTGGCACCACTGTTGTCAGCTTTCCCAAATCCTTCATCGAAAGCATTAACCATGACATGAGTGATCTCATGCACTCCGAATACTGTAAATTTACCAAGGCAGGTGAAGAAGTTGGCACATTAGAGTTCCTTTTTCGTCTATATTTAAAATGCGACGAAAATACCAGGTATGCGAATATTTGATGCAAATTCTAGAGCTTACGAACTATCCAAAAAGATAACTCTTACATTAGGAACGAAGATAGAGAGTGTCGCACCAACATGGACCAATGCATCAGCCCACAAGATATCATGTTTATTATGGGGGAAAACCAGGCTTGCCCAGACCCCTGCGGTCTTTGTCCAGATGTATTGATGTCAGAAGAGGATGACGAGCGTCTGGAACTGGATTTGGAACGCTATCGCAGCTCCAAACCTGTTCGACGCCGGACAGCGGACCACCTGATAAATAATCCAAATGCCACTTGTGTGATGAAGGTTGCTTAAAATTCTGTAATTACTTATTAGCATGTTTCCCATGGCCTGTTTCCATTTACAGAATATGGCACGGGAATGTGAGCAAATTGTTGACTCAATTTTCAAGAGCACCGCTCAGACTCAGCTTTTTAAGCCACTGAAGAAATCCCACTGCGTCCACAATGTCGATCCTCTGTTGGAGACTCCACTCGGCCGAGAGACTTTTCCCTGTTTTTCGTACCTCCCAGAGCAGCAGTCCAAGATAGTTGATCTCTGTAACCCAAAACAAATGCCTGTGCCGATTAGTGATCTTGAAAAACCACTAATCAGGCCTACACGATTCTGTCCGGTCTGCCTGACCAATATGTCATGGTTGCCAAAATTTGCTGCCTGTCCCAATTGTGGGGTCAAGCCAACGCCGGTGATTGAGGAACGTCATAAGGAAAAGAAACTAACTGCTGATCAAATACTAAACGATTATTTTGGTAAACAACCAGAGTCTTTTGATGATTATTCTGGAGATCGATGTGCAAAGACCGCTAAGGGCAAGTCTGAAGATCAACAAGCCGGCTGTCGATGCACGTGCAACGGCGGCAAGGTCTGTGCCCACTGTCGCATACGTGAACTGTGCCTTGACATCTTTCAGGGTAATGAACAGGTCGTTGGGTGTCCTAAAGTGAAGCCTCAATCCTCTGAGGACTTTTGCGTGATAAACACCAACTTACGGGAGTGTCGCCCACATTTGGCACGCGTATTCTCCGAGCTGCAAGACCTCTACAACATCAGGAAATCGGCACTAGCATCGAACCAAGATAAGCATTGCCAGAACACTGAATCACACAAAGATAAATCCCAACAGCCTGATGATAACACATTGGCACGTTCCTTATCCACCAGACGTGAAAAAAATATCAAGAAAAACACTACTCGAAAATCATTGAAAACAACCGGCGAGCAAGCGCTGTCATCAATCAGAGCTAGACACAAGTCCTGCCTTAGTCAACAGGGAACTGTTTCTCGTCGCCACGGCTGGAACTGGACCTGCACCCATGAGGCCCGCATGTACGGCTGGCGGCCCGGCTTCATTCGGAAGCCCATTCAAAAGCTGATGAAGTTTTTTTTGCATTATTTGCCAATGAAAAATGAATTGAACATCTCAACTAAAATAGAAGAGGCTGAGAAGCAAAAGGAACGCCAGCTGCCAATTCTCAATGTGTGCAAAAAGAATGGTGAAATCTTTGTAACACTGCGAGCAGTCAACAACTCAAATGTGGAGATGCAACCTATTAAGTTCAAGATAGTGAAAAGCGATCTGGCTATAGCACTCAGAGCGATAAAAAGGAAACTCATTGACAATGGTTTTCCCAAGTGCACCTGCCACAAGACGGTGATGATGTGCATCTGTCGCAACTACATGGAGAAGAAGCATCTCGAGTACGCTCTGCATAAAGAATGCAAGCATCGGGGCATGGAGGACTGTGTAAATGATCTGGTGTTCACAGATACCAGTGACAGCGAGATGGAATTTGACTTCGATGTTACACCGCCGATGGACGTGGCGAAGCCAAGACCAATCGCAGTTGACCGTGCCACCCAAACACATAAAAAGGATCTCGATGTACCGCCTACATATCCAATCAAACACAGCCCCTTCTGGGGCACCTATGACTGTGCTGCTGGTGATCGTTACACATCCACAGCATTTGGTGCGCCAGGAGAAGAAGTATTTGAGGATGGCGTATTTGGAAATAGGGGAGGAGGTCCACACGCTGCATATGCCACTCCGAGGGACAGACCCAAAAACAAAAATATTTGGGGTGCCACCTCTGGACGGCCTATGTATGGTGCTGGACTTTTTCCTTACGGAAATCCGAAAAGCCCAAATGGCAAGACTGAGCCGATTCCCGTGAGAATGACTGGTCACTTATTGAGAATGGCAGAAAATGTTGTCAAAGCTAAACAAGTTGTACAGAAGAGCAATACCATGGATATGATGAAGTATTTGAAGAAACACGGTGCCTTCTCGAACCCCATGATTGGCCCGGACGGACTAACCGATTCCAAACGTAGGCGTCGTGCCCTCCGACTTGTACCCAGGACACCCATCGAGTTTGTGACCCGCCTTGGTAAGGACTGTAATCCCTGTGCAGACCAATGCTGCAATCCGTGTACCACAGGTTTTTACTATTGCTAGTCTTGAGTAAATATATCTAACAAAATGGTCAGAATGTGTGATATAGTACTATTTATATTAAATATATGCACATACAAAGCGTATACGAAACAAAAAATATTGCTTTTATTAAGTGAGAAGAATGTTGTCCTCTGAGATTTGAATAAGTATTAAAACTGTATGGTTCTAAAGCATTTCTAACACTTAAGTTAACGTAGTAGTTTTTGTGTTACACTCAGTCACTTTTGATTATTAAGTGTAGCTTTAAAATGCTACACAATTTTGTGCTTTTAAATCTTTTTAGTGTTTTATATATTTTTTTTTAAATTTTCTATAAATAAATAATTAAAATGTCTGAAATGGCTAGCTGTACATTTGACTTCGATATCGTTGTGACGCATATCGACTTAACCCGTGTTGAAAGCGTGAATTCGAAGGAACTGCAAGTAGAGGCCACAATTAATTATAGAACAGTGTCCATAACAGCCAGTCGAATTAATGTAACTGAATTCAAAGATAATTGCAGCACTGAGCTCAATGTGGTCCCAGCAAACCTTCGACAGACACTCGAGAAGTGCGGGATGCCTGTGTTAGTTAAGTATAGTGGTGAAATTCTTTGCACCGGACAGTTAAGTTTTCCCGCGAATGTCACAGAAAGCATCTCGGAAAATATGCAACCTCTAATGCACGTGGACACATGTCGATTAGAACGTGATGGTCAAAAGATTGGCACACTTGAAGTGCTCTATCGCCTGTTCACTAAGTGCACTAATCAGCCAAAGTAAGAAAAGGTTTTGCAGTGTCTGTAAATAGCATTTCACCAATTTTGTTCTAGGCCTGAGGAGAGCAGTTGCCGTCGTGACATGGACAAAAGCATCAATAAGGAGGATATTCTATTTATTTTCGGCGGCTCCCAGAGATGCCCCGCGGATTGTGATCCGTGTCTAGATGCAGTTGACCCGGGGGAAGGTGACGATTACCTGAGACTGGGAAGGCAAAGCGTTCAGACTGCTGCCCCCAAGTTTGTGGACACATTAATACATAACCCAGTTGGTGATTCCGTTTGCTGTGAGATAAAGGTATCTAAGCACAAACTTAATACTTAATAGATCATTGACTAATAGGACATGATTTCATTTATAGAATATGGCAGACGATTGTGATCAGATTTTAAACTCAATTTTTAGTCGCTCTGGCCATCCAAGGCCTTTGAAGCCGCCTTGCCGAAAACCAGCTGACTTTAATAATCCCTGCATACGTCTTGCTCGCGAATCTCAAGAAAGCTTTCGTACAACACCTTGTTTCTCGTCCTTACCAGTACAGCAAGTTGAGAGTAGAGATGTCCGTAAAATGGTTCAGGTGCCACTGCCAATCGATGACATGAAAAGCGATAAACGCTTTTGCCACGTTTGCCTAACCAATATGTCATTTCTCCCGAAATTCGCCGCCTGTCCAAATTGCGGAATTAAGCCAATGCCGATCACTGAGCAATGCCCAAAGGAAAATAAACTAACTGTTGACCAAATACTAATGGAATACCTTTGTAAGCCTGCCGATGTAGATGATGGCAACTCAACTAGCAATGCAGCAAAGGAAATACAGGAAACCGAATGTCATTGCACGTGCAACCTCGGAAAACTCTGTGCACACTGTCGAGTAGTTAAAAAGTGTTCGGAATTTTACCACAAGACTGGCAGCAAAGTGCCCAAAGTATCTGAAAATATTGTAGAATCCGAGGAGGATTGTTCTATTTCCGTAGAAGAAAAAATGTCGCGTCAATTTCTAGCACAACTGTTCTCCGAACTATGCGACTTGCAAAATATTACGGGCATCAGGCGAGCATCCGAGCTTGAGAGGGAATACCATCAAAAGTCGCTACAAAAGAAGAAACGTCATAGAGGTGGGCATAAGATGGCTCATAAAAACAAAGGAAACTCAGTCCTAGCCTGTGTAAGCAGCGATGCTGGTTTTACTTTGAGAAAGTCGGAGCATCTTCGACGACTGATTAGTGTAGGACACAAAGATTGCGTGAGCACGGTGGGTCGTGTATCTCGTCATCACGGTTGGAATTGGTCAGTCAGCCCAGAGGCACGCAAATACGGTTGGCGACCTGGCGCCATTCGCAAGCCCATTTTGAAACTCATGAAGTTCTTTTTGCACTACTCGCCAGCGGATAAGGCCTTCAATAAGTGCAAAAAGGAAGAAGCTGAATTAGAAAAGACACATCAGCTTCCCATTCTTAACTTGTGCAAGAAGAATGGTGAAATCTTTATAACACTGCGAACGATCAATAATCCACACGTACGAATGGATCCCATTGTGTTCAAAGTAGTCAAAAGCGATTTAGCTGTTGCCCTAAGGGAGATCAAGAGAAAGCTCAAAGAAAAGGGATTTCCCAAGTGCACCTGCCACAAGACGGTGATGATGTGCGTCTGTCGCGATAATTTGGCGAAGAAGCATCTCGAATACGCACTGTCGAAGGAATGCAAGCGGCGGGGCATGGAGAACTGTGTAGATCACCTGGTGCTCACAGATACCAGTGACAGTGAGATGGAGTTTGACTTCGATGTGTCTCCCCCAGCAGCTTTAGCTACGTCATTAAAAGAACACACTACCACCAATGGCACACAAACTGACAAGAAAGATCTCAACGTACCTCCCAAGTATCCAGTGCCTCTCAATCCTTACTGGCGTACCTATGACTGTGCTTCTGGAGATCGCTATACGGGCACAGGGTTTGGTGATCCCGGGGAGGCAGTATTTGAGGATGGCATCTTTGGACATGGAGGCGGTGGACCCCACGGAGAGTCAGCCGCTCCGGTAGGCAAGACTAAAGCCGCAGGAGTTTGGGGTGTCAGTCCAGGTGGACCTATGCGCGGTGGTGGACGTACTGCACCAGTAGGTACAGGAGGTGGTGTGGCAGGTGGTGGCGGAGCTGTTTTCGGAGGCAACCTACACGGAAAGTCCTTTCCAGGGGTTAAAAAGCCACGTTCTGGCCCAAGTCCAGCTATTCCTGTAAGAATGCATAAGCGCCATATTGAAGCTGTCAAACAGGCTGCTCAAGCAGAAAAAGATGCAGTTAAGGATGAGGTTGAGAGAAGAAAGAAGGGCATAGACACAATGAAATATTTAATGAAAAAAGGCACCGTTCCAGAACCATGGGATCCGAATAACCCTAAGCCAAAGGGACAGACTAAGCCGGCGCCAGCCGTGGGGCCTGATGGACTAACTGATGCACAGCGCAAGCGTCAAGCTCTCAACAAGATGGACAGACCACCAATTGGCAGCATGCCACGCCTGGGAGGGGGCAACCGTTGCTGCTGTGCAGAACGTTGCTATCCATGCTGTTATTATTGCTAAGCGGGCATTTTCGATAGCATTGTACACGATGCAATTTTAAAAGTCGTCAAGTTGGCTGAGCCATTGAACTTTATTGTCAGACTGTTTGGTTGCATGAAATTTAAATGTTGTTCGTCGTATTATTACTTTTGAATAAATTTGTATGTGAAATCTAGATTCGATTAGATTATTTATTTCGCCTTAAAAAGCACCACTCTTAATTACCAATATTGCATATAAAGTCCTACAATTGTTACAAATAGATTGGTATCGATATTCGCTAAGTTGAGGCAGTTATCGATTAAATTAAATAAACTTGATCTGTTTACGAGAACATATCTTCTAGCTTCTGAAATAGTTTTGTTTATATTAAAAGTATACATATTTTATTGGGTCGGGCATGCTTTTGCACAATTTCGTTATAACCATTATACCATTTTAAATGGATTGAGCGTATTAATATCAAATAGATTCAGAGGAATGACACTGATATTTGACATTTCGAGTATAATGGCACGCCTACACAAATCGAATGCCAAACGGCATAGGAATAAATTGTAAGTACAGCCAACTGCACACAGGATTAAAATAGAAATTGAGAGCAATGAGAAAGTTACTCGACAGTAAATTGGGCAAACAATTGAAATCCTAGAGCTATGTATCAACTTGATTATTTAAGTAAGTACAGATGTACATGTATGTCAAATAATATGCTTGGCTGGTTTGTTCAATTCAAAACAGTCGCTAAGATGCAAATCGCTCTCGCATTTAATTAACATTGTCGACAGATCAAATTGTATTGGAAATGTTGTGAAATGTGCATTTAATTAAATGTTGGCCACTCACAGACTCTTGGGTGATGGATGATAGTTGCACAGCAAATCAGAGCAGCAATGAATGAATAGCTTTGCAGACCAATGAGCACTCAATCCTTGATTCACAATCAGTAATTTGCTGTGCATAATCCGTATACTGAAACATGTCCAATTAGTAGCTACTAAGTAGTTGTCATAACTATTTTCATTGTTTGTCTGGTAACCGAGTAAAGGGGTAAGTGCAATTTTGTGGCAGATCTCTTGTATATGAGATGCTTGAACAATTTAAGAATTAACCCCAATAGCTTTGCTGATGAACTTAACTGTAAACATGAGATTCACCTAGCACTCAAAACCCGCTTAATGAGCAGCCATTTAATACCGCAAAAGAACATTCTGTAAAAAAGGAAGACGAAAAAAGGTATCCAGCTTACCCAAACGCAAATTTTTAATTAAACAAATTACGCAAATTAAGCAAAAAGTACAAAGAAGAAAAGAGTAAAATAAGGTAATATATATTTACATGCCATAAATCTGTTAGTCTGTGAATATTTCTCAAGTACAGCCAAAATAATATATTGTGAGTGAAAAAAGAAAGGGCACAACTCAATTGCGCCTGCTTTATAACAAAAACTAAATGTTTGAAAACTTTGCAAATCCTTATAAAGGGAAGTGAACTTTCATGAAAAAGATTTTCGTTTACCAACGTTTCCGGATCAGACGTACAAAATATGAATTTTTTAATGCTCCTAACAGTCATATAAAAAAAAAAAACAACAATATACCAGTATATCATATAAACTAATAGTGAAAGTTATATGTCGGCTAATTGACTCTGGTATTGTTTTTTTTTTTAATGAGTGCCAAGCACTTATTAGAATTTTTCATAAAATATATTTAAAGTAAGTAAGTAAACATATTTAAAGTAAGTAAAGTCTAGAACATCAAATTAGCAACTTGTTCAAATTTTTGCTATAACAATACAATGTTAAAAACAGTACAAAACACAAAATAAATACAAAAAAATAAAGTAAGACTCAAAGGTAACCAAATGTAACCGAATACAGAGAACACTTTGGAATTAATACTTTTTATCATAACCTTTACACTTTACGTACCAGAACATCCTGAAACCTTTAAAAGTTAATTTGGAAGTAAGTAGAAATGAACTACCCACTAAATGGCATCTGTTCCTTTAATGCCTAGAGTTATTTATAGTGCTATATATAAAGCTCCATCAAATAAGCGGACATACTATTTTAGGCTAGACAGCTGTGATTGCAATGGGTATTTTATACACAAACATATTTCATAGCCCGCTTTACAGGTGTCGGTATCAAATTACATAGCTTAGCCCTGCTCTAAAAAGTTGTATGCCCGTTACATGTGAATTTCAAATATGCTGACATACAACGTAACATTATTTAATAATGGGTCACAAATACACACACAAGCTTCAATAGGCCATGAAGTGAAAGAGCTCTGCATAAAATATGTGACATTCGAACCCCAAAACCCTAACCTAACCTAAACCTAAAAAGTCAAAACGTTGGGCAAATTTTATTGAATATTTCATGTACAAGACTTGTTAATTTACGCTTTAAGCCGAGTATGCAAGAGACGAAAAGGTTTTTCTTCACTCCATAAATCAAAGCCAAAATCAGTGTATAAAAAAGGAAAACGCATATTTGAACTAGCTAAAACGAAATTTTAATACTCTTTAGTAAACACAGTCGATGTGTAAGAAAAAGTGAACTCCACCCACTAACTAGCTGCAAACCTGATAAAGACTCTTTGACTTTGACACTTTACCTGCTGATAAGGAATGGAATAAAATTTAAAATGGAAAACATCAACTTCTGCAAACAGATTTACTTCACAATTTGAACCTGCCACTCTCGAGTTCATTTTATGCCAGTCATGTCAGTGTCCATTCCGGGTCTGGCAGCCAACATCCGTTTCCGTTGGCACAAACAAAGCTTTTATCAGATTTTCCCAGCACGCTCCAAATTCGCGGAGTACTTTATTGTGGTTTGCTGGCAACGTTAAGAAAATGTTCTAAAGTGAAGTAAATTCGTTTTTGGGGTGCTGGCCGAGACACTTTATCATCATTTGTCAATTAGTTGCGTGAGTACCAAAAAAACGAGACGGCCTTGGGTCGGATCCATTAGAAGCCGAGTTATTGTTGCATAATTCATTATAATTATGACAGTAGTTTTACAAATGCCCAACAACCTTGCCACAAGCTGCCCAATAATTTTCCAAGTTTTTCACAAGTTATTAAGAGCAGGAGGTGAGTCAATTTTTGCCTGTCTACCTCATTTGCAAAACTTTTGTCGAGCGCTGCTGGCTGTTTTTGTAATTTGAACGCAGCTGCGCGTGTCGTCGTTGCCATTTGCTAGCTGCCAGCTGCCAGTTGCCAGTTGCAAGTTGCTAGTTGGCAGGGCGCAGATTTCAGTTTCAGCTTTGTCAGCTCGCTGGGTTTAATGCAACACGATAACTGCAACAAAGCAAAAAATAAAAAAAACAGAGTCACAAACCTGGCGACACCTGCAGAGCCAACCGAGCCAACCGACCCACCCCTTTAGCACACCCTTTGCGTCCTGTTTCCCAGCTCTTTCCCTCAATATTTGGTGTTCTTTTTTCTTTCTGGCCACTTTTACGAGTCTTGCAACAGAAAGTTGTGCTTGGTGGCAAATGCCAAATCCCATTTGGCTGAAAATTCGTTAATTTGCGGTTTGAAATTAGCTGGCTTTTAATTGAAAATTCGATTGAAAAGCGAAGGACAAGCGGGTAACGGTAAAGGCTCGCATGAAAGCATTCTGTCTGCATGCAACTTCAGCGTCAACGTTGCCCTAATTAATGCACAAAAGCTAGTGGCGACAACACTGCGTATGAGATACTTTTAGTAAAATATCTTGATGAAACTTTATACCCGATTAAAGAGTTGGATCTTAAAAATGTTTGCTTTCCTACCTACTAAGTATGCAATAAAAAGTAAGCAACAGGCAGAAAGCAGTTTCTCAATAAAGTATTTATTTTCTTGAACAGGTTCCACAGCGGAGTCGTCATCAAGAAATCTAACTGATATTAATGAGGAAGGAATTCGATTTGCAACAATTTCACTAATCTTTTTAGTCAGTAGTAACCTTCATCAGAAATCCTTAGGGTAAAGCAAGTGCTGCAAAAGAGAGGAAAACAGGGAATGGTTTTGGGCATTAAATTGGTCGGTTTTGGCAATTTGAGCGCCAGTTTCTCGCGTGACTTTGTTAGCGCAGTTGCTTTCCGTTAATTGAAAGAACCAGTTACCTACATAGTAGCTAAAATTTTCGTGTTTATTGGCTAGCTAATTCCTGAATGTGACTCAATTGCAAATGTTGCCCACAACCGAAATATTAAACTTTAACATGCTGTCGGAATCCGAGGCAGTTGCAGAGAGCCAAAATTTAATGAACAAAAAGGCGCTGATGCTTGAAAAGACACCTCGCCATAATAGACCAAGTGGAAGCGAGAGAAAAAGTGTCGCCAGTGTGGAGGGGAGGCGAGGGCGGCGGGTTGGTGGGCGACCTCTGTGCGGTCCCACGCACCGGCGTAAACAGTGCTGAAATTAAAACTTTTTAATTATGCGTTTTGAATGCAAAGGCATTCCCATTTACATTCCCACTGAGACTGGCGGGTGGTCCTGGTCTGAATGCTATCCAAACTGCAGCCGGCCGAGGAGCACCAAAGAGTGTGTTTGACAATCTACACTGAAAGCGTATGGAATAAAATTTGCATGCAAACTTGAGCAAGGAACATCATAAATACTTAAAATATAGAAAAACTCAAAGCACTTGAATTCCATTTTCACATTTCACGAAATCGAAGCAATGAGCGTTGAGACATGTATACAACTTTTCGCAATTTTCTTCTCAGAGATAAATGTATTTTGTTGTCAAACAAAAATAATCACAAAGTAGAAAAAGCTTATTGAAACAAAAAGAATGTATTTCCACTCGAAAAACATTGTATACCCTGAATCCACCAAAGATTGGCAAAAGAGTATAATGAAACGGAGGAGAAGTATGTAACAGGCAGAAGGAGACTTGCTCGACCCTTGAAAATATATATATTCTTGATAACAATCAACAGCAGAATTGATTGAATCGATTTAACCTATAAAACAATTTTATATTTATTTATTTTTAAAAACATGGCATTTCATTGAATTTACTCAAGGAAATTTCTGGTTCATTTAATTTAAGACATCAAAAATTTCATTCTATAGTCTGAGGAATAAAAGACAAATTCAATTAAACCCGGAGACTTTTTTTCTTTGCACTTTTTGTGGTTTTATTATCTGCACAGACCGCGAACGACAAGCGCAAATGTGTCCGCAAAAACCACGCAAACAGTATGAGAACGATATTTGCATGACTGAGCAGCGAATGAAATGCAATCAAACAAATTTTATGCACTGCATCTCTGAATATTTGCTCAACGAATTTAATCCAACATTTCGACCACAATATGCATTCTTAAAGTAGCCTTAGGTCAAACGGCATCCAATTGATAAATCTTTGTCTATAAAATATTTCTGAAATGTTTACTTATAAATGAGAAAATCATAGATGCTTATAGTACTAGTATATTTATTTATTTATACGAACTTAGTAAAGCCAACAACTTGCACCTACAAAAACAATAATCCTTTCTTCCCCAGTGAGAGTCTTTGATTGATAGTAAGCGTTTGGCTTCTAACTTTATTTGGCCAACAAAAGCGCTTGTGGCCTGTCTGTGCGTATATGTTTGGGTTTGGTTGAAGTGTCTAAAGCAGCAATTTAGTGTATATATTGAATGCAAGCTGGCAATCATATCAAGGCCAGCGGGTACCACAACAACATTAACAAGATGTCTATAAGCGTTTACACACTTTCAGTCAATTAATTGAAGGAGCATTAATACTACAATAGTACATTCAATTGGCCCAACTATACCAAACATTATAAGGCACTGTCCCCAGCAAAAAAAAAAAGTTTGAATGAAGTCGAATACTAGATTAAATATATTTATCTATATATATTTATCTAGTTTTGCACGCAAAAGGGTATTATAAGTTTACTCGACACCAAGCTTACAACTGTCTAGATCCGCTTGTAGCCTTTGACTAGAAACATGATAAGTGGATGACAGGCAAAGTTTGACATCATTGGCAGACTAACTTTTCACATGTGGGTTATTCATCAAATGAGGAATAGATCTGCTCTACTCCGAGAACATAATGACTGACATAAAACTGTCGCTTATAACGGACTCCAAAGTCACCTATCTACTTCATATCGTATTCTAAGGAACTGACTGGAATCTACACCTACAACAAGCGATTAAATAACGAAGAAATACTGCCACAAATTGTTAACTTAAATGGCAAACAGTTACCGTAACCTACTTGGAATCTTTCTAAAGTTCTCAAATAATATTGTGTACCTTGTCTGTTTATATTCAATCAATTTATAGAGAGAAAAAACGCGTAATGAGTGCTTCGAATACCAAAGAGCAGCAACAAAAAAGTAAACAAATGAAAAACTGCTGTGACTGATGTTGATATTGAACTTTGTGCCGAGCGCCATGTTCCAAATTTTAACGACTTCAGAATCAGCCTCAGCGGCAGCCGCCAAGTCCAGCAAAACAACAATAAATACCAAAATCAACACCAGTCAGGCCCAGAAGAGAAACCCGAATGAAACCACGTCACTCTCACAAATAACAACAGCAAATAAAATATGTATGCCACGATAAAACATAACAATAACAAGATACAAAATATTGTTTATGTGTAGTCGAAACTTGAATATCCTGGGAAAAAAAACATTGATTGAACTAATGGATTTTATTATCCAAGAACTTAATATCTGCCTGTCCTTCGACAAGATATCGGAGTTAATTAAGGTATGAACAATATCTCCTTCTAAGCTCAACATGACTCCACTCAAAACATTAGGGTATTTGTCCCAGTTGATGTTAACTGTTCCACTTAGAAAGAAAAAATAAACTGGAAAGCGTTTGAGAGTTGTCAACTGTCAAGATTTTGTTTTGCAGCTACATAGAGTTTAGGTTACTCATGAAATCCTTCAAAATGAGTTTTTCTTCTAGATTTGCATAGATTAAATTGCAATCGGGTTTTTGTTGTTGTTTTCGTCATAATGATGTGACCATTGTTGTTGTTGTCTGTACAGCGACTTAGTTTTTAGTGCTTGTTAAGCCTGTTCATTTTCTGTAGTACATCAACTGCTCAAAGTCCGCCTTAGTATTTTGAATTTGTTCTGGCCATGGCCAAGACTCGTCACAACTTTTGTGGCCAAGAGCATGTTCAATTTTGGGCCTTGTCTTCGATTTGGTCTATAGAATGTCAACGATTTGTGTTGTGTTGCGGCTGATTTTCTTTGCTTTTGCCAATTCCTGCCATCGACTTTTCTTATCTTCTCTGTATGGGCTGCCTGCCATTTTTGGGTTTTTTGTGATTTTCGGCACAAACTTTATACTGCACAAAAACTCATTTAAAGTTTTTAAAGTGTAGTTTTTGTTGATGGATGCCTAACTGAATTTCCCCACGCCTCTTGCGGGCGGGCTTAGACCTACAAATTTTGTTGCTGTCGTTGGTTTTGTTGTGCCAACCAAGGGGATTAGGGCAACACGTGACGTGTTTTTTTTGGTTGTTAACTACCTACCCCGTAGCCGAAAACCTATTATGGTATACTAGTTGGTAGGTAGTTAAAATGACGATTCGGTTTGAAAGGCCATCTTAATATAAACTTTTTCTTATTTTGAATACCGCCGGATCAAGATCAGCTTAGTTAAAGTATTATTAAAGAAATGGAGCATAGAAGTTAACACACAGAAATCATTTTAGACAACGTTTGGTTTGACATCGGGACAATATCCTCCTCTAAAATGCCCAAAAAGTATACAACTAAACACCTCCGGCCAATTTGGTCTCATCAAAAATAAAATCAGGCATTACAATCCAGTCCACAAGTCAGTATGGACAAGTAACTGCCATAATCAATATATTATAAAGATATCAAAATGTAAGAAACAATATAAGTTTAGTATATTGGTTTAGTCCTGTCAACATTTTCAGTATTTATAAAATTAGCTGATTGTTCTCATATTTGATATCTCTCCTCTTAAAACAATTGCACTGGGTATCTAGTTGCCTTGACTAAAACATTCTTTACTTTAGCCAAATGAAATCAAAGTTAACGGAGTGGCTATTTGGTATTTAAGCCAACTTTAAAGCGCAACACGTGCGGTGCCAGCAAGCGCAGAAAAGTTTGACTTGAACCTATCCAAAATTAAAGTTGCAAAGTTGGAAAGTTGGAAAGTTGGGCAGTTGGGTCACATCGCATCGCATGCCCCACTAAATGACATTTTGATTGATGTGTGTGGCACGAAACAAAAGGCTGGCAATTGACAGACTGACAGAAGGCATATGAAAATTCGTTTACCAATCACAATATTTTCTATACTCCGCACAGCTAAAATTGCAAGAATAGGTAATATGGATATTAGACATCAGTACAAACAGGACTAACTGGAGCAGGGTTCGATTTAAGAGACTACAATATGTAAAATAAAAGAAATGAGAATACTGGAAGAGTTCGGCTTGGAGATACCCTATTAAACATAGTGAACCAAGGGTAACTGTTCTCAATTCTTATGGCTGGCTGCAGGGTACGGAAGGGTCATGTTCAATATATATATTCCATATATCAATTCACGAATAGTGACGTTACTTTGATTATCATGCTGCGCTCTTCTCACATATATACACATATATGTACATAGCTTTCCATACATAAAATCTATTCAATATTAAAATACAATTTGCTTAATAACTTGGGTGTTTCTTATCCGATCAAGACGAAATCGTTTTAGTTAATCAATAATATGTCTGGGTATTGTCCTCAATTGTTACGATTATGTATCACAAATTATGGCTTTTAACGCCAGTCTATCGGGGGAGTTATCGACATAATAATATAATGTTCATTTATTGCCCATAGTATATAGCTATAGAACTAATTTCCAAAATATCTAGCTCTTATAGTCTCTGACTATACTAAAAAATCTGCAAGCTCGACCTGAGTTTATTATTTAAAAACCAAGCCTTATACAACAGGGAATCCATATTAAGCCCTACAACGTTTAGATTCTAGTTTTGATCTTATTTAGTATTCAAGTAGTCCCTGTTTACTTGTTTTCTAAACTCTAAAATGTGATTACATTTATTGATATAACTTCTTGTCTAAAAAAATTCTTGAACTGACTCTTTTATGCTTCACCAAATTGAACAATTTCATCCATTCTAAGTGCATTTGTATATTCCAAATTGTGTAATACAAACTAACGTTTTGTAACTTTTGTATTGCACCTGTATCATCAATAAATACGCCAATTTTTGTGGCCAGGCAATCAGAAAATGCCAAATGCAGTCCCTGCCTGCTCCAATTTTCAAGACCAATCTTCGGCCACTCAAACCGACAAAGGCGCTGAAAATACTGAAAATCATTTCACAAAACAAACACAAAAAAAGAAGCTTTCAATTCAAAAAAGAACTTTCGCTGAATAAACGCAATGCGCAGAAGCGAAACCAGAGAGAACGAAAGATAAAGACAGAGAGGGTGAGAGTAAAGGAAGGAAGAGAAGGAAGGCAGAGAAAAACGATTGAGTTTGCGAGAAAATCCACTGCAAAACCGAATGTTTGGGAAAATTACCACCTGTTGTTGTTCTTTTCTGGCCATTTATCAGTTGATGGAATATTGTAATTATTTATCATTTCACTGAACAATAAAAATTAAACTATTAAAGGCATGGAAAAGTAATTTTAATCAATCTACAAGAGAATAAAAATAATTACAAAAGCTGAAGCACTCAGTATAAAGCACTTTCAGAATATGCAAAATTAAATAAGAATATTTGTATTTTGAATTATTGTTAACCAATTTTCCAATTTCCTTTTTTTTTAAGTAATTACTAAAACTTATAATTTTAGTAATTTTGAATAGCCTAGTAGCTGACAACAAAGTAATCTTTCCCAACTTTGTATCACAACTTACATAATTATTCTTGAATATTGTGATATCGACTTCTATTTATTATATAATGGCAGCAAAGGAAGACAAGGCCCAAAATCCTCAATATGTCGTCCTACACGCAAATAAGCAGCCGCGAACCACCATTTTTTATGGTGCTGCCGATGTTGAAGGTCAAGAAAATAATAACTTTCTGTTCCATTGTCAAAGCATCCGCCATAGTTTCATACGCAAGGTGTACTTGATACTGATGGCACAGCTGGTAGTCACATTTGGAATTGTTGCCCTCTTCGTATTCAGCGTGGAGGCCAAGATCTTTGCTGTACTGCATCCGGGCCTCTTCTGGGTGGCTGTACTCATCATGCTGCTGACCATGTTCGCCATGGTCTGCTGCGAGAATGTGCGCCGCGAGACGCCGATCAACTTTATATGCCTGGGTTTGTTCACCGTGGCCGAATCCTTCCTAATGGGCATCTCGGCCAGTCGCTTTGCACCCATTGAGATCCTCTTGGCCATTGGGATAACAGCTGCCATTTGCCTGGCCTTGACGCTCTTTGCCCTGCAGACCAAGTTTGATGTCACAATGATGGGCGGTATACTAATTGCCTGCTTGGTGGCACTCTTGGTCTTTGGCATCGTGTCCATCTTTATGCCAGGACGAACTATCAGGCTTATTTACTCCTCCCTTGCCGCTGTGCTCTTTTCGGTCTATCTGATCTATGACACACAGCTGATGATGGGTGGCGGTCACAAGTATTCTATAAGTCCCGAGGAATACATTTTCGCTGCACTCAATCTCTACTTGGACATTATAAATATCTTTATGGAAATTCTCGGCATTCTGAGCATTACGCACGAATAGAAAACCAAATGCGTGGGAAAGGCGGCAGGCAGAGAGAGCAATTATCTAAATGTTTGTTTTTCTGTGGCATTTAAATGTGCTCAAGCACACAACACAACACACACAGCCACATAAATCACACACGTGTCCATTAAGTTATTAGTTGCCAGCAATAAAAATGTCACAGCAATAACAAAAACAACAACAAGGCAGCTGCATGAATTACAGCAAAGTGTTTCTGCCATTTCACAGGCGATGGCAGGACAACTGGATAGCGTCCAGCCAAGCTCGGATCATACAAATCAAGTGAGCTTACTAACAGCTGCTACCAATTCATGTTAAATATAGTTGACCAGCCCTGCTGCCAATATATTTAATTAACAGTTGACAGCCGACGACAATTGACAGTGGATAAGCTTATGCTTGTGTGCTTAGCTGTGGAAGCAAAAGCACCATCAAAGTAGCAATCTGTCTTTGTTTGAGCATGTTCATATCCTGTACCCATTAAAACTGTTTAAGTAGGGTATGCTAACTTCAGCAAAAGTATGAAACAGGCAGAAGGAATCATCAAGCATTTATAATCTCGATCAGCAACAATACAATAAATGTATGGAATTTGACAAATACAGTCAAATTGTGAAATAAGTTTTTTCATAATAAATATAGGTGATGATAAACTATCTATATGATTTGTAAATGTGAAACCTAACGTTTAATAATAATATAGCTTACAAAAAAGCTAATTTTAGAATTATGTGTACACATTTAATAACAAAAAATATGATCTAACAAATGTCTGCAAATTCCAGTCTCTCCTTAAAGCAGAATCTTTTCTTAGGAAACCAGATCCTAACCGCTGCAATCATCAGTTCTTTGTTTTTCATAGATCTGTATTGTATATGGATATGTATTGACTTACAGTGAAAAAAAAGATCAGCGCATATAAGCTAGAACATCCGAGATTAGTCGTGATTTGTGTCTCAATTTATTACGCAACTTTTTAAGGTCTGATGTGATAACGGTGCCATATTTTTTGCCGGTACTGTGTGTCTCTCTTCTCAAACGAAAAATATTTATTTTCAGCATCCCATCAATAAAGCTCATCACACGCATCTTATGTACTCATGCTCGACGGGACGTCGACAAGTTTGTGGCGTTGTTGGTCTGCAAACTTTGTGTGCAGTGGCTCACTGACTCCTGACCAGCTTCCCAGTTTCCCCATCTCTCAGTCTATCAACGCTCCAACGACAAGCTTCGTTGCCTATTTTCGGCTTGTAGTTTTTCCACCGTTTAAGCGGATGTATTTTTTCTTGTCTATGTGTTTGTAACTTCCAACAAGAGCACACAGCCAAGAGCAAGCAAACAAAATCGAAAGTTTACACACAGTCACAAAAATGGTTATTTTGAAATCGCTGCGCAGAATATTGTTGCTATTCAAATTGGCTATTTGAGTAGTTGAGTATTTGAGTATTTGAGTATGCATGTCACCAATGCTGAAAACAAAATACTATTCTGATCTATTAGTATTATCTTTATCTATTGTACTCTTATACCTTTTCTAAGGATATTTTAACATTGTATAGCTTAATTCCAATCTTAGGCAATAATTATACCCAGGGCATGCACTTAGTAAAAGCTATTAATCAAAATTGGTTGAGACAGATACACATTCAGTGATGAAGAAACTCAATTTCGTTTGAATGCCGAAAACAACTAGGAAAAAAATTTCACACTTTCGCCACCTATCCAAACCAATTAAAACGATAGACGAAATGGAAATTTCCTTGTGCCGTATATAGCAATTTCCAATTGGTGCTCAACTCAAAATGAAACAAAAATAAGCAAAAAAGAGCTATATTTGCAAAAACTTGCTTAAGAGATACTCTGCACGCACACCTAATGAGATCAAATTCTCTTTTTTTTTTTGGGGTCTAGTCCAAAAACATACAACAAATTGAATACTTTGCACTACACTAATTACAATTTCTCTGTCTCTCTCTCTCTCTCTCTCTCTCTCTATTTAGCTACACTCAGCAGTTGCTTTGTCCTTCATTGTGTCTATTAGCCATGCTAATTTGCGTGGACACCGAAAGTGAATTTCTGCATACACAGATATTTCCTTGTTGTCGCATTAAAGATCTGCAGTTTTGATACTGTTTTCTTTGATTTTTTACGGCAACTGACTCTTATGCTCCTCTCACGATCCTTCGCTTCATTTGGAATATTTGCGTTCTTTGGAATTCTAGATATTTAAGGAATACAGCATGTCGATGTATGTGTATTTATGTATGTATACAACTATGCAGAAGGGGAAAATCTCATTTATCTATTTACATACATACATTTGCGCAATTTTGTAATACCATTTTTATCAAAATTTAATGGGCATTCAAAAAAATTGATCGAAATTCCAGGTTATTGATTTGGCCGTAAAATTGTTTTTATCGCAACTGCCATGCAACCAAGTTGTAAATATTTGCAGATTGCACTGTTAAACGTTGTGGGATTTGTTTTTCAGTCAAAGATGCAGAGGGCAAAAAAGGGCACAAATGGAAAAAAAGGGAAATCTGAAAAATGCAAGGTAAAATGTTTCATGCGATGGCTGAATATTTAAACAGAAAATAACAGCAAAAAGCATGCAGCAAAAGAACTGGAATTGCAACACGGTAAAAAAAACTACGTTAGTTGAGGCAAACAAATTGCGCAATCAAAGCTGAGCTATTTTTTCAAGCATGGCCGGAAACTTTCACCAATTCCCTTTGCGTCGCTTACATCAAAATCAAAATTGTTGCAAAATTCAATTACAAGCAAGTTTCAAGCAGTTTCAATGTAACTAATTGTTAATGGCAAAAAAAAAAATATATTTATCAATACAACTAGAAATCCCAACTCACTGCCTTTTCAATGGTCTACCGTAAATATGTTGTATATTTTGTGTTATGTTGTGCATTTTGGCAAATTTCAATCGCATTTCATTTTCGTTAAGCTGCTTAAATGTTTGGCCTGAGCCGCGGGGATTACAGCCGTAAAACATCTGACAATTTTGAATGGGACACGGATTTGGGGCACCACCGAGCACGGGGCACGTGATGAGCATGGGAAGTAACATTCAAATCCAATGCTTGACGAAAGTGACAAACAAGCAAAAGGCAGGCAAAAGCCAAGGAAAAGAAAAAAGTACGCTTTGAGCCTGTGGTGCGTGAACAATTTAACAAACTTATTTATTTATGAAAGCCAAATGCATTTGGGCTGATTCACAATAGACTTTGTGACCAACATCAAATTAAAAATGGCCTGAAAAGCCAATTTGATTGGCACGCACGTGTAACTTGGCCATTTGACTAGAGTCTACTCAGTAAATTTAAAATTCTAGACAGAATATCACAGCTTGTGTACTCAATAAATACGACATACGCCTTGAGTGTTTGTGCTTATAAATACATTTGTAATAACTTGCTCGATTTACATTCTTATCACAATTCAATTGGCATTAAATATGAGCAATTACTCTGCATACACAATATTGTTATCCTAACATCTTTTCAATGATTGAACAAATTACAAAATTAAACCAAAAACAAAAGCACAACTTGAATGGCAGCAATTCAAGTTTGTAAGCCATTCAACTGAATCAAACAAACATTGTGCAGTCAGAAAGATTTTATGTTTATATCTGAATTTATTTTTAATATGTAAAGCATCTTACTTAATATTTAAAACGCTTAAATGGACTCAATAACGCTTCTATATTTATTCTTTAAATATTTCACGATTTCTGCTCACAAATATGTATAAATAAACGCAAATATTTCTTTTTATTTTAGACAATAATAGATAAACATTATAAATATCTAAGACTCAATTAAATATTAAGTTTGTAAGATGCTTAGGTTATTGCGAAGGAAATATAAGCTGAATCTAAGGAATAAGCTTCCACCATACAAGAGCATCTTGTATCAGTATGGACATCGACATAGCCAAGCTATCTTAGTGACATTTCTTGCAATTGGTTAATAATATATCAGGGTATATAGAAGGATATTTATCGATGTTCTCTCTACAAACGGGCAGACTGACATGGCTAAATAGATTCGTCTTTTGATGGTGATTAAGGAAATTTTGATTGCTTCTTTCTGCCAGTTAACAATTTCATTAAACCCATTATTAATGGGTTCAGAGAATAAATATTAAACTTACAAATAAAGTATTCATTTAACTACAAAATTCGCAAGAAATAGGAGCAGAACGCTATGAAATGTTGATAATGTTATGTTATTATAGGAAACGCCTACTTGTGAAATAATGTTAAATATTAATCTAAATTTAATCTCACACTGAGTTATGTTTGGAATGATTGGGGGTAAGAAAATTATACCCATTAACCTAAAAAGCCTAACGGAATCCAGGCTAGTACTTTGTAATTAAAAATCTAAGGGTGCAATATAAATGGGTAACTGCTTTGATTTACTAGGTCCAACACGCCCTCAGCCAACGGAACCAATCGCGAAGAAAATAATGAGTTCAACACACTACTATTGCTATAAATGTATATATAAATATGTGTATATGTATGGGTATAGCCACAAAACTAAGCGCCTCAATGGGAGGTTAATAACCGAGTAGCATGCAAATTAATTGCAAAACATTTAACCCAAGTTATGCAGCACGAGGCGCCAAATGCCCAACCGCTCCCCAGCCCCAGGTGTGGCAGGAGTCACAGGAAACATAAACCCGGCATGCAAATTATGCAGCAGACAGCTAGTTGGCTAGTTTATATTCGGATTCTGCTGACCCACTCTAATGTGGACTAATTAAAAGTTTTAAAATAAACTGCCAGCTGATGGAAGCCGGGCGGGTAACCTGCCAGTTACCACCTGCCGGCAGAGTTCGGCAGGTGGCAAGTTGCATAAACTGGATCTAAAATTTAATTTGGCAGATAACTACTTTAATATTCGAACACAAAGGCGACAAAGTGCCTGGCAATGTTTGCGACTTGCCCCACATCAACCGCATCACAAAAGTCAGCATTAATTTAACAGCACAACAAACAGTCACCAAACAGGGGGGGCTTGAAACCCCTACTGTCGCTGCTCTTTTTGCTGCTGCTGTTGTTGCAGGTTGTGTAAGCGACTTAAGAGTGCTGAACGCAAAATAACTTAAAAGCCGCAAAGTGGCTGGCAAAAACTATTTAAGTTTATGCGATAAGAACAATAAAAGTACAGCAATATGGTGGTGACTCTCCCCCACGCCCACGTGCCACCCATCCCCATTCCTCTCACTCCTTTCATACTGAGTCTTATTCTCATTGCCAACCAGACGCTTTTTCCACTCGTGTTGAAAGTGCTGCATACTTCTAGGCAACCGCAATATTATCATTGTGTGCGTGTAAGTATGTGTGTGTGTGTGTGTGTGTGTGTGTATGTGTATGTGTGTAGCACTTATGTAATTATGGTAATTAAAAAGCACAGACTTCGCTTGTTCTCTTTCTTCCACCTTACCTCTCTCTCTCTCTCTCTCTCTCTCTCTCTCTCTCGCCTGACGCACATAACTTGGCTTTCACATTGTGGAAAACATTTTCCAACTCCACAATGGGATTAAGTATTTAAATTAATATGTTATTCTGCCAAACTTACAATCAGTTAAGCTAATATAAATGTAAATATATATAAAAAGCCAGATATAAGTGAAAGATGTCTATTTTATTCTTAATCACATCTCTCTTATACTGCACACTGGCTTTGATAAGTTAGTTGACTCTGTGCTTAAAATAATTTGTAAATTTGGTCAAGTTAAGCAGAGAATATAAACGTATGTTTTTCATAAAAAAAAGTTAATTTTCTTATTTAGAGAATTTAGTTTTGCTAGCTTATTATATAGGTTAGTTATATCCGATATTTCTTGTTCTTGTAGCCCGAACCCATTAATAATGGTTAAAAGGGTATAATAAAGTTGAAGGCAGGAGAAGATAAGTCCGAACCCATACAGTATATATGTTCTTAATCAGCATCAACAGTCGAGTCGATTTAGCCACCTCCGACTGTAGGAACCATACAATCCCAGAGACTAGTTTTATTGAACTGTAAAACTTTCAGTCTTTAGTTCTTATCGCCTCTTAGATCAGGGCGTTTCTTTATTCATACAGGCGGAAAGACACACAGACAACTTATCTTTTGATGCTGGTCAAGAGTTTATATAAGTTTATATACCTTATGGGGCCGCAGTTAATTCTTTCTGCACTTTTCCTATCCTTTTTAATAATTTTTTGAAGATATTAAAGGCTTAAAGGAACTTAAGTTTGCATGCATAAATTTCACAGACTTTGTTACTATTGCTGCTTGTTTCGCAATTTAAAATGCAAATGAGGTAGAAAACATCCGATTACAATTTAAACACAAAAATGAAATAATAAGCACAATTTGTCATAATTTTATGGCCACTTTAGAAATTGATTCGTTGGCATCTGAGAGATTAATATATTAATTATTTATTTTTGGTTTGCTTTATTGTTTTTTAATACTTCAATATATTTAGAACCGCGTCGGAATTTACAGAGGCCGTTCAGTCAGTTGTAGAGTTTGAAAATTAAAAAAAAAAATCACTTGACATGGAGCCAGTAAAAATTATATATTTATATATTCCTCTACCTAATCAATTTGGTGGTGTAATACAGTTATAATCATAAGCAAAGAAAAGATTTGCATATGAAAATCAGTGTGCCAAAAAGCAAATTGATGCAAACTAATAGCTTGGCCTGCAAATGATTGACTCCAATGGCTAAACGATTGGCGAGACACATAAGCCACCAAATGGTGTGGCTAATACTGGCGCCGCAGATGCCACCGAAATCAAGGGCTTTCACTTTTCGAACCATTTGCCATTTGGCTAAACAGTAGCAGCGGTCGAGTGGAGTTTAAGTTAAGTATTCACCTTTCACACGACTGCTGCCCGCTTGCATGCGAATGAGCTCATTGTGAGTGTGTGCTTCTGGGCGAGTAGAACGAAAGCGAACTCGAAACGAAAGCACAAATCACAAAATGTTGTCCCATTGTTGTTCACATCTGTGTACTAGTTGTAAAGAGCCCTCACAGCTAAGCCGTAAGCAAAACAGCTGAGAGGGAAAGAGGGATGCGTTGCAATTAAAAACTCACGATTTTGTACTCGACGCACGGGAAATGAATTGAAATCAAGCGCGATAACTACTTTTTGTGTTGATTATGTGATGTGCTTCGAATTGAAGTTGATGTTTGCTTGCTTGCAAATAATTTCACATTTAAAGCGATTAAATTTCGCTTGTGGCCTTGGTCATCGAGTGCCCCTCAACGTGTTGTGTTTGCTTTTTGGTCTGGCTACTTCAATTACTTGGGTTTATTTTGATTTGAGTTTTTTCTTTCTTTACTTTGGCCCACGTCTCGCTGGCTTGCTGATGAATGGGTTTTCAAAACATCATTAGATAGTGTCTATAATTCTGTAAAAACAAGTTTTATTTATTTTTTGTATCTTTTACTTTGCTACTGGAAAGTAGTTTACAACAATTTACAGTGCGTAACCCATAGTGCGTATGATTAATTAAACAATTTCAAGCCGTATTTATTTACATTTCAACAACGAGCTGCTTGACTGATGCGAGCCAATTAAACCTTTGAGTTTAGGGTCACAAGAAACAATTTATGAGTTAATAGAATCTAGAGTAGCTTATACTTAGTATAGTCGAGATCATGCTTCTAGATTGAAGCAGAATCTCATAAGGACAACGGAAATTGGTGATATGATAAAAAAATAACTTCTTTAATAGTAATAAAACTAGGATAAAACTTTCGTCAAGCGTTAACTCGAAATATATGTTATTCAAGAACTTCTTAATTAAGTATGAAGTGCAAACAGGCATATTTCTAGACAAACTTTTAAAATTTTTGCTTAGTAAATTTGAAGTATAAGCATACTTATTTTTAGACAAACTTTTATTTGTCTTAGTAGTATTACTTTTTTTACTATTTATATTTGAAATTTTTCGGGCTTGCTTTAGGGGCTTTTTTAAGCTGACATATTTAATATTAAGCTGTCATTTGCAGTGTAAACATGGCATTGACTGTTTTATGAATATTTGTATTCTATATTTATTCATAAACCAGTAAAGTTTTGACTTATTGAAGTAGCAGATATAATAATAAAAACAACAGTTGGCACCTCACCACAATAATGGTATTCATACATACATTTACAATAATGATCAATTATATGCTACTTATCGCACATTAAGCAAATAAAGATTCTTTTTAAAGAACTCGCACATCATTTATATTCATAAATTCTCCAGCAAGACCGTTTGGTCATTTGGCAAACGCTTTTGCTTTGTTCAGGTTCAGTAAGCAATGTTCAATTGCAATCTGACAGACTCATCAGTGTCATTCGCAGAAGCCATTTTATTGGCAAATAACACAAGACATTGAAATGTTATCATAATCTACTGGGCAAAGACAATGGACATAAGAGAGCCAACCAATCTTTGTTGAACGTACCGTAAATATTTGCTAATTAAACATTTCTACGTTTGTTTTTCATAGTTTTTTGCTGTCGAGCAATAATAATAATAAATTTGACATCATTGCGCGTAAAAGCATAAAATTATCAAGCTTGTCTGCTGCTGGTTCGAACATATTTATAAATGTAAGCGGCTAAAGCAGCTGCTGATTTGGCCAGCTTAGAAGCAGAAGAACAAATAAAGCGCAGCGTAGCTTATTGATAAATTCTCGACAGCATTGAACCCGCCGACACCCGACTGACCAGCAACGACCTAGTGATCACTTAATATTAATAGTAAATAAACACAATATTATTATGATATTTGATGATGCCGGCAACCCCTAATACCTCAAGCGCATTAATATATTTATCATTTACTTGACTAATTTTTATGATTTACCTTCAATTTACAAAATGCTCAAGCGCCGCCGACGCCTGCGCAAACGTCGACGTCTCAGTCTCAGTTTACGTCTCAGTCTACGTCTCCGGCTCAAACTCGGACTTGGTAAATGAAGTAAACTGGCCTTGCCGCGCGTCAGTCTTCGCTTAACATTTGCGCGACGCGCTTGGTAGTCGAACCCGCTACTGTCTGTCCGCCTGCCTAGCTGCCTGACTGCCCGCCCACCTCCAACTCCAGCACGTACAATCTTGATCGTGTCAGTCACCGACAGTCGACAATCGACAGTTGACAGTCGACAGTTGACAGTGTTCGGTTGATGATTGGGCTGTTGTATTTTTGGCGCAGCGTCCAAAGCGGCTTAAATTATTGAATCCAATTTTGAGCTAAGCTTGTTAAGCGTGCAGTGTTTTTATCAGCCAAAATGCCGCAATACAAATTCCAAACGGTAATTACAAAACGGCATTCAACAACATTTACAAAAGTGCAAAAACAATAATAAATTGTACAAAACATTTATAAGCTTACCTTGTTCAGATAACAGATCTAAAGCTAACGAGTTACTTGTGAGATCAATGCGATTTTTAAGTTGTTTCCTATAATTTTTTGACAGCCTTGAACGCTTAATACATAATCCATTTTTCGTACATAGACTCCATGTTATTTATCATCAAAATTTGATGGTGATTTTAAATAATTAAAATTAGTTCCATGTTATTTACCATCAAAATCTAATGTGTGCTTCAACTAATATTAATAAGTTCTTCACAGCCAAATTTTTGAAATGCCTTTTTGTTTTTGGTACTTTGAGTTTAAAACAGATCTCTTAATCTAATCAATTCTTAAATGTCTGAGTTTAAAAGATTATTTATTGTGATATATCTCTAAATGCTTATTCTATGACTTTTAATTCTAAATTCAAAACCTTTATATTCCAGAAATTTTAATCAGTTCTTGAAAGGCAGATTTTGAAATGGATTTTAACTTCCAAAATGCATTAAATTTGAATTAAATTCAATTTCTTCATGCAATTTAAATGAATATTAAATGCGAAAATTTACGAATTATTTTGATGCCCATTATATTTTAAACAAAGTTGAAAATATACATATCTCGTTAACTTTTAATTCTAATTGCAGCTCCTTTCTCCAGCACTGCTCATCTGCATCTGTTGCAATTTCAACTTTCGCTGCACACTGGCTGCTCCTGTGCCATATTTTGAAGATAATCTCGTCGACTATCCAAGTTCACCGAGTGAGGTGCTGCCCATTGAGCCGTTGCTAATATATCCCGAGCCTCGTGAGATTTTTTACCAGGCGCGCACAGCCAATGGTGATGGGGAGCGGGACATTATCTTTGTGAAGTTGCTGCAGAACAAGTTGGATGGCTATCATCCTAAGAAGCAGCACCTCGTCGAGAAGCCCAAACGCAAGGAGCTGAGCATGAAGGACATCTTCTTTGTGAAGGCGCGAGCCAACGGGCAATTTAGTCATGAGCGTTTGAAGGTCTATCGACTGCCGGAGTTCTTTGCCATCAGCGTGTTCCGCAATGACGCGAAGAAAATGTGAAAGATGGATCTAGCTGGTAGCTAATGTTGCATACACGATGCACTCCAGATTTTTAGTTTGTATGTTATGCTTAAGCCGCTATAAATAAATACCTCAGACGTTGTTTAAGTCCACATATTTATTTTTATTTCTTTTGTGGCTCTTATCAGCGAGTTGCTTTTGTCGACGATTTACATGTATACATTTCAATTATTCATAACAAAAGACAGCCGCCTGTTGTCGCTGAATTATGGGGCGTCAACGCACCCCTCCCCCCTTCAAGCAACTGCCACTGCTCCCCCCTCGCACCAACACACCGCGTTCACGTCAAGCGGCAATTAATAACTGTCAGTCAATTGGTGGCTCCAACTAAAGCCAACACAAAGCTCCAGCATCACAACAAAGAAGTAATCCCTTTTGTCATTGGGCGTCACAAACCGCGGGCCAAAACATTACGTCAAAAATGATAGAAAGCAAAAAAAATATTGAAAAAAAAAACAGCAAAAGCATAAAACATGAATGGAAAGCTATCTCCAAGCCGCTGCGTAAATACACTCGCCAAACAAGTTAACATACATTATGTATGTGAAGCTAAAATTTCAATGGAAATCCAATAGTTATCATTTTGTGAAGCTAAAACTCAAGTGGAAATTGAGCAGTAATTTTGAAACTCAAATGGTAATCACATTGTTTTTTGCTGTGTGTAGCTAAAACTCAAATGGAAATTGAATAGTTACTTTTTTGTGAAGCTAAAAGTCAAATGGAAGTCGAATAGTTATTATAATATCATGATTATATTCAACCAAGGTTTTTTTTTCATCACACGCCTAAATTTTCCAACAGATTGATTAATTAGTTTTAGTTGTATAAAAAAAGGTTTTCAAACAGGAACAACATTTTTAAGCCATATTTATCATTTGATAAAGTAAACTAATGATGATAAGTAAGATAAATCAACATAAATCGTAGCTTGTAGTAGTTTGGATAAGATACATTTCAAAGCTAAAAAGGTTTAGCTACAACAACTTCATTTAAATATAGACAAATTAAAACCACTTTAAAATTGAAAGTCTCCTCAAATGGAATGGAACACAAATGTTGCTGGCCATCTACGAGCTCGTAGACAATTTCTTTTACAAAAACACTTGCACAGTCTATTATAGTCTTTCATATTAGCCTCGGCAAGTGTATAAATATAAAGCTCATTGATTACATGCAAATTGTATATAGTTATATTATTTGCAGAATCATTATAGTTGATGCCGTCAAAAAATGTTTTCCTCAACGCGTTACAAATTCAGTTAGTTGCCCAAAAGACTCAATTGAAATAGAATTTCAAACCCGTTCGAAACATGAACTCTCAATGCAAACTTTCGCCAAACTATTTTTTGGGGGTTCAAAGCACGTCTCCAACTAAACAATGCAGTACGCGCACTTGCTCCACTTGCGAGATGGACTAAGAAAACAAATTACTTTGAGTAAATACGGTCGAACATAACAATTGAGTTGTCACAATTATGAAAAATTTAATTAATCGCTAGTTGGGAGCACAGTCAGCTCAAAAATTATACTTAGAATATACGATAAAAGTTAGTGCATGCTTAGTTGACCATCAAACGCGGTGCAATGTTCATGGACATGAGCTCCTGGAAGAGCAGCTTGGCCGCATACGGCAGGCGCACCTGTGAGATTTGCGTCTTGTTCTTGCAGCCCTTGCACTCGAACGTGTTGTTCCGCAGATTCGCAATGGCAATCAGGCCGCAGAAGTTGCAAATATGCACGCGATACGGATCGGAGACCTCAAACAGACGTTCGCGCAGGAATTGTGCGGCGCCGTGCGAGATTTGACAATCGCGCTCCATCTCACCGAAACGCAGGCCGCCGTCACGCGCTCTGCCCTCCATGGGCTGGCGCACAAGAATCTGTACGGGACCGCGGGCACGCGAATGGATTTTGTCGTCGACCATGTGCTTGAGACGCTGATAATAGGTGGGACCCAGGAACACCTTTCCAAACATAAACAAAACAGATTAAACTGGGTACTCAAAGCAAGTATTACCGTTTGACTCACCTGGGCATTGATTTTGCGACCGGTGTGACCATTGTACATGACTTCATTGCCACGCAGATGATAGCCGTACTCCTGCAGGAACGTGGATATCTTCTGGACATTCACTGCATCGTTGAAGGGCGTGGCATCACCAATTTCGCCCTTGTTGGAACCCAATTTGCCCTGCAGGCATTCGATCAAATGACCAATTGTCATACGCGATGGAATAGCATGGGGATTAATGATGATATCGGGCGCCAGGCCTTCGCATGTGAACGCCATATCCTCCTGGCGATACTGAATGCCGCACGTGCCTTTCTGTCCATGACGCGAGGCAAACTTATCGCCAATCTGTGGTATGCGCACGGAGCGCACACGAATCTTGCAGAACTTGTAGCCCTCGCTGTTCAGTGTCAACATCACTTGGTCCACAATGCCCGTTTCAGAGTTGCGCAAAAATGTGGACGCATCTCGCTTGGCGAATCGCTTCGTATTGCTGTCCAGCTCATCATCGTTCTCAGGCAGCGTAATTGTCTTGCCAATGACGACATCATCGCCAGAAACACGTATGCCCGGCGCAATGATGCCATCGTCGTCCAGTTTGTCGTAATGAGCATTCCTCATGCCTTGGCAGGTGCCTCGATGTGGTTTCTCAAAGTTCTCCTCCTGATCACCGACACGCTTATTCTCCGAATCCTTGTACGAACGGTAGAACACCGATCGGAAGAAACCACGCTCCACAGCCGACGCATTGAGAATGACAGAATCCTCCTGATTGTAGCCAGTATAGCACAAAATTGCCACAATCGAATTAATGCCGGCGGGCAGCTCTCGGAACCGCAAATACTCCATAGAACGTGTGGTGACCAGCGGCTTCATTGGATAGTACAGCACGTGAGCAAGTGTGTCCATGCGCACATGGAAATTGGTTATATAGACGCCCATAGCTTGCTTGCCTGAGAAATAGAACAGAAGGCAGGTTAGTTGACTGAATTTTGGAACGAATCCCAAACTTACCCATAGCACTTTGATATGTGTTACGTGGACTCTGATTGTGATCTGGAAAGGGTATGATGGAGGCACAGACACCCAATATCATGGCCGGATGAATCTCACAGTGCGTGTACGTGGTACAATATGCATAGTCCTTGTCCTGCTTGAGATCGTACGGTGACATGGCAATCATGACAGTCTCCTCCTCGAGGGTGTCGATATACTCAACGACACCAGACGCAACCAGCACCTGCCAACTGTAGTTGTTGTAGTCGCGTTCCTTCAACATTTCCACATGCGTCTTCTTCAACAGCAGCGTACCATTCTCCACGATGAGCAGCGGCCGACAGATGCGGCCCGCATCCGTATAGATACGGATCTCGCGGTCGCGAATATCGCGAATCATTGAGACCTCCGAGACAATGATGTCCATCTGGCGACGCAGCTTGCGCAGCGTGGCCATCAGCTGCTCGGGATCCCGATGTATGCCCACCCAACAGCCATTCACAAAGATTTTCGTTGCATCTGCAATGGCCGAGGGCGCAATTTCCTCCAGATTCTCCATGGACCACTCCTCCAAGAACTCCAGAATTGGCGATGGCTGCGAACCCACCGAAATATAGGCCATAAGTGCCAGATTCTTGACTAGACCAACAGCAGCGCCCTCCGGTGTCTCGGCCGGGCACAACATGCCCCAGAGTGTGTTGTGCAGCTGGCGGGGCTTGGCCAGCTTGCCATCGCGTCCAATTGGCGAGTTGACGCGACGCAAATGGGACAAGGTGGAGGCAAAGGTGAGACGATTCAACACCTGCGAGACGCCGGCACGCGCCTGATGCGCCTTCTTCTGATCCCCCCAATTGCCGGTGGCCAGCGAGTAGCGCAGTCCATCCGTTATAATGTTTGTCTTGATGGCCAGCTCCAGATTGAAATCCTTGCCACGATCAATGAACTTCTGCGTGTACATGCGCACCTCTTTCATGAGGTTCTTGAAGAGGCCGCGGAACAGGAAGGCCAACAGTGGACCAGCCAAATCCAGACGCTTGTTGCCATAATGATCACGATCGTCGAGCTCGCGACGACCGAGCGATGCGAGCAGCAATCGATGTACCATGTACCCCAAGAAATATGCCTTCTTTGTCTCACAGAAATCGGAGACGCCCACATGTGGCAACATTTCCTTTTGCAGAATTTCCTTGGCATACTTGATACGCTTATCCTTGGTGACACCGGGTCTTGCGCCGCGTGCTCCAATGAAATTGAGGGCGACATTCTGCTCCTGCACAACGAACGCCTCGTCCAGTGAGGGTTTCACCATCTCCATCATTTCCGGATCGTCAAAGTCGTAGATGATGTGCTCCAAGATATCACGATCGGCCACAAAGCCCAACGCACGAAACACAATCATAATGGGTATTTCCTGTTTGATATACGGCAAAATTGCTATGATGCGCTGGCCAATTGCAGACTTTTTAATGTTCTGCGAGCCACGCGCCATCATGTTCACCCAGAGCGTTGAGGTGGGACGTGAGCTGTGCTCCAGACAGGAGCGTATTTCAGTTTTGAACGCATACTTGCCATCTTTCATGCTGAACACGTAAACAGTATTCGTGGCCATTTTCTCCTGTGCAATGAGCACTTTCTCCGAACCGTTGATGATGAAATAGCCACCGGGATCGAGTGGACACTCGTTCAGCTCAGTCAAATCACGATCAGTTAGCTGGGAGAGCAGGCAATATGTTGATCTCAACATAATCGGAATTTTTCCAATAAACGTTTTCTGATGCTGCGTCTCAACGGGATCCAGACCCTCCACGTTCTTTGTCTTTGTGATATCTACATACAGTGGAGCCGAGTAAGTCAGATTACGCAAACGGGCCTCATTCGGCATCATGGGACTGGGCGAACCATCCTTCTCCCAATGCGTCGGCTTGGACAGGTAGATCTGTTCAAATTTGAGCGAGAAACGTGGCGGCGTCTCCACCTCGCCGGATGTGTGCTGTGCCTCCGCCTGCAGCTCAATGGCCGGCGAATCCTCCACAATCCGCTGCACGGACATCTGTATGAACTCATCGAAGCTGTCCAGCTGCTGACGCACCAAACCCTTCTCATCAAAGTACGCGTTGATCACAATCCAGCAGGCCTCCTGCCACAGCTCGTGCGAGATTTCTTCCACATTCTCCTCCTCGAAATTCTCTGCAAGTGCATTTATTATTCACAACTATTCGATTATTATGCTTAGCGCTTCAGTCGCCATGATCATTTTTTTCTTTTCTTTTTGCAAGCGGCGTGCGTTGCAATTTTTGTTTGGATTTTTTCTTACCTTCTTCATTTTCGTACATAATATTAACCAAATAGTTTTGGTGCACTTTGTGCACGTACAAAAATTGATAATTTAATGTTTTTACACTCTTTTAAATGTAGAATAAATTGATGAAATTGCAACTGAAAAATATTCTGCAAACACCGCAAGCAGCGGCGTTTTTTTTATGTTGGGAATTGCGATGTGAAATAAACTTATCGATATTTTCTTAGTGTTGCAGAAGGTGCAAATTTATCTTATAACGATAGCACAACAAAAATCACACGAGAATGTGTGCTCCTCATATGGAAGAATATATTGGAATTAGGAAGAAAAACGTAAACTTTTTAAATAATTAAGTAAATAAATTTAATGATGCATTTAATTTATTTAAATTTTGAGAAGACAACCACTCTTTCAAGTTAATCGGGTGTTTGTTTTGCATTGCATCGATATTACGTGTACATCTCTAGCAGTTATTAACAGCTGTTTCTCACCTCGCATGTTTTTCCTTTTTCGTTTTTATTGTTATTCAACGCTGGATTGCACATGAGTTTCTTTACAAAAGGTGGTCGGTTCTTGATTACCGGCATTCTGCCGGGCATTGGCATTGACCGCAGCGCCGACGATGTTGTCGACAAGGAAAGCAAAACCTACAAATCTTTCCTAGCCGAAAAGAGACCCGAAGAAACCGGCGCAGAGCGACTAAAGCAAATGTTCACCGTGGAGTAAGTTGCTCATCAAACGCAAACGGAATTACCAAAACTAACAAAGTGTCCAATATGTATAACTAGTGAATTTGGCAGCATATCCTCAGAGCTGAACTCCATATACCAGGCGGGCTTCCTCGGCTTCCTGGTCGGCGCCATCTATGGAGGTGTTACACAATCGCGAGTTAGCTACATGAATTTCATGGAGAGCAATCAGGCAACGGCCTTCAAATCACACTTTGATGCCAAGGTGCGTTTTGGGATATTCCCTATAGACCAATCAGTCCTTACTATTAATCTTTATTATTTCGCTTTGCAGAAAAAGCTTCAGGATCAGTTTACGGTGAATTTCGCCAAGGGCGGCTTCAAATGGGGCTGGCGTGTGGGTCTGTTTACCACCTCCTACTTGTAAGTGTGCATTCCTCATAGTGTGTGCAATGCACAGCTGCTAACTCTGTTCCCTCTCTGTTCTTCTACCGGCAGTGGCATCATCACCTGCATATCTGTTTACCGGGACAAGTCGTCCATTTACGAGTACCTCGCAGCTGGTTCGCTGACTGGCGCTGTTTACAAATTCAATTTGGGTCTGCGGGGTATGGCGGCAGGAGGCATCATCGGTGGATTTCTGGGCGGGGTGGCTGGTGTGGCGTCTCTGCTGCTGATGAAGGCGTCGGGCACTTCAATGGAGGAGGTGCGCTATTGGCAGTACAAATGGCGACTGCAGCGAGACGATAACATTCAGCAGGCGTTCAAGAATCAGGCACAAAAGGATGCTCCCGAATTGTTTACGGCGCACGATAGTCGCGTTGGCGACAAGGCTGTAACATTGGACTCGGTCAAGTGAATCGCTACTTAAATGTTTATTTAGATCGTGTTTTTTATTTATATTTAAATAATAAATTGCAATAATGTCCTTTTAAAGTATGTTTTAGAGACAAATACAATTAAGGAAGCCCAAGTTGGTGGCCACTGCTATGCTTTGATTCAGTTGGATGCCTAGTGCAACTAAAGATACAGGATAAGGATAAGGATATGACTCAGATATACATTTGAAAGTATATAAAAATTGAAAGTGGAACACAAATAAATCAAATGCGAATAAATTAAATGCCTTTGCTAGGAAACCAAGAAATGATAAAGTCGGAGAAATGTGAATCTCGTTGGGTTTCTTTTTAGACTTCGTCTTCGTGGGAGGGACGCGTGAGACGCTTGGCGCCCCGATTCGGTGGTCCTTTCGGTTTGGCAAAAGCTGGCCGATGTAATATCTTCTTGGGATGCAGTTCGTCCTGCAAGTACGCTTCCGTGAGCTCATCGCCCGCATCGATTTCCAGCTTCTTGTCCACATTGATACCCAGCTCCGCGAGCTGTTCAATGAACGGCGCCTTGCAGCTGGAGTACATCATTCGTTCGCGTACCGAGCATGAGTAGCCCGGCATGGAGTAGATAAAGACAAAGGACTCCAGATAGTCGCCTTCGTGCGTGTGCTTGAAAATATACAGATGATAGCGTGCATGATCCTCGGGCACCTGTCGCCGCAAATCCTGCAAGTCCACATTGCCAGCATGGGAGACATGGATGCGCTCCTCCTCCAGGCTAATACGGAACTGCAAATAATCATAGCTGCCACGCACCATATCCTGCACAGCAGCAATCGTGGCATCTGTCAGTGGACACGAGATGCCGCCCAGTGCCTGGTGACGCGTCTCCGTGGAGATGTCGGTGCACACAACCGTCTCCTTCAGCTCTTCCTCGCGGGTGGTGAGCGGTGCCGGTGCAGCAAATTCTCGCTTATGCTTCTTATAGCCTTCCAGCGTGGATTCCTCCAGAGTTGTGGCATGCAGCTCCTCGGCAATGTACGCCGATCCGAATTCGGTCTTCAATGTTGCCTTCGTCGAAGCGTAAACCATTTTCTGTCGTATGCTCGCCGTATCTGGTATCCAGCTGATCAGCAGCCAGCCATAGCCCAAGGGCATCTTTGCATCCAGACGATACAGCAAATAGCAGGGAACATTCTCATCCAGCAGCGGCGACAGCAGCTTATCATAGTCCCGTTCCCAGTCCTTCTTTACATCAGCTGTGGCGCTGCAGCTGAGCTGCTCTGCGCGGCGGAACAAAAAATAAAAAACATCAGTAAACGAAAGCAACGGAAGTTGTCGCTGTATGTGTGTATCTATGTGTATATACAGTCGAACTTGCCTATAGTGAAGACTGACTCAGATATCGAAAATCACTATATTATATAGACATTTAATAACTCAGATGATTCTTGCAAGTCCAGTAATCACAAAAAAACTGAATACAAGAAATCAAATCGGAATGTGAACGAAATACTCTGTGTGTGCACTGTAGCGAAGCTCCACTGTATTTGTAGACGCATGCGTGTGAGTGTGTGTGTGTGTTAATTCCACTCACCGTTTTCAATGGACACTTTTATCACTCGTATTTTACCATTCTTGGCCTTGCCAAACACTTTCGCTAGTTGCTCGTTGGCTGCAAAATAATAAATATTTTATTTAATCTCTTAATATCTTAGAATTATGCAGCTCCACGCTTACCTTTGATGCCCGTTTGGTGCGACATTGTTAACTGAAAGCTGGTGCTTTATTCTAAATTCTAATCGGAGAAAAAAAACTATTACTCACAAAAGAAGAAGCGGTGCTGCCAGTGCTTTCTATTTTGAGGTGGCAACACTGCTGCTCTGTTTACCTTTTGCAAGTAAACTATTTGCCGTCTGGCAGCACTCTAATTTGTAATGTGACCAGACTGTGCACGAGCTCATAGCGTGTTTTACAGCACTGTGACTTGCTCTACGTTCTTTTCACGTCTGTAAAATGTAAAACAAAAATTTCATTTTATTGCACTTAAAGCGACACAGTCCAACCAAAAAAGAAAGAAAAGAAACCAACGTATTTTTTTTTAGTGCAATTGTGTAGTAAATCAAGTGAGTGAAAGCTGGCGTGCAAAGCGCATAAGCGCTGCTACGGTCCAATTACTAATGAGCGCTATCTCTGCCGCTGTCGACGTCGACGTCAGCGTTTGTCCCCGCCCTGCTGCAAATGTTTACTTCCGCTTTTTATTGTTGTTGTTGTTGTAGCTAATGATGTGTACATAGTGTGGAAAGCGTTGAATTAAAATTTGTTATTTGTGTGCATTCGTTGCAGCATCCATACCCATGTTAACCGAAGCCCCCATGGCCAGTGACAACATAATGGACGAACTAGCATCATTGATACGCACCGAAATCCCCGATGGCCGCCAGAGTCTGCGCGACAGCTACACGAATCTGGAGCGTGTCGCCGACTACTGCGAGGACACCTACTATCGTGCCGAGAACAAGAAGGCCGCCCTCGAGGCCACCAAGAACTACACAACCCAATCCCTGGCCAGTGTAGCGTATCAGATCAACACCTTGGCCTACAGCTATATGCAACTGTTGGATTTGCAGGCGCAGCAGCTCAGCGAGATGGAGTCCCAAATGAATCACATTGCTCAGACGGTCCACATACACAAGGAGAAAGTGGCCAGGCGGTAAGTTAACCAGTAGCTTGGCAACTTTACTTGATCGGATGTTCTCAGGCTTATTAATCATTATAAAAGCATTTCAAAGAATACGAATTTGAATTATTCTATGCATTTCAAATCTACAGCGAGATTGGCGTCCTGACAGCGAATAAAGTGAGCTCACGCCAGTTCAAGATTGTGGCGCCCATCAATCCGGAGAAGCCCATCAAGTATGTGCGCAAGCCCATCGACTATTCCATACTGGACGAGATTGGCCATGGCATCAACTCGTCGGCCCAGCACGTTGTGCGCCAGAAGCATCGCGGCTCGAGTCATGGATCGGTGCAATCGCTTGTGCCGTCATCGGTGGGCCCTCCGCCCACCACAAAGCCACCAACGCCGCCGCAAATGTCGCGTGCGGGTAACACGGGCACCTTGGGCAAATCGGTAAGCAATACGGGCACGCTAGGCAAGAGTTCGCGAGAGTATCGTACACCACCGGTGGTTAATCCGCCCCAGGTGCCGTCGCACTATGCGCCCAACTATCCCATTGGGCATCCCAAGCGTATGTCGACGGCCTCGTCCACCACCACCAATACCACGGGCGGCGGTGCAGCGGGCAATGAGCGTGCCGCCGGCTACAGTGCGCTTCCCATGCCGCCTAGCCAGCAAATTGCGACGCATGTGAATCTACCGTCGGCGGGCATGATGCAATCGCTGCCGCCACCGCCGCCAACGACTTACGATGACAGGAGCAGCATGCCACGTAAGTTAAGCGTTTTCCATTCGATTGAGCTTGGCAACAACAAATAATGAATTTACTTTTGCTCAACTTTAGCAGCACCTCCTTCGCCGCTGACCGTATCGCAGCATGAGATGACCGAACAGAGCCACATTGGAATGCACACGCTTGGCCGCAACATCAACAGGTAAGCATATTTGAACTACGCGTCTCCTCATTATGTGCCTGTATTTAACCATATCTGTATATCGTACTTTTAATCTGCTTGCGCACAGGAATCCGAATAGGTAATTTGCATGCTTCTACTGTCATTCGTTGATGACCCTTTTTTTTGTTAACTCTTTCTTTGGTTTGCATAGAAATCATTTCAGTTTGAACTTTGCACGTCCTGGTTCGCAATCGCCTCCATTGCCACCACCGCCGCCGCCGGAGGATGAGCATCAAGACTTTGGACGTCCACGCACTTCCACTGGCCCTCAATTGGCGCCCATTGTGCCAGAAGATCAGAACTTGCCCGGCTGGGTGCCCAAAAACTATATCGAAAAGGGTAAGGAACAGAGAATATTATGCTAAGTCTTTTAGTGAAATTATTATGCTACTAATATATTAATATATTTTTACTTTGCATATCTTTTTAGTGGTCGCAATTTATGATTATTATGCCGACAAAGATGATGAGCTCAGTTTCCAGGAGAGCTCCGTTTTGTATGTGCTGAAAAAGAATGACGATGGCTGGTGGGAGGGTGTTATGGATGGTGTAACCGGTCTGTTCCCTGGCAATTATGTGGAGCCATGCGTCTAAGCACTGCCAATGGAATCAACAACAATAACAATAATATGCATTATGACAAAGACGATAACGATTTGCGCATAGAAGTTAATGATAATTATACAACTACAGCCACAGTGCACGCTCGTAAAAGTATTCCACTAGCATAAACCGAATGGCAACAAGCTGCATCTACACACACACATGCATATGTACTTTAATATGTATAACACACACATACAAGCACACGTACACACACACACAGTCCTATGAGTATACAAGACACTCCAGCAACAATTGTCAAAGCATTTATATGATCTACGTAACGTAAACTATAAACTAATTAAATAACCTAAATAGCCGAAAATAGCCCAAAGTAACGAAAAATGCAAGAGAAATTGAAATACACATTAATATTACCTATTTAGTACATATACTGATATAGACGAATTCGGCCCCCAAGTCAGTTATGAAGTGTTTAAATATTTGCTAGTGTTTATAACAATTTTGTAAGGCGCTTTCTTTTTTGTGTTTACATTGCGCTTGGGTTTTGACCGAACGACCCATTTTGCCACACCACCTCACCACTCCCACACACACACACACACCCAACCCCCGCGCAGTGTCGTAGGTTATACGAATTTCAGTTAGCCCTTAAGTATGGGCCAATTGGTATTGCGTTTAATATTTTTTTGTAATACTACATTCTACCCAACACACTTACAAATAATTATGCAGAGATATTATTTGCGATTATACTAAAGATTTAGTTAACATGAAATTACCACAATGAAATCAAATTACATTTATAAAATATACAGCCACATGCATTATATGGTCAAATAGCTAATAAAATTTCGAAATTTCAAAGGCCTTGTTATTATTGTTTTCGACCATGCCAATTTTGCATTGCCCGCCTCGCAACTGGGTTTGACCTTTACGTGCCGGATGCCTACATACGCCAAGCTAATCATTTTATTAAAATCCGTACCCCCGAAAGTGTTTGGAAGATATGCAAATGCGTGTCCTTGGCATGCAACCAATGCACCCAACTGAATACTGTGGGTGAGTGACGTATGCTCTGATGTTGGCTGCCCCCAATAAAATATTTACAAATGCCAACACTTTCAACGAACTAACGCCCAAATCTATCAATCAATCAAAATTTGATATGCGAATGCATTTACAATTTCCAATTTCAATGTCGAGCTTGGGAAAATTGAATCCTAAAAGGAAATTAATGCTTTCACGTTGATACGTGGCAGCAGCTGTTATTTGCAACATTTATTATCAAAGCCATTCGGTTTGATGGCAGTGGAGTGTGGTACTGTGGCGTCACCTGAGATTGACGTTGCGGAAATGCTTCTACTTTTCATTTAAACTGCCAGTTGCTTGTTGCTAACTGGGCTCAAATGTGTCGCAGCAAAAACTCAAACACAAAGTGATTTGCATAAGAATGTAATTGGTGGTCGAACTATGTAGTTGGAGCAACATAAGTATAGTATATATATAAATATACATAATACAAAATATTACAAATAACTTTTTTGAAGAGAGTTTTAAAAGTAGATGTGATCTTAGGGATAACTGTATTTCCCATACGAAATCGATTTTCCGATAAGTTTCTTCGCATATCCATAAAGGTGAATTGCAGGCGTTGGGATGCAGCCCCCAAAAAGTGGAGCATAATAGTTTTCCACCCATTTTTCGACAGTGGGTGTGCATATAGCTGCAATGCAAAAGTCATAGAATAAATTTTGATTTTAAAGTGTTCGAGAACTTAGGTTTAAAGGAAAAAGCTAACACTTTATACATATTTTTCAACCATGTTAGTGGATTTGTAAATTCGGTAAATCATTTATTTATAATTTAAACTTTATTAAATGTATAAATAGAGATTTGGATAAGTATTTGATATTCAATCGGATGAATATTTATGTTTCGTTCTTAAAAGAAAACTGATAAGAATTATGCCATTTTAGTTTGAAATGCTCATAGACTTAGATCGAATATTAATAACATACAACTAAATAATATTACAGGAAACAAATAGACAAAAAATGATCTAAATGAGCTTATATTAAAATGAGTTTAATAGAAATTCTTATGCTGTATAACTGCTTAATTTTACAGAAAGCATCGTTGAAGAAAGTCATTAAGTAGGCAACTAATAGATCGACAAGTAATTTACATACTTAAGTAAGCACCTTCAAGGACCTTAATTTGTATTTACTCTTTATTGATATTTTAGCGGCATTGTATGGGTATGTGTGTTATACACCAACAAATACTCAACTTTGTGAATACCACCCCAGAAGAGCTCCGAACTGGCCAACGTCAAAGAAATGTATGCAAAATGGCGCATTAGCATTTCAACAATTCCAAAAACAAGTGGAGTGAAAAAAAGCAAAAAACAAACACTGGGAAGAAAGGCAGTCTGAGGCAAACCCAAGATTAAATACCCTTACAGACCAGAGTCAAACTGTCGATATCTAAATTTCACTAAATGAATTGAATATATGAAATCTACTCTAGTGTTTCTCAAGGGATAACTAGATCAGTTAGGAGTTGTAGATTTATTTCGCAGATATTATTATGTTTTGAACAACTATAAGTTAATGTCCTGCATAGAATCCACTTCATTTGTGAAAGTGAACTTTTATTAATCATTCTTATTGCAGCTGTAGACAAGATTATTATTAGAGTCTCGGAACTTTTATTAATCATTCTTATATCCTAAAAATCTTCCATCTTATCCATATGTTCTCTGACCTTAAAACATGTTTGGCCAGGATACTATATTTTTCTAGCTAGGGCGAAAGAGTCTGGCAGGTACAGGCTTTGACATATACTACAAGTATAGTGCCAACAATGTGATGAACATATTCCATATTCCATTAAGGGGCTAGATGGCATAAAAATATGCAGACAGAGGGCTGTGGCTTTATCGATCAGAATAGTTATGCTGGTCAAGTATAAATGTATATATATATTCTTCAAGGTATTGAAGACGTCCTCTTCAAAGTACACAACAAAATTATAATGCCCTGGCCAACTGTATAACAACAACTGAGAAATTGATTGAGCTATGCGGCCAACAAAACGAAACACAACAAGAACTACAGCAACACCAACAACAACAATAGCCGGCAGACTACACACCGCCCTCAAAAAAAGAACACCCAACACTTGGTGTATACTGTACAGTGCACACTATGCCTATATTTTCGTTTCGTTCCGTTCTGACCAGCACAGAGTCCAAATGGGGCCGGTCGCCTTTTGGTTTAGTTCAGTTTTGTCAGTCCACGCGAACGGTTCGCTAACATCGCGAGTGCCAAGTCAAATAATATATATATATATATATATATATATATATACATAAATATATATATATAAAATACACCTCGGTTAGTGTCCTTTTTGTTGGACTCGAGTTTTTTGAATAGTTTCGTGAACAAGTTACATTTGTAAGTGCGGCATTTGGCAGACGTGCTGCGAAACTTTTGTTATCGAGTGGCGAAAAGTTCTTGCTGTTCCTTACTACATTATAATCGATGATAAGTTATTCGGAGGGGACTATTGTTATGAGTAGCTCTGTAAGCTGATGGCTTAGCTGTTTGCGCATATAATTGACCTACTTGAAGGCGGTTGCCTGAGCCGCTTATCGCGGTCATCTGCAGCCGCATTGGATATATTTCTTAGCTTAACTGTGAAAATATAACATTATTTCATGTCAAGATTGGGGCCAGTGGAGTCGTTTTGTTGTTGAAATGTGCGAAAAATATGGAAAGTTTTGTACGTACTGCAAACAATGCAGAGAAGTTGGCCCACTTTCAGCCGGGCCAAGTTCTTGAGATTGCGGCACGCACGCCTCTTTTGTATGCCTTTCCTCAGTGTCCGGAGTTTTTAATTGTGCCTGGCAGTAATTGACCAAACTTGAAGGTTGCAAAACGCACCAAAATCTGATGAAAAATCCACACTTCAAGTTGTTGGAAAAGTTTGTTTAATGAACATTCTTACAATCTCCCTGTCACATTTCATTTGATGTATCCTATAAATAGCCAAAGGACGCACAAACAACTTATTACTGGCAATTAACTGTTGGCCACAAATGCTGGCCATCAATCACAATCGCCCCAGCCATGGTCAACGCAAGCTCATAATTATTGAGAATGAGTTTGCTAATTTGTATAAGACTGAATGTAAAGTTGAGGTCATATTTCTACATCTTTTAAGTATATAAATAATACAAGAACCCACAAATCCAAGCTACAATTTTATTGCAAAGCTTTTAGCCAAAATGTATGCTATGATAATTACAATATTTATTTATATTTTTGGTCTACATTTGTACAGCATTCGTTTAGAATGAACAAATATTCTTGGTCTATATTTATTTAACAATTAACACAACTTAGGCAAACGAAAGGTATTTCTATTTTTGGTATAGTTTTTTATGTGCTATGTCCATAAAGCTACCCACTTTTCTATTATTGACAAAGATATTTTCATTGAACGCTCTTCTGTTTTAATTATAGTTTCCCGAAAGATTTAAAAAGCATAAATTTAAAGCATAAATTTAAGCATATATTTTAAATTACATACTCCTGACGTTTTAGTCAAGCAGAATTGAAATAAAGTCGATGTCGTGCGATATAAAAACATTAATTAAGGGTTGTTATATTCAAATTGGTTAGAATACATACAAACTAAGATTTAAATATTATATCAATGCTTAAATGTACATAAAATACATTCAAATACAAATTCTAAACCGTTCTCGGCTCGTGGCTCGGATACAATGTAGCAAGAAAGATATATAAGTATATATATAACAAAAATCAGATAATTATTTAAAAGCTCTCGCATTAGTTAAGTGCTCTGTTAAGTGCATTTAAATCCAACTTAAAAGCAATTATATAAAAAAATTATTAAATCTATTTTTATAAATTTTGTATACTTATTTGCCACCAAGAAGAAAAATCCACCCTATTAAATAAGCTGACTTGTTTACAAATAAATACAACTGCTTATGTTCTTTTTACCAAGAGAATTCCCCAGCTAATCACTGATTTTCCCCAACAAATGCAAACAGCAGAGTCATTTAGTCAACACGTGGACGAAAAATCGGACTGGGCACACTATGTACTACATATAATATATATATATATATATATATATATAGTAATGAAAATGAAAAATCCACTACAGACACGCTCTAATTACGTCTACCTCATCGCTTAGGGTGGGATGGAGTTGTGGCTATCAGTGGAAATAATCAGGGTTATGTTTGTCGAAAACTCTGCTGACCGGAATGAAATCAAAATGCAGGATTCTAAAATATGGTAGCAACGAGCATGCCACAACAGCAACAACAATAACTACGCCAATACGCGCAAACAATAATGTCAAAGACACAGGACCCACTGACATACACCGAGACAGAGAGGGATAGAGAGAGTGAGAGAGAGAGATAGTTATTTAGTTGGACGGCAACGAATTGCTGTCCACTGTTGGCCCTGGTTGTCGTGTTTACGTGCAATTTACGCGAATTCAGTAAATGACAATAGTAACACAAAATAAGAGAGAAACAGAAAAAGCATAAAATGCAAAACAAGCCGGTAAAAATGATTAGAAAAATTATTGTGGCATTTTATAAGCTTAGTTTGAGCGGCTCGATGCAAATCGATTTTAATATTAAACTGTGTGAAAGTGCAGAGGCCACTCACGAGCACTATGGAGTCCTGCTTTACCTAAAGGGCGTGTCCGAGCACTCCATGAATTCGTTTTATTGACACTGAAGGCCTACAATTTGTCAGAACTGTAATTTGTATTTTCTTACACATGTGCACGGGGCACACATTCGAGGGGCAAGTGTTTGTTTATTTGAAATTTAAGTGTCGCATGAGTTATTTATAATCTGTAGGCTTGAAGTAATTAAATTATTTATGCGCTTTCGCGCTCAAGTATTAACTACTCGTCCAAGAGGTCATTTGTTGCACATATAAATTGGAAAAAGGGGCGAACCCCTGCCCAACTGTGGGTAGCTGGACACATGTGTGTTTGGTTAGCGATGTGAACTTTGTTCTTAGAGATTAAAATTCAATTTCACTTGGCCAGCTTAATGGTGCACATAATTAATTTTAAAAATAATCTTCTCGTAGATCTGGCATTGAGAAATTACTCTGGTTATTATAATTAATATAATTATCAATATTGCTTTCTGATTAATCTAAAGTTTTGCGTGTTGTGACCTCGAAACAGGGTTCTCTCTTCTGGTGAAATTTCGAATTTAAGCTTAGAAAATTTCGAAATACTGAAAAATTAGTTACTCATTCACTAAGGCATGAAAAGATCTGAATTCAAGGTGTTAGTTAAACAGGACTTTGTAGGAATGACTTGGTTGAAGTTGAGACTGCAATAGTTTGGAAAATTCGGAAAAAGGCCGAACAAATTATTACGCATTCACTAAGTATGAAGAAGTGTTAATCCAAGGTGTTAATAAATAGGACTTTCCCTGAGTGAATTTGGACTTTAACAACTTAGGAAAATTAGGAAAATACAGAAAAATTGGTCATTCATTTAAGCGTGAAAAGGTGTTAATTCAAGGTGTTCATAAGTAGGACCTTTGCTGAATGACTTGGCAGTTAGTTTCGTCTTGTGGCAGGTGTTTGACTCTTTGAGCAGCCATCGAACTCTTGAAAAGTTAACCTTCATTGATTTGCATACGGAGACATGCAGTACAATGAAAGGTGTTCAAGTTCACGGCTTGATTTACGACGCACGCCAACTCGTAAACCAAGCCCGCAGGACTTTTAACTGCCAAAAGAACTGAACAACAGCAGAAACAACCACATCGATTAAGTCAAGTCATGAACATGACAGGAAAAACCTTGACGCCAAAGTTTATAATCCATTAAGACTAGTTCTCATTTCTAGGTTGGGAAGTTGGTTGTGGATATACCCAGTTAATGACAGTTTTACGATTGTTGACAACAAATTGACACCATTTGTAATCGTTTGTTGTTGTGGTCACCTTGTAGACAGGTTATCGACACATTTGGGGCACGTGGCATTGCATCGAAGGACAAATCACTTGATTGAAGATGGCTGCTAGTGCTGGTGCCAGTAGCTGGTCGGGCAGCAGCGGAGGCAGCACATCTTCGCAAGGACGCCAACTGGCAACGGCACAGCCCGCCCAGGAGGAACGCTTGGTGGTGAGTGGCAGAACCGCGCTGGGCATCCAGGGCACATTCCAGTTGAAGGAATTTCCCACTCTTTGCAGGTGGCGGTGCGTGTGCGTCCTAGTCTGGATTCCACAGAGCGCTGCATTGAAGTCATCTCTGGCGGCTCCCTGCTGTATGATGATGGCGGCAAGAGTCGGCCAAGGAAATACTCCTACGATCATGTCTTCAAGGAGAACGACACACAGGAACAGGTGTACAAAACCACCACGTCGCCACTGGTCAGAGATGTCCTTAACGGTTACAATGCTGCTGTATTTGCATATGGAGCAACGGGTTCCGGTAAAACGCATACAATGCTTGGACCTGTGCCACGAAAGAAACCCTCGACAGCCGGCGGCAGTGAACCGGACGTCAGTAGTCAGGACATTGGCTTAATGGTGCGGGCAATCGAAGACATCTTTGGTTACATTGAGGCAGCTACACCGGAGAGCGCCTCGAAAATATCCATATCGTATTTGGAAATTTATAACGAACTCATCAGGGATCTGCTTAATCCGGGTGGACCGTTGGAACTGCGAGAGGATAATCGTGGCCAGCGCATCACCGTTGCCGGACTCTCGGAGATAACGACATCCAGTCGCAAGGAGGTCGTCGGCCTGCTCATTAAGGGCAACAAGGCGCGCACAATGGAGCCCACGGCAGCCAATCAGACATCCTCGCGGAGCCATGCTCTGCTTAGCATCACGGTGCAGACACGAACGCCGATGGGCACCAAACAGGGTCGTCTTTTTCTCACCGATCTGGCTGGTTCGGAGCGTGCCAAGAAGACGAAGAATCGGGGCAAGCGTTTGCAGGAAGGCGCCCACATCAATCGCAGTCTGTTGGCGCTGGGCAACTGCATCAATGCTTTGTCGGGTGGTGCCCGATATGTGAACTATCGCGACTCCAAGCTGACCCGTCTGCTCAAGGAGGCGCTCAGTGGACGCTGCAAGACGGTCATGATTGCCCACGTCGCGCCCGAGAGCAAGCATAGGGATGAGACCAAGAATACGCTCGTATATGCGGATCGAGCCAATAGCATCACAACAAAACTCCAGAGCTCTGTGTACATCGATGAGTTCAAGAACTTTCCCACCAAACACTACCAGAGTCTGGTCTCGGAGCTGCGCGACGAGGTCACCCGCTTGCGCACCAAGATGTTAACGGAACGTCCACGCAGTGGAGCTGCTGCAGCCGCAGCGGCTGCTTCTACGGCTCAGGCAGCGACAGGCCAACAGCCACCATCCAGCGGGGAGCCAAATGAGCAGAGGAAATCAGAGCTTCGTTATTTGCGTGAGCAAATTGTGCTCACCTTCAAGCAGCAGATGAAGCTGCGAAGGAAACTCCTCGAGGCGGAGAGTCATCTGTTGGGCCTCGAACTGGATGCCGAGCGACAGCACATGATCATATCTCACTGGCAGGGACGCATTGGCAAGCTGTACGACATTCCTGGCGATGATGGTGGGTATTTAAAAATACGAAAATTAACTCTCTTTTTCAACTCAAATATTAAATACCCTTGTAGACTAGACTTTATCTCCTTCCTTCCTTTGATAGCTGGTGAGTTTGATTAGAGTAATTTGTTAAGCAAAAAGTTGTTCATTCAAGAACTAATATAATGACCGATTGTTCCGCTATATGATGCGATCTCTGTGATTTTTTTTAACAAGTTTTGGGATTATAATCCCAATTAAAATACACATTTACCAACCGGGGATTCTTATACTTATATTACGAGTATATCATTTCATGATGATCAATAATTTAATATTGGAAAAAGTTTCTAAGACAATTAAATATAATTCAATTGTTGAAGAATAGTTTGTCATAAATGTTTCCAAACAAGCTCAGGGGGTTTTATATATATAAATATATATATTTATTTCTATTCCCATTCAAATTTGATTTGAAATATCTGAAATTATTTATTTAATTTTTCATTATCTGAAGCAGACATCGAATCGGAGGGCTCTGTGGCCTTGAAGAATGCTTGGGGCGAACTGGCGGCCATTGAGAAGGAGACGCGACGCTATAAAGAAGTGCGGGAGCACACAGAGCACGAGTTGGAGCAGTGTCGGCAGAAGGGTGTCAAGTTAGAGGATGTAAGTCGAACAGAATTGTAGTCTCAGCAATGCTAGTTGTAACTAAAATCCAATCCATGTACAGGAGCTTCCCGAACGCATTACCAGCGATGAGGAGCGCGAATTGCTCGCCCTGCTCTGCCGCGTGCACGAACTGGAGGCGGACAAGGTGTCATTGCAGGCGGAACGGTTGGCACGTCAGGCGGAGCTACGGCGTCGCGACCTCCAGCTGTTGCGGGCCGAGCGGCAGCGACGCCTGTGCGAGGACATCATTAGCTCCCAGCGGCGACTCATCGAGGAGGGCAACGTTGACCTGCCAGATGAGTTGCGAGAACTCTACGGTCTCTATCAGCAGGAGATTCATGCCGGCGTTGTCACACCAAGCACGGGCAACTATGAGAAGAAGCTGCCGCCCATCTACACAGCTGGGTAACCCACCCTATCTATCTTTCAAGACGTCATATCTATAAACCAACAATGCACCATTTTATTGTAGTTCCGACTCACCCGGTTCGAGCTCCAGCTCGGAATGGTCACCCGTCTCACCATTGCCGGCAATAGAGATTGCCGTGTCGGACGGACCAGATCGCTTGATGGGTCCGCCTGTGAATCCGCGTCTGCCCCGACTGTCGACCGGTGTGAGTGCGGTCAGCATGCGTCGTCCCTCGATGCGTCTGGGCAAACAGACGCATTCTTAGAGTTGGCAGCGCCAACTCTGCTCGAGTTGCTCAGGTATAGTTGTAAAGGTTTAGGTTAGGATTAAACGGGCTGCACAATTTAACGAAATGCTCAATATGCCTAATGCATTAATTATGTTTATAATTATGTCTTAACTTCGAGTACATATCTTAAATAAATAACTATTCGAATGGAACTGATATTGTTGTACTTTCTGTGTGGGTCTAACTTATTTTAGATGATGCTTGGCGATTATAAACGCGAGAATAATTTGTTCTTCGTTTATTGTTTTTGTTTTTGTTTTATATTTTTAATATGTTCATCAAAAAAGAAAATTCGCATATAAATAATGTGTGCCTTGGAATCTACGATTTAGTGCTTCTTTATTTTGCTTAAATAAAATTTTCCATTTTTTGTGGGCATATTCCTTGTCATGAGAAGCCGCTCGATGTCACACATATCAAAATTGGTATTTGAATTTATGCCAGCGTTGCCGGACCTATTTCTTGAGCAATCTGGCAGCCCGAATTTAATACGTTAGATAGATAGGCGGTTATTTTTCAAAATGAACACAAAAGTAATTTAGTTTGAATGAAAATTATCCGTGAAAAGCATACATATATCGTGGGTATTTCTACTATTGAATTTTTTAATATATATATATATATATATATATATATATATATATATATACTTGACTAGTACGTACGACTAGTATATCTACAAACTGTTTTTCAAGTAGCAATTTACATATCAAATCATTATAAAAGTGCTAATTGAATTTTGTAACTTAAAGAATGAGCTTTGTTTGATATTATAAAAAGATGTTGTATTGAAGATCAAAATTGCTCGATTTATGTTGTGGGTTTTATCATATTATTAATCTATTGATAAGTGTATTCCATTTTCATTATGTTTAGAATAAGCATTTATCAAGAGTATATAATATTCGGTGCGCCGTTGATTTAATTTGTCACTTGGTAATAGTAAAACTCGTTTCATAATAAGCTAGCCCTTTACACACTTGATGGCTACGATAGGCTTACCGCGAACATTTCCTACGCAACGACGCTAAGGTCACTGCCGGCACAGAATTTTTGTTTCTAGTTTCTTGTTTTTTGTTGATTTGTTGTTGGTTTTGTTTTTTTTTTTTTTTGGAAGTAGGTCAGAAACAAGAAACATAAACAAAGCGAGAGCGTTCCACTGAGACGGAGAGAGAGAGAGAGAGAGGGATGGTGTCTGAGTGGAGTGCCAGAGAGAACACCGGGCGAGAGAGAGAGCATGCTGAGCGTGAGAGCATGCGTTGCTAGGAAATATAATTATTTATCCGCTCGCACAACCATTTGATGGTTTGATTTTCGTTATTAGATACACAGCTGTGCTCCCAGTGCGTGGTTGATTTTCCATTTGGTTCTGTCATTGGCATTTGGCTGCTGTAGTTCAAACAATAAGCAGGTTGCTGTCGAATAAGAAAGTACATTCATAAGAGCAATATAAAAATACATTCAGTCAAACATAAACACAACTATTACACATCACATCTATTACAAATATTACAGCACTGGAAGTAATAGCAACTGCGCAATTTGCACATTGAAACACATTGAAAGTGATACGTGAAATTTGTTAATCAATTGTACAATGCCAAAAGTATAATTGTCTGCATGGGAAATCATTTGAGTGCCAGTAGAATTGTAAGGATTAACCGAGGCCGAATTGCTTTCTTCGATAGAACCATCGATTGTCAGGTAAGAAAAAATGCTGTATGCATTGCAGACTCCCACAATGGGATGAGTATCTGTCTGTACAAGTATCTCAAGTACGCCTGTGTGGCTCTAACTGCATATATGCATTTGTATATTTGCATGCATGTGTATATGTAATATACATATGCATCAAACTATGAGTCCAAAACAATCTATGCACGGCGTGAGAGAGTAGACGAGAGTGCAATGGGCCAGCTAAGGACTGTTCCCCGGGCAACCACCTCACCTGTTCTGCGGCGAGTTTGTTTGCTGTCGAAGTTTAACCCTTGTGTGTGTTGTTTTCGGCATAATTGGATTGTACTATTATTGAAAGGTTGTCGTATTGAATTTACTTTGTGCTTAATGGTATTTGAATCTCTCTTAGGATAAAGTCTGATTACACAATTATTTGAATATTTTCGTAAAAAAAAGTTCTAGCTAACAAACAACCGTTAACATTTTTCATTCGATTTTAACAACTAAAAATATTAGTAGCAAGAAAGAGTAGTTTTCTTAGACAAGCCAAACATTACATACCTTTGTAGAAAAGTAAAGATAATCCACAAACTTTTAGTCCAGAGTTTTATACAAATCGTATTTGTGTGTTTTCCGTTTCACGACTGGCTGTGAACTGAATATTCCACATTTGTGCGACTTTATAACATCAGATAGGTTGACATGTATTTAGAGACCAATAATGTCGAGCTTCAAATGTATTGATATTATTTATTAAGTACAGCGCAACGGCACAATGTTTATTATTATTTTACGGCTTTCCACCTGCAACAGTTGTCTGTTTATTTATTATTTCTCACATGTGAATTACTCTCGACGACTCTCTCAAAATGATAATTATATACTTCTCAACGTCTGCATGTATTTGTTGCATGTATGTCTACGCCTATCTCACAATGACATAATACAGTTAGACGTTCGTAGTTACCACAGCAACAAGACACATATGCGACAAGTTTCAACAAGACAATTTAAAAAATGGAGGAGGGCAACATATTCAAAGCATGACTAGAAAATTAGCACAGACACGCAAAAGTTCATGGCTATATTGACTTATAATACGCTCCACAAGGATATAAGAACATAGAAGTATAGAATGAAATAGCAATCTCAAATAAAATCTGATATGAAAAACAGTTATGTTGTGTTGTTGTATAGATTGAATACCTATTGCAGGCTTATAGCAAAAGTGCTATACACTTTAGATCCATGAAGAAACCCTTAAGCTGATCATAAGTGTGGTCACTTAAAAGGAGAGAAGAATCCTTTTTTAAATTATAATCTTTATAAATAGAATACCCCAAGAATTTCTTATTGCAACCCTTTCAATAAAAATTGACCAAAAGAAAATATATCGATCGTTTAAAACTGTGTTAAAACTGATTTATGGAAATTTATTGAATTTAATGGTAGTTAAAGTTTAATATCCTCTGACTTCTTAATAAAATGTATAATGAAAATGTCTCAATTCTTGCAGGCGAATAAAGTGGAGCCAGAGATGGCTACGGCACTGGCAGCCAGTAATTCCGCAGAGACATCTGATGAAGAAGGAGAGACTACAATGATGCACATTGAGCAGTTGCCAAATGATCTGTGGATAGAGATTATGTCGTATTTAACGTATTTGGATCTGCAGCAGCTGCGACTGGTTTCTTGGCGTTGTCGTGAATTAGTTAATCGGCGTTATTTCGCGACACGCGGCAGGGTGATTGTGACAAAGGAGAATCTGAAGGATATGAAGCAGCACGTGGAGAGCCACGCATCGTATATCAACTTTGAGGACGTCGAGTTTCGCAACTTGTCACAGAGTCTGGAATTGGAGCAGTTTCTGCGACTGGTGGGCAAGGAGGTCAAATGCCTGCTGGTTCGTCACTCGCCCGTCTTCCGGAGCATCCATGGCAAGCTGCCCAATTTGAAAATGTTGAAAATAGCCACGACTAGCTTTCTGGATGATGACAACATGACCGTCGATGGGATCAATATGAAGCAGTTCCATCAACTGGATGGCTTCGAATGTGACGGTGTCAGTCTAGACTCAAATCTGAAGCTACTGATGCTATTGCAGTTGCGTCGCGTGGAGACCAAGGTTCGATTGCGTCACCTGCTATTTGAGTATCGGCGCAACAATGAGATGGTCCTGCTGCAGGTGCTCTATGACCACGCGCACACTCTGGAAAGCGTCGATATCTTCTTTAGCTGTTCGCCGGGTATTGAAACAGAAAACTGGCGTCTGACCTTTGAGCGGATGTACAGGTTGCGCACCTTAAAGCTCTCTGGCAACTGTCATCTAATGCTACTTCAAGTGATTCTGGATTCGATACCAAAGACGGCTCAACTCAAGCATCTTGATCTCACCGGCATGCTATCGCTGACAAATGAACTGCTTATCCGAGTGGCTCGTAAGTGGCGTAAAACGCTGAGTTACGTGGATCTCATGTTCTGCGTCCAACTGGATGTGCGCTGCGTGAAGGCGTTGCGTAAGATGAGCGGTTGCCTGGAGTCGCTAACCATGTCCTATTGTCGTGCGATGACTGGCAGAGGGTTGGTGGAGGGGCTTACCACCAACATGAACAATACACTGCAGGAGCTGTTTCTGGAGGATGTCTGCTTCATTGATGAGAATTCCATGTGCGCTCTGCTGGAGCGATTGCCGAATTTGAGGAAGCTCAGCTTGGATAACTGCCAAAAAGCAACCACCGATCGCACTCTGGCCACAATATTCCAACACCAGAAGCTGCTGCGTGTGCTCAGGATTGATTACTGCATCAAGATCACGGATAACGGCTTTATCGGCTTTGGCAAGCATCCGTACGCCATCAGTCGCTTGCGAGGATTGCGGGAACTAAATGTCCGAGGATGTCGCAATCTTACCCACCGCCTGCTTAAGCGAGCTCTACGTCTGCCCGAGCTGCTTAGCCTGACACTGGACTACTGTAATCGCTTGGATACGAAAGGCATCGCTGCACTTACCATGAACTGTCCAGCGTTGGAGATGCTGTCCGTGGCCAGTTGCTCATTGCTGGATGATGTGGCTGTTCAGTTTGTTGTGCTCAATCTGAGTCGTTTGCGCAGTCTCAATATTAGCAACTGTTCGTTGATAACGTTGCAATCGTTCAGTCATATTGCCAGATATGCGGACAATCTGAGGGAGTTGGTGGCATGTAGCATTGATGGGCTGGATCATGAGGCTGCTCAGAGTATTCTGGATCTGCATCTGCCAGAATTGAAGAAAGTGATGCTATAGCAGGAGAGGCTCGTTCACTGACTGGATGATAACAATCCTCACGCCGGTTGGGGAACCGATGATGAGGATGATGCCGAGATAATTGATATTGATGTATAAATATGCAATATGATTTAATTATCTCAATGTCGCATATTTAAATATTCTATTGTGCAATATTTTTAAGCAGTCTCACAACACATTTTGTTTAGTATGCTCGGCATTTCCAAATGTTTCTCTCTGTTACAAATTATATTTACGTTATAACCATCAAAATGTGAGACAAATTGAGGTGAAATTATTGAGTTATCTTAAAACTTATTTATGATTTTTATAGCATTACATTTAAAATTAAGCTTACTAAGATTCCAATACTACTTGCATAATTCTTAAGGTTCTTGAGTCAGCAGTAAAGAATGCCAAAAAAGTCGTAATACTAACATACCTCTATATACATGAAACTAAACATTTCAAACAACTTATAACGAACCCATAATATATTTTATATAAAATACCAGACGATTATGTTTCTAATTTATGTAGTGTGATAAAAAAGAGTTATAGATAAATGTTTTATGTTTATATAATATTCGGTAAATCAAAAGCTTGAAACAAACGTATAATTTCTTGAAAAATATCAAATACATCTAATATTTCAGTTTTATGTGATAAAATAAAAAAAAATCTTTCAAAATGTTTATGCACAAATTTTAAAACCTGAACTTAAAGTAGACTTAACAAATAAACGAGCTTGAAAAAGACTTTAATTGTGAGTTGAAAACACTATTCTGTGTTACAAATACAATTTTTGAATGTCGTAAATATTTCAACAAATATTTGTTTCCATTCAATGTATGTCACAAATATTACAAATATTTATATACTTATCCAATATATACTATTTCAGCCGCCCATTGAGGACATGCACCATAGCATAAGTATATATGTTTTTAAGAGTCTACGAGTTTACTCAGCAAGTATTGAGAATATCAAATGTTATTGATAGTTGCTTTTAATTACAATCTTATACTTGTGGTGTGCTTAAAATAAACGATCAAATCAAGAAAAGCATTAATCCTCGACAACTAAACTATTGCCTGACTTAAGATTGAAAATAAATAAAAGAAAAATTAAATTGGATTAAGAAAAGAGATGAAATGAAAGGAATGTTATAAAATATGATATCTATTATAAAATTCAATTCAATGTTTTAGTAGTGTTGGTATAAAAACAGCATAATTAATGCCATACATAGCAAGATAGATATTCTGTATGTGTTAATGAGATTAATATATATTATATTAGCATATTGGTTTTTGCCTATATACATATATTTGAACTATTGGTAAATGTCTATAGAATATGTAACGAAGGTAATGGTTCCAGGCAGAATTTCCTGGAAAGGCTGGTTGAATAGTGTCCAGTGTTTAAATGAGATATTTATTGACTTCATTTTACCAAACTTATACAGATCTATTTAGAAAATATTTATATATGTATATTCATATTGTACACCTTACGAATGTATGTGTTTCTGAATGTATTTGAATCATTTATTAAAATATTCTAAGTTGTCCTGACTCTTACGAATGGTTTTAGCAACTACAATAAAATTGATGTTGCCCATAATATTTGTGTATTTAATTTAATTACTTTTAGGTTAAGGAATACTCTGTTCTCATCCAACAAATCCCCAGAAAATACGAGTGAAGATACACATAAAAAATGCAGGTAAGTTAAAAAACGATCTCCACATATAATACAAATAGAATTGGTTTCAAACACCCAAAAAAAAAGAAGAAATTAAATCAATTTTAGTTGATCTTAAACTTATATAATTGATATCATTGAAATTTTGATGGGTTCAAAATATTAGTCTAATTTTAGATGCTTAAAATTGTATAATTTTAGTGTTTTAGAAAAGCATTCGATATTTGGTTGTTAGAAGTATTTAGTTTGAAGGATAACAGAATAATAGTCTCATAAAAAGGCGACGATGTAAGAAATATACAATATGAAATACAACACTTATTTTTCGAGCTCCATTGCATTCTAATAGATACTTTGTCGTTGTTACTCATAGCACTTAAATTATAGTTTGCCAAGCAGCAGTCTTTAAAGTTGAAGCGAACAGAAAAGCGAGGTTGCACTTGCTAAGAGCTTTCAAGCACACTTGCAAGCACTTCTCAAAGCTTTACACAACAAACACACACACACATAGTCGGGGAAGCACACGTGTGGCTTGTGGCAGCCATGCAGTGTCTTGTATTTGTATTTGTATGTGTAAATATAACTGTAAGTGTTAGTTTATCCATGTGTATTCTGTGTGCGACTATTACAAAAGCAGCGCACGCACTTGGAGGGTGGTCGGTTAGGGGGCAGTGGAGTGAGTGTTTTTTCGGTTAGTTAAACTAAATAATATAAATGAAAATATATATAAATAAATATATATATATAGAGGAATATGTCACTCGTCAGAGCTCTGCTCTGCTATGCTACTGACAAAACGCATAGAGCAAAACTTTTTATGACATCCATCGTCGTGGGGATTTTTGTTTTTGGTCTTGGTCGTGTTTTTCTTGGCTTGAGACTTAAGAAGTGGTGGCCAAAAGCACAAACAATGCCAAGCACACAGAGCACCGAGTCACTTAGCAGTATGCACATGTTCGCCGAGGCGGGGGCAGAGGCGGTGCCAGTAACAGAGACACTGACAGAGGCAGCGACGCGACAGCGCTGCTTATTGTAGTTAGATACAAATCTGAATGGGAAATGTTGCTGCTGCTTATCAGATAAGTTTAGAACGCGCTGGCGTGCGGTTCGGATTCGGATTCGGCATCGGCATCGGAATCGGGCAGTACTCGATGCATTCAAAATTAGTGACAAATTTATACGGTTGGTCAGTTTATAATCAAGCGAACGCAGTTGCCGAAGCGTCCAGTTGCCTCACAGCTAGTGGGCTGGGTGGGCGTTTTGGCACCGGTTCCGGATTCGGTTGCGATTTCGTTGACATTATATACATATATATATTGAACACTGTTTATTTGTTGTTTTCGTCCGTTGCGTGCGAGTCAAGAAACGAGTTGAGTTTCGAAGTCTCCAGTTGCTTTTGGGTCGTGACATTGAATTATAATAATTAGCACAGAGGTAGATACAGCTAGTCTAAACGCCGAGCAAGGGGAAAAATTGCTGGAATTTAGAAATAAACAAAAGCGCATGAGTTAAAGGAAAATTTCAGCTCACAAAAATAAAACATGTCAATGGTATCGGCACCGCCTGCCACCAACGCGAGTGCTGCCACAATTAACCAATTGCTTGGCGCTCAACGTGATTCGTTGGCCATTGTCATACCGGTCACTGTGGTCTACGTCCTGATCTTTCTCACCGGCGTTGTGGGCAACATCAGCACCTGCATTGTGATCAAGAAGAATCGCTCAATGCACACGGCCACCAATTACTATCTGTTCTCTCTAGCCATATCGGATTTTATGCTGCTGCTGTCGGGTGTGCCGCCAGAAATGTATTTCATCTGGTCCAAGTATCCGTATATCTTTGGCGAGCACTTCTGCATCGGACGCGGCCTCCTGGCCGAGACATCGGCAAATGCGACAGTGTTGACCATAACGGCATTCACCGTGGAACGCTACATGGCCATTTGTCATCCGTTCTTGGGCCAGGCAATGAGCAAACTGAGCCGCGCCATCCGCATCATAATCCTCATCTGGGTGCTTGCCGTGGTTACGGCCATACCGCAAGCAGCACAATTTGGCATCGATAACTATGCGGGTGTCGACAAATGTGTCGTGGTCCGCGTGATCGTGCAGCACTCGTTCCAGCTCTCGACGTTCATCTTCTTTTTTGCACCCATGTCCATCATTCTGGTGCTGTATCTGTGCATTGGCATCCATCTGTACCGCTCGACCATAATTGGTGGACTCGGGTCACCAGCTGTCATGGCCGATAGACGTCAATCACAGCCAATAAAGTCGGTGCACAGCGATACGATACTCTATCGCTATGCAGGCTCCGGTTCGATTTCGACCAAAAATGCGGGGCCTCAGCTGAGCTCGGTGCGTGGACGCCTCAACCATTATGGCACGCGTCGTGTGCTGCGAATGCTGGGTGAGTTCCATTTAGAATCGGGTATGTCTATCAGAAGTGTGAGAGGAACGAGATACCATTTCCTTCTCCACATTCCTAAAAGATTCCAACAATCCCAATAGATCCTAAGAACGTATACATTCATAGAAAAATAGTTTTCGAATTGAGCTGGTCAACATAAATCTAACACTAAAGAATAAATAAATAAAATACAGGCGGAGAGTGTAAGGTATATATTATAAATTAAATATTAAGAGAAGTGTTATTTTTGTGAATGAAAAATGAATTAAGGGTTTCCAGTTATTAATATGTTTAAATAAATACAATTTAAAATTTTGGGAAATTGGCTTAGACTTGAGACCTTGTTGAAGTCCCTGGAAAAAATAACCAAATCAGAAGTTATAATCATCAAAATATAATTTTCGGGCTGGTATCCTCCCATCGAAATTGGATAATTAGTTCTGCGGCCATCTGTCGTTACCATGGTGGCAAATGTTGCCACAGGCTGTGTGGCAAATTTCTCATTTCTAACCATATGTGTGTATGCCAGCAAGGGGTATTCTGAAGTTGTGCCTGTGAATTGGGCACACACTTAATCAGTCATTCACTGGCCAATTTATTACATTGTCTGCCTGTCATTTCGGCATGCTTGACTTTTATGGAGCGGGCGCGTATTTTATTGTGCCCAAAAAAAAAAACAAAAAACATTCAAGCTATTCTATATATCGTGGCTGTGTCATTAGTTGCAAATGAATATAAATACATATGTAGAAGTACATGTACAAATTGTTTGGTTTATCTGTCTCATTCCACAGTGGCCGTCGTCATCTGTTTCTTTCTGTGCTGGGCACCATTCCACGCTCAGCGTCTGATTGCCATTTATGCGCCAGCCACTGGCGCCCAGTTGAATGAGCAGCATGAGTTCCTCTACACCGTGATGACCTACATCTCCGGTGTGCTTTACTATCTATCCACCTGCATCAATCCACTGCTCTACAACATAATGAGCAACAAGTTTCGCGAGGCCTTCAAAGTGAGCTACTGAACTTAACCATTCGATTTAGTTTCTGCGTTACGACATTCTTCCTTTGCAGGCCGTGCTGCTGGGCAAGAAGTACTCAAAGGGATCGCTGAACTCGAGACATCAGCTGGAGTCGCGACGCTTGCGCCGCAACACAACCCTCAACTCATCGACACAAACGCAACGCGAGTCTATTGAGACGAAGCCGACATTAATGCAGGTGCATATATATTACAGTTTATATGAGTGCACTCAGAAAAAAAATCATCTTGAAATGTAGAAGGGGAGCCTAACTTATTTGTATGAAAGTATCTTTTTTTAAAGGGTATTTTGTCTTTATAAATAGCATAGTTTTTAGTTCTATTTATATTCTTGATCAGCATTAAAAGCAGATCAAATCTATCTCAGAGACTATAAAAGCTAAGATAGCTGATCAACTTAAATAATTTATATTCCTAAATTTCGATATTTCGGGTGCATTTTTTTCTGAGTGTGGTGTTAATGTGATCCAACATTGTTTGCATGCATTTCCATATCCTTATCTCATTATCATTCCCTCTATTTCTCCATATAGACGGCGCTGAATGAACGACTGCTGCAGTCAAACTCAGAACTAGTTTCGTAATTTGCAATGAACAATGCGCTAATTGCTGCTATTTTGTTATATTCTTTCCATCGATATTTATCACTTGTTGTTTTCTGCAGTTTTCTGCTAACTAACTGTTGTAAACTAATTTTAATATATAATAACTACAATCGAGTTTATGTTAATTTTGTTATAATTAGTACAAGTTGGTATTTTATATTAGTTGCATCGAATGTTGTCGTAATTAATTTATAATGAAATCGAGCTTTATACATTTATTGATTTTTAAAATGTCGAGTCAATGCTATAATTCCTAATATGTTTTTTAAGTAACAAGTACAATGTACTTGCCTAACTAGTCCATTGTTTGTATTATCTTAAATATTTTATGGAAATATATATTGAAAATATGTATTTAGTGTATTTAACAGTGTGAATTCATGAATTGTTCATAATTCGCAGATAATTTATTTGATAAATATCTACATATTTAATTTATCATTTAGCTTCAATCTGAACTCAATATGAAGAGAAAATTAAGTCAACTCAAAAAACTATGTATATCTAAAGATCAATAATCAACTTCAACGTCGGTTATTAAATGTAATTTTCCGTAACCGACCAGTTTTTATTAAATAATTAGAATATCTACAGTGAGCTCAGCTTTTCTTGTCGACATAAATAAGTGTACTTTCCTAAACAAAATATATAAATTGGGAAAAAGCTAAGTATTAACTTGTATAAAATAAAGCAAATGTCTATATATTTCAATTAAACTGTATATTATATTATAATTTTGGTTAAAGTGTTCCTAAATATTTTTTGGTCGACCTACAGGAATATAAATGACGAGATTTCGAGTAAGAGCAGTAAGAACAAATGTTGAAGTCGGAAACAGATTCCTAACTACGTTGCTAAGCAAGTGAATAGATTGGCCTTAAACATTCGATTTAAGATTTAATGTGAAATATATATATCTATATATATGTAATGTTAATAAAACGTAAATACATTTACTCAATTTATTTGCTAGGGTTTCTTCTATCGCCGAAATAACTATTTTTAGCTGGCGCCGTGACTTAAGCGAAAATATTGTAATTTGGATTCATCGAAATGCGCATAAGGATACTATTATCGATTTGTAGTATGAATAGAACTGCGAATGTCGTCTGCATAAATACATAATATGATAATTATTTTCATGCACCACGCACCCATGCATCATGCTTCATGCACCGTGCTGATAATCGCTCAAGGTCACGGACTGCAAATGCCCCAATGCCCCAATGTCAACGTGACGTATGAGTAATATGGTCAGTAAGCAGTCGAGAGTTGCATTTGATATGTAAATGCAATCAGGCAAATTGAAATGTTGGTTAAAGTAAACTTTCCAGACTTATTTAACTGGAGTCGTTGTCAAAGTTGCCCCTTTTGGATGGTAAGCGCCAAATTGTGGTCGACCTTGACTCCTGCATTTTAGCGGAACATTTGCTTACGTATTCATGTCCTAGGCCCATAAATTGTATTTAAATGCGTCATTTTAATACATACGTGGAAAGTCAAAGCGCAGCATGCCGTAAACATCGTAAACACCGCAAAACTTTCCAAACAATATGCAAACGTCAAATAAAGCTATGCTCGTAACGATAGCACTTGTCCTATATTCTGGTGCGAATCTTTTATACCCTAACATACCAGTTTGGCAAGGGTCGGAGGATCATGTAGACTCCCATTTAATTTATTTTTTTAAAATTAAAAAAGAAATGTATAACTTTACACATTAAATTCCATAAAATGAAAAGGAAGTTATTAAAAAATAAAATAATAAATAATAAATAGTGGACTTAATTAAGATTACAGAATCCCAGAAACAAATTATATAGATGTCTGAAGTTGTCGAGTGAGATAGGTTTACTACAGTTAATCACGGTCAGAGTTTTGAAAGAAGTATAATACTTTATTAAATGAATTTATATATATTGAAATAAGCTGGACCCTTAAGCCCTGTGTGAAATGCGATAAGTCTTAAAGCTATTATATCTCCAAAAGATTATACGATAGGCACTTCATTTCGCCTTCATTACTTTCAAATAATTCAAATGAATATTTTTCTACCTGAAATACCAATAATTTCTCAATATGTCCTGTAAGAGTCTATAACCAAAACTTTCTGTAACATCCATATTTATTTTCATCGTCCACAAGCCATTACATTTAGGTATGCCAATAATATATCATGAAGCTTAAAGCTTAATATTTATTGGACTCCATGTGCGTTACGAACTTTATATGAAAATTCATATACTTAACAATATTTGGACAAGTTCTATAAATAATCTTTCATGTACGTCACGTAAAACTCGCAAAAACCAGCAAACCAATACATTAATACAGAAAAAAAGCAAGCTAGGCAAAAGAAAATTATCCCACACACACACTAAAGCAAACAGACACACTAACTGCCACACACACACACACACACAGGCATACTCACGGATACAGAGTCTCCCGCAAAAGTGTGAAATATTTTGATTTACGAGCGAATCGGGAAACAAAAAATGAAATGCCATCAAGCAATTTCAGACAACATTAACTGCTGCAAGTACAAAAAACAACGACTCACTCCCAATCATTTAGACAGGAAGCCCAACGGGACGCACACATACACGCACTTGCACACACACAAACATAAGCTATATGCTTAGTGCGCATCGGCGACAACAGGTGGCGCTGATTATTGCAGCGTGAGAGTTTTAGCAAAACATCGCGACAACAACACAATACAACATTTATATACACTTATACACACACACACACACACACACACACACACACACACAGCACAAGCACTGTTTATAACGGTAGTTTCACTCACAATGCATGGCCGAGTTTCAAAACTTAGTAGAGACACTCACACATTGAACGCTCTTTAGGGTGAACCAAAATCATAAAAAAATCATCAAAGTAGGCTGGTCGATTTTCAAATCCATTTGCTACTACCAGTTTTTCATATTGCTCAGTCTGTTTCCGGCAATTGAACTGAACAGCTACAAAAAAAAAAATTAAAAATTTGTTTACCTTTTTTTAATTTTATAAGTACAACTTATTGGTAAGCATTTCAAGTTTGTTTTTATTAACTTTTTGATTGTCTTATTTTCTGTTTTCCAAAATGACAGAAGAATGTCTAGCGTTATCAAGAAAGTGTTGCCCATGCTGGATCGCATACTCATCCAGCGTGCCGAGGTGAAGATGACAACTGCTGGAGGCATTTTGCTGCCGGAGGACTCTGTCCCCAAGGAAATGCAAGGCGTTGTTGTGGCTGTTGGACCCGGCGCTCGCAATCCCGTCGGTTCAGGACATCTGCCAGTGGCTGTTAAGGAGGGCGATCGCGTGTTGTTGCCCAAATATGGCGGCACCAAGGTCGACATGGATGACAAGCGCGAGTATGTACTGTTCCGCGAGAGTGACATCCTCGCCAAGCTAGAATGATCAATGTGTTGCACCACTTAGCCCCCCACCAGGCTATACCCACTATTTAAAACACACACACACATATCCGTTGCGTTCGAAACTAGATGATTGATTAATGGGAAGGTTAAACACAACAACAAAACCACACAAGTCCCTATACATCCCCTAACTTAAACAAGGAGAAAAGAAACCGTTCTTGCACACATACTGATAGGTCACAATTACCACTTTGTCAGAACACTATAATAAACAATTGTTCAGTTTGCGTTTTTTCTTTAAGGAGCATAAAAACTTTTGTTTATTTTAAAACTCGATTCTTGATTTAGCTGTAATAGTTTATTGGAATGCCTCTGAGCTCTCTTGGTCAAACTTTGACTGACTTTTGCATGCCATACATAAATGTCTTGTGCATATTTAGGCAATTTCTTTGGGGAATGGATGCAGAAAGAATCATGTTATTCTGTATGGTCCAGTCGATCTCAGAGATTATCAGAGCTAGAGACAATACCAAACGCTGACTAAGTTTATTTCATTTTATCGATAACTGCTCACGTTACATGAATGTCGATTCAAATCGATATCCGAAAGCAATGAGGTACAATCTTCCAATTGATATATTATATAGCGAGACATATTGATCAAGATTCATATAATTAGATCAGACACTAATTTTGTCAATCAAAACATTTTTGTGTTAAGCAAACTTAAATATCAGCGAGCCTTCAGTGCTTAGAGCATTTTAGCTTGTTTTATACTTGTTAAACTCTGTATTTTCATCGTGTCTTAATTAAATGCTAAGCTGCAAGCACAAAATGAACTTACAACACGTAACAATTGCAACAAGTTAAACTCCAGCGCTCATAACTTTGGCAGCCTCGAAGGGGGAAGAGCTTCAAACTCTGGCAACATGCCCATTCCACTCTGGTGGAATACACGTCATACATCTCAGCCTGTTGCTGACCTCCAGCGCTACGCTCATTGGCGGTATTTGCCTCGTCGTGCGTTGGCGTTGCCTCTTCTCGTTGTCGTTGCCCCTTGTCGTTGCCGCTGGGATCGTATCTTTGTTCGTTTCGTCCATCTGCCTCGTGTGTTGAGCTCGCATTGGCTGTCGTTATCTTTTGGCGTTCTGGCGGTAAATGCTGCAGAAGGCTGGTGCTATAAAAGCCGTCAGTCGAGCGCATTTTGGTGGCAATTCGAAAAGATACTCGCACCAGCAGAACACCAGCTAAACTGTTGAGCCAACTATCCTGTGGCAAGTGCATTAAAAGTGAAATTGAAGAAAAAATATAAACAAAAAACCGACGTATTTTTTGATATTCGAAACCGTTGCTGAAATAGTTGAATTCGCAAACAGTTTATCCAAAATGTGGTATATTAAATTAAGTTGGACTATCTTGGTGTTTGTGGTGCTGTTCACGTTTGTGACAGGTAAACATTTAAACATTTAGTTTCTATTATCATTTAAAATGTATAAATAGTTGCACAATATGTTTTTATGCAATTTACTCATAAAAGTATGCAATGTTTTAACAATTTACTACAAAATGTTTTTACTCACGCATTATCATTCAGATCAGCAAATTCGACAAGTTTAATTCAAAATAAATTTTAAAAAAATAAAATAAATAAATCTTAGCATAGAATTATAATGAAAAATACAAATACATAACTATATATCTATCTTAGACAATTCTTGATTCAAATTTTAGGAGCTCTTTTGAAAGTTTTCAAATTAAAGTCTAAATTATACAACGAAATTTTCATAAAATTATATTGACAACATATATGTTTGTTGGCTAACTAAAAAATAAATAAAACATTCAATTCCTGTTATTGCATTTGTTAATTATTGCAACTGGAACAAATTCGATGCGTATCTACGGCATATTTCTTCTTAGACTCTAAAAATTACTAAAAGTCTTAACAACCAATACGAGACAAGACACCAGCCTCAAAGTATGCCTTCCTATTAGTCAAAAATAACCATTAATTGTAAAAAAAGACAGAGCTCGTCGAGGAGATACTTTGAACCCAGCTTTTAAACACATATTAGGCTTAATGGTAATAGTTTGCTTAATATGAAAATATACTTTGGTTAAACAAATTTGCCTTCCTTATCCGGTTTTAATTACATTTGTGCGGTTGATCAGTAATAACAGATAAATTAGATAAATTAAAGCTGATATGCGTACAAAAAAGACTCAGCTTTTGATGCTGATAAATTTTATATATATGCTTCATTATACATATACTTTATTCTGCCATAACATCATTATAACAACTTTGACTTTTCTAATGGATACCGGGCATAAAAAGAATGTTGAATGGAAAACTCATGGAGAACATATGTAATTCTAGTTCAAGTGACGTTGAGTACATATTCAAATCCCATTTTATTTGTCAATGAGTCACTGCAAATTCGGCTTGGAATTTCACTCCATATCTGCAAATGAGCTGTCGGTAGAACGTAATCCGTATCAACAGGGCCATAAAATTGACCAACTACCTTATTAACACAGATGTTGTTGTTTCAATTTGTAAGGCGCATTATCTATTTTATGCACAATTTCCCGTTTGCCTTTTGATCGCCAGGACGGTATTGTTTCTATAATTTTCATATCGTCGCTTTGCGTTGTCAATTGCGTCGGTTGTCAGCCGACAACGGCATCCAAATATCAAATGCCAGCAAACACGCCCCAACGATTTTAATTGCAGTCGTAAATTAATCCAAACTGCGTGCCAAATAACACCAACAAGAACAACAACGACAACAGGAACTCCAGATGACACAGCGAAAAACGTGTGAACCACTCAAGCTGCAAATTGTTGCCACACTGCAGTTGTTGGTTGTGGGTCTGGCTTAGTTTGGGCTATGCTGCCACCTATCTATGGCTATCCAAGCGGCAACTGTCTTTGAAGTGACACAGAATTGGGCTAGGTTCAGGTTAAATTATGTATGCAAGTTGCAACCAATTCTTTGTGTCTGACAGATTGTTCTAATCTACTAGTTTTATTGCACATAATCGTTCAGATTTTTGGCTTGAGTTTAGTTATTCAAATGAATCAATCTGATGACATAATGTCATGAAATATCAGCAGGCATATAAATTAATTGTTGTTTTTCAATAAAAATGCAGATTTGTCGGAGAATATGAGTTTCTTCTCTGCTTTGTTCTACTTATAGACTAAACCAAATAGCTTAAATTTTTTAAATAAATACAAATAAATGGAATTTTTAATTACTTAACAAAATTCATGATTAATGTAAGCACATTTTTATGAAAATAAATAAAAACTTATAAGATGTTTAACAAAATTTGTGATTTATGTAAGAGGCTTTTTTAAACAATAAACTAATGCCGATTTAACTTCTTTTTTTCGTTTAACAATTTGAACACCATTAAATTTTTCTACAATATAATTTTTCACAGTTTTTATTAGTAAATTAAAAATAAATAATAATAATCTGTATTTTAATGAATTACATTAATCACATACTAATCGATTTTCTATCTGTTTTAATGAGAAACACTTTAGGAGTATTATTATTTTAATTTTGTATCTAATTAAATGCAAAGCATTTAAGCACGCAAGGCAGGCTGCGTGGAGGTTGTTGCTACTTTGAATCTTTTTTATAGCTGTCCACTTTCCAGTCAAACGTATAAATGTCTAAAGTTATTTTAAGATTGTTAACACAACAAGAATAGCCCGATGTTGCAACACTTTTAAATTACACGTTCGATCATTAAAAAAAAAACCATTACTTGGCATTTGAAAGCCAAGAGGGTGCACAATTACGACACTAACTGACCACAGAGCGTCACGAGTTGAGTCATTAAAGTGGATGGGCACGCTAATTAGACGCTTAGTAAAGGTCCTTACTCTCACTCTTGGTCTATTTTAATGACAGCCCTTCGATGAGGCGCCGTAGATCCCTTGGCATGAGCTATCTCTGATGGTCTGGGCCTGTCAACAATTAATCCATGGCTTAAGTAATTGACAAATGATTACACATTCGACATATGGCGGCCGGGTGAGGGGCGGCTGTCAACAGTTGATAGAGTCATCCAACCAAGTGGGCTCAATGCCCAATAGCAAGCATTTACAATTCTTATCAATGGGCTTATGCAAAGCGGACGGCAAGTGCAGCACATCTGTGGCATGAGGCTGCTGGCTAAGTTGCCAAGAGAGATTTGCTGCTGCTGTCCTTGCGTAAACTTTATGCTTTATGTCCCAGCTGCTCTTATGTTGACTGTTTGACGCCTCGTTGTGTGACATGTGAGCACAGGCACAAAGTCTTTTGTTGGCCATCCATTTGTGCGATTAGTTTTTGGCCACACAATGAAATGCAGCGCCAAGGACATTCCATAATGGCCCACACCCCTCACTAGCTTCAGCTACATCGTGTTAACCACGCACTTCTTGCCAGCTGAGTGCGGCGCTCTCAACGCATTACTCAGGTGCACGCTTATTACCTGAACTGTAATGGCTCGTATTTATCATAGGTCGTGACACAATACAACATACAACATGCAACAGTGCTGTGACGTTGTAGCAGCCGTAGCCGTGGCAACAGCAGTAACAATTACATTACAGCTACAGCATCCACATGAACTTCTTGGTTACCTTTATAAGCTATGCTGTTGGTCTTTCCTAGGACTCCCCCTGTGATGACCTGCTGACTGGTGGAATGAAGCTCTTTTCTATACCTTTTCAGAGAGTTTTTTATTTTGTGTTGAAGTTTGTAGTTCATTAAAGTAGACATCTCTTACACCTTGAACTATATCCATCTGTTTCAATGCGAACAGTTCCCGCTAGATGAAACTTGGAATATGTGCGTTATTTGGCTGCAAGTAGTACATATTTCAGAACACAATTGTATCACTATGTTATATAGCTCCAATAGGAACAATTACCCACTATATCATTTACCTCCAATATAAAATATGAGATACGTCTCCAACATGAGATATAGCTAAAATATGAAATAAATCTTCAATATGAGATGATTTCTTGCCTGAATCCTTTTTATTTATATTGATATCCACACGAATCATCGGTTGGCTTTTTATTTAACTTAAAGTCAAATAAATTAATGCAAATGAGCTGCGGTCTGTAAGGGTATATAATCTTTGGTGTGCTGTTGTTTCTTGTCTCCTCATAAATTCACATGCGGAGCTTAACTCTTCAGTGCCTTGCCAGAGTAATGATGCTGATGATGATTTATTTAGTAAGCATAATTTTATTTGCATTTACTTGCAGGCTCCTGCTTGGAATATGGACACTCGTGTTGGGGTGGTAAGTTGAGAGTCATTTTTTTGTAGTAAATATCGCTTTGTTTGCTCACTTTCTGTATCTGTATCTTTTGGTCTAGCACATGGCAAGCGTTCGGGCAACAGGGCGGCAATTGCAGCTAAACAGGTGGGATTTTATTATTATAACTAATTCCGATCTATGATGAAATAACACCACTAAGCCGTCATAAAGTAACACAATTGCACTGAACACATTATCGAACTAATCTTATCCACAACATGTACCCGTCATAAATTTATATATTTGCATTATATAATTCTTCTGTTTGTTAATTCGTGGAAAAAAACATCAATATACCGACTCTTCCAAATTATTCACTTCCATAACTTTGTCAAAACTGAATAGGTTCTTAAAAGCATTATCATTAGCATTTTAGTCATGATTGCAACTCTTTAGACATACTATCTACAATATAATTATATATATATAAGAGACACGATTTCCGCTCGACATTTCGGGTCGGCTTAGCTTTTATTTCGCTGACTTTATAATGAATTAAATTGTATTTTTCAATCATGCTAGGCTTTCTGAGAGTATAAAAATCAGAGTTATCTACAAGTACATTTGTCTGTCCTTCTCTCTGGTGAGCTTATTGCACAAAAAATGCAAAATTTAAATACCTTAATATGGCTATGCTTATGTGAGGTTTTTATATGGCATTATATTTTATTGGCGGTCAATTACAATGCAAACCAAATTCGCTTTTGTGCCAAGTTCTTCGTGTGGCATAGCCCTAAACTTTGAAGTATTTCAATTACTGATCAATTGATTGTATAGTATTAGGTTTGAGGGAGTGCTGATTTATCGCCAGTAAATGCTCCTGAGTCAGTCATTTATTAATTGTTGATCTAAGAAGGAAGGTCACGTGTGAATTGATATATCAGTATTTATATGTATTCGGACCAACAACAATTAAAGCTCGACTACAAGTTGGTTAGATAAGAGGAGTATGTTTAACTGGAGTTTAGAGGCTCTATTTATGTACTTGTTCCTGGTGGGTTCCCTTGCACAAGAGAAGGAGAAATATGTAGATGTAATCAATGAATAATATTAATCTGCAAACAAGTCAGATTCTTATACTCAATAAACTGATTCAACTCCGATTTTTCTGTGCCACAGCCCACACCCTACGCCGAGAATTTAGAGGAACAACTCTTCAACAACAACAACAACAAATAATAATGCAAATGGTGTTGATGACGAGAGCAATAAAATCTACAACTTGCCACTGACTGCAACCGACTTATCAGCTCAGAGTGTGGATGCAACGGCGCCGGAACGCAATCGTGATGTGAATGATGCGAAATGGACGCAACTGTTGCGTCAGCATCGCTATCAGCTGCGGCAGATGCAGCGTCAGTTCGATGCCAGCGATGCGGCAGAGAGTTGGCGCAAGTTGCAACAGGCGATGGCCGAGGCAGAGCAGCGGCAAGGACAACAGGGGCAGCAACTGCAACAGCAGCAGCAGCAGCAACAGCCGCTGCCCAACGGCGACTTCTTTGAACTCCAAAAGTAAACATTGACCGCAAAATGGAAGCCAGACACACACACACACACACACACACACACACACACACACACGTAAATTAAATGATGCCAGATAAGCAACAACAATTAAACGATATTTATTCCATCATTCGAGCATTCTGAACTCGTCTCTCATTGCATGCTGTGCGCCAATTAACAATTAACAATTAACATAATTAAAGAAATGAAAGACAAAGATCGCCGCTCGGCGAGCTGCACGCGAAAAGCTACAAGATAAATGCATAAATCTATTGTATAAATAAGCAAAATTAAATGAAAAATGAAAATGAAAATGAAAAAAAAAGGAAAAATGGAAAAAAAAAGTTTTGATATTTGTTCTTTTGAAGTACGTATTCTTTTTTATTATCAAAATCTAAATAATATTATTAATATTATTAATATTATTATCGTGCAATCATACATCAAATATGGTTTTTGATTTGTTCCTTAGTTTGCCCTTGAAAGACCAATACTGCGACATTGGCTGGATGCCGCAATATTGCCCAATTATATAAACTCACAAAAGTCCAATTCGTATTTAAATTACATTGTACTTAACCAATCGTTACTATAACCTATGCATAACATACGTTTTAATGATAACAAATAAAGCTTACAAGCTAATATGCAAAAAGGCCAATGCGACTCATTTCAAGAACTAAGCCTTGATTTTGGCGGGTATCTGGAAGCAGGCAGCATCGCCCTGCTTATCGCCCAGTCCCCAGTGTATCTCCAGACTGACTGTCGGATAAACGGGCAGTATCTTGAAGCTATTCTTGTACGTGTACGTCTCGCCCGCCTTGAGGGGACATCCCACCTTGTTCTCGCCGGACGCATCGTAGATGTGCGGACACGCACTGGTCCCATAGTAACCGGGGAAGGGCAAAGGCACTTCCAGAATAATACCCTGTATGTCCGAGGTGAGCTCGTTAAAGTCCCTCTCCGGCCGGATCTTCATTACGATGCTCGCCTCCGTATTTCGCTTCAGAATGCATTTGTTCTTCGGACAATTCGATATGGTCACATCTCCGGCGCCCAACGCTTTCGCTTTGGCTAAATATGAAAATGTATGAAAATGTGGCAATAAGTACGAGTTAACAATTATCTTCTTTGGCTCACATACATTTCGGGCATGACCTCACTTCGGTGGCCGTTGCAAGGCCGAACAGCGCCGCGACGCCAATCAAAAACAGCGCGGAATTCATCTTCATTTGGACTAAGCTGGGGGGTGTTGGAGGCGCTGAGGTGCTGAGGTGTCTGTAAGTGATTAAACACAAGTCGTTATAGGCTAAATGTGAGCAGCCAAACGCAGCGCATGCAAATGTTGTGTTCAGCTCGCTAATTGATTGCCAACTACTTTGGGGCCGGGCCAAAAAGCTTGGCTCACACCAAAAGTCAAATCAAAATAAACCGGTTCACTATTTGCGTTGCGAGCGAAAGATCGACCTTGACTCCAAAGCAAACCATAGCTCTGTGCAATTCACTTAACAATGAGCTGATGCTGTGTGGGAAATGACAAGTATCTTTCAGATACTTCAAAGTGGCCGGCGTTCAAATGACTTTGTTGCTTAAAAAGCTGACTTTTTTCCACATTTTTGTGTAGTTTCAGTAATAAAGATTTAATGCACTTTATGCAATTACGCATTAACATTTTAAGTGTCTATCTTAAAAGATACTTAGGATTTTTAATTGTGCTTGTAAGCAAGCAATTAACTCAAACTTAGCTGGAAATTGCCAGCATCTTTCAGTTGTATTTGTGAAGCGGCAATAAAAATTATTTGAATTTGTTTTTCAATTGTGTAAGTATTTGAAAACTGAAAAAAGTTTACAATTACCTAAGGTGAGAAGTTCAAACAGTTTTCTTTTGTGATAAAAATGTTTCAAATATATATATATTATATATATGTATGTATATGTGTATGTCAGATAAAAGCCTTTTAGATACATCTACATATCTGACAGACAAATCTTTTATAGTTTGAAAACGCGAGCATTTAAGATAATTAAAGATTTTGCAAAACTTAATTATTTCAAATTGAGCAAATTCCAAGACTTGAATGATTTTACTGCACAAACTTGATAACTTTACTTGTCTTGACAGAGTTGATAATATATACATATATATATAAAGCTGTCTAAAGTGCAAAAAACGGGTCAGTCGACTATTGGCATTTCGATATGTAAATTAAAGCGGTTTTCTGGTTATCAGGCGCTTTTTTACACTTCACTGTAAGATTGGATTAATTAATTAAACGTGGAAGAGAGATGGACAGAGACTTAAAACTCTTTAAACTACAACTAGAAGCACATGTACAATTGTTAAGATACTTTGTAGTTGCTTGCCTAAAATTAAAGCCTATTTTGTTGGCTCACTCAAACAAGTCAGTGCAACTAGTTTGTTGTCAGTTGAACAACTTGAAACAACACGATTACAACACAATTGTCTAGTTGCTTCCAAGTGAATTACTTTTTGTCACTGCGAGTATCTCAAACTTCAGGCGCGACTGATGAACGGCAACTGAGCGAATATCGCCCCAGTATAGAGACTATATGTATTTCTATCTATATATATATATATATATATATGTATGTGTGTATGTAAAGCTAGATCGTATCGATTGTTCGTCGGCTGACTAATCAAGTGATCTTATAGCTGACGCTATCCGATTTCTTGAACCTGCTTGGTATGCGTGTGGCATATACATATATATATACATAGATATATGTGTGTGTGTGTGTGTGTGTGTGTATACGCAATTTGAGCAATTGGTCGCTTCAGAGCTGGCTGTGCCCGGCGTACACAGATTTGCGTGCTTGGAGAGTGCTCTTCAATTGGGCGCATCCGTGACGTTCTGCTGCCAGTTTAATCAATCTCATTGTGAGACGATCTCTTTGGGTATATATATTTATTTACATTTTATTTGTGCTGTGTATCTGCTAGATGCGTTAATTGGCACACATTCTCTCGTCAGTTGTGTCTAGAAAACAGTGCAACTTGAAGTCAAGTCAAGTAAGTACTTCCCTGAAGCCTATTAAGGTCCGAGCACAACGGGGAAGTGCTAATCATTTGTCATGGCCAAAAAGCCTCCGATTGATACTAAAAGTTATCATTGAACACATACCATAAACCGACAGTCTCCCGATCTAAGCCAGACCCAACTCAACGATCATTATATAAACACATATTGACAAACGACTTAAATGCATATTTGCTATGCAAAGTAAATATTTATATTTCTTCTACATGTCTGTATTTATTTGAATAGAGCATTCAGTATGCGATCATTCAATTGAAAGATGTCCCACAATTTGCTCGTTCAACAGTTTTATTTAAAGCTGAGTAGGTAATAAAGTTATTATGTTTATAACCATTTGATTATTTTTAAGGGAGTCATTGTCGACCTTGAAAATTTATATTCTTCTTCACATACTTATCAATATAATGTAAAAAGACATCGATATAACTGGTTTTTTCTTTTTTGTTTTAACCAACAAGTTCTGGCCAACAGAATTTAGTGAGCTTAGAACCTTTAACCGATTATTATATTCGCTGAAAAAATTAAATATTTATTTTAATCTCCAACAAAAGTATTGTTTTTGGGCTTGTGAAATGTCTGTTTGTCTGACAAGCTAATAAGCCTAAATATTCAGGGGCGTAGACAGGGGAGTGATGCTGGGGAAAGGGGGTAGCTGCTCTCCACATAAACAGCCCAAAGAAAATCACAATAATTAGACTCAACTTCAGATGAGTTTTCAAAAAGACTTGGAAATCGTTTTAATTATTTGATTACAATCTTTGAATAATTGTTAAAATTATAATAAATGAAAATGACAATTTATATTAATAAATAAATATATATATATATTAATATTTATATAGATTTTTTCTTTGTTTTATTCACTTGCTGCTTTTCAAATAAGTTGATATTTGTTGCCAATTAACTTAACACAAATGAAGAAAGCTCAACTGACTGGCCCCCAATTAAGTTGAAGTCAGGAAATTAGTAAAAATATATTGTTAGACTAGCTTTAAGCTGGCCGCTGATTAATTTTTTTGCGTTTTATAGAACACTTTGTGTGGCGAAACTCATCCTGATTAATATGCAACGCGTGGCATTTGAAAATGTGTTTCAGAATATGAGCTGAAGCCGAAGCCGAAGCAAAAGGCAGGAAGTCAAATAGACTTTGGGGCGTGGCGCTGATGACGAGCACAACAGCTAATCGAACAGCTGATCGATCAGCGAACAATTTGACCATTTAGAAAGTCAGTTCGGGCTTCTTGTCTCGATCGTGGATCAGGAACAAAACATAAACAGAAAACAATCAAAACACTTTCCACTTTTCTTCGAGCTACTCACTTGGCTGATGTCTTTTTTGGGGCGACTGCTTCGATCACAGTTTGAAATGCAACTGAAAACTGAAAGCGAAAACTGCACCAGTTTTAAATGGGAGCTTGACAAACTGACTGAATGAAAACTCTACATTTCTGGACAAGTTTCTTCTTTACTCATCAATGTTTTTGTTGTTGCTGTTGTTGTTGTTGTTGCTGTTGTTGTTGTTCTTGCTGCTGTTGTTGATGAAAAGCGACTGAGCCGGTTTCAACGGTGCTTTTTTGTCGCCGTTTTACAAACATTACACGATATATATATATGTATATATATAAATATTTGTATGGGTTGTTATTTGATTTTGTACCCTGCACACATAAAGTGGGGTATATTAAGACTATAACAAAGTCTGCAAATGCACAATAATAATAGAAATAAATAATAATAATAATAATATTAATTATAGAAGTAATCCCAATAATGATAATAATAATAGTAATATTCATTCAAAATATGCAAAATGTTAAATTGAATAATTTAAAAACAATTTTGAAAAATATTGTGTAAAATAATATATATAACATTAACAAAAACAATCAAAGATCTATGATATATATATATAATAATAGAAAAAAACATAAATAAAAAAATATATTTAACTAATATACTCAAAGAGCTTTGTCATTTTTGTATAAAAACAGATCCAGTTGTGTTTCATGAGAGGTATCTTCTAGTCGATAATACTCGATTGGCACTGGTTGTTTTTCAGCTTATTTTTCTTTTTGTGAATTCACTACGCATGCGACAGAATTGAAAATTTCCGGCCTTTTGTGCAATCCACTCACAAATACAATAACCGAAACCTGCTCCATGTGTGTGTGTGTCTGTGTATGTGTGCGTGTGTGTGTGTGTGTGTGTGTCAATGTACAGAATGGCAACAAAAAAAAAAAGAATTTAAGTACCCAGTTGACATATAAATAATTAGCTAAATATAATTGTTGTAAGAGAAAACATGGTTTTCATTCTTAGCTAAATATTAACAGGAAAATCAAGCAAATTATGGGAAATGTTGAGTCGGCATTTGTATTTCTGTTTGAAAATGCTGATCAAGATTTTTATTGTTTTTTCTGAATTGCAACGGTAAAATACATTGGTTGATCGGAGATTAGCAGAAGACTTTCAGAAAGTTCTTCGGGTGACCTATAACCGCACAACCAGTTAAAAACGAGTTTAATTTCCAAAGTTTCTGTTTCTTCTTTTTATTCATTTTAATTGAGCATTTTTTCCCGCCAATTGATTTGAAGCTTGAAAGCGACAGTTGGGCTTGTGGCAAAAATTTAAACTAACAACAATGAGTTCCACAAAGCAGTGCAAAAGATAGCAAGCAGTGCTTATAAAATGCTACTTTGCTCTTTATTGCGTTCACATAAGTCAATTTGCATTCATGTTAATATTGAAATTTGTTCCAAATTGTATCTGAACATTGTATATAAATTTAATCTTCCGATTGAATGATTAGTGAATAATATATATAAATAATAATAAATGAATTGCCGAGATTACCGACTACAACTTAAATGATTTGTGATTTATATAAGCTCCGTACTCTGCTTGGCTGTTAAGCATAACATGCCCATTTAGAGTATAACATTTGCTGTTTCTAACGCTAACATTGTGCAACACTGTGAACCCAGCTGCAGTAAGAAGAAGACACTATAAGCAACAATATCGGAACGCGCACAATACACAATAAAAAATCAGAATATCGGAATATACACAATATTTTTTGCAGTGCTATCGAGTTAATTATGTGATCTTTTCTTCAGTGCTTCCGTCTCAATTCGCTAATAAATATCACACACAACACAGACGGGCCCAAGATGTGGGCAGCTGGCTGTAAACAATGCGAGCTGCAAGTGAATCAAATTGTGCACAATTAATATTAATATTATTATTGTTATTATTATTGGTATGCGCTGTACTAGTTGTCGGCTGTGGCGCGCACGATGAAACGCAGCGCAAGACAACAAATCCAAAAACAAACTAACAAGGCCAACAACACCAGCAACAACAATAATAAGGCGCAAATGCAAGAGGCAAAAACAAGAAAACGCCAAATAACATAACAAAACACACTGTGAGCAATTCGAGTGGCGAGTTGACGTCGTTGCCATTGCACTGCAGCAAATAATTAGTTGAATGCTTAAACAGACCAACTGTACATCATTCTCCCTCGCACCCTCTCTCATTAACTCACATAACTGTGCATAGCAAAGGAGCAAAGGAGTAGCAGCAACAACAACGACAACAATAAACAGCAAGCCAACAGAGGAACAGAGAACAAGCAACAACAGCGAAAAAAACAGGCAAACAACCACCGAAATGTCGTCGCTCAAGGTTGCCGTCAGGGTTCGACCCTTTAACTCGCGGTAAGTTGTTCGAATTCTGATTCGAATTCGGATTAGAATCGCAGCTAGTTCATACAAACATTTGTGTGTACGCCCCTTAATTCGCCTGTTGCGCATTCCAATTAGAATGTACAATGTAAAAAAAATCCATTCACCAAAGAAATACTTTTGCACTGCTGACGTTGCCAAGATTTTGGTTATTTCTCTTTTTTTCTTCTTTGTTTTTGGGCAACAAATTATGAGGCAAGCTGGCAATGTACTACGCTGGCCTAAACTTGCCCAACGGCTACTTAAAACCGCATTAAACATATTATTTTTTGTAGTCGCTTCGTTTGTGTGTGTTTCTGTGTGTGTGTGTGTGTGTGTGTGTGTATCTTGGCACAGTTAGTTGGCTTAAGCGCAGATTCAACGGATTTTTGGCAACAAAGAAGAAGCAGAAGCAGCAGCAGATGAAACTGTAATGATGTCATCCATCTTGCTCTCTGTTCAATAAAGACAACAAAGAAAACAGAGTATAAAAATCAATCCATCAACAAAAAACCTTTCCTTGTGTTAATTGTCCATGCAAATGATCTAATTATAGAGCTCTCCAGAGTAAAACACACACACACACAGTGACGTCACGTGCTCTTTGTTACCTATGTAACAGCCAATAAACACACACACACACAAACATATATATATATATATATATATGTGAATATGCATAGTTGATGTTTTGTTTAGCGTGAAAAACAAAATTTTAGCACTCATTTGCATTTGTGGCTTATACACTGAGCCAAATAAAAAATAATACATTTAATCTACATAATTAACGGGGAATGTTATTAAAATTGCTAGCATTTTAAATAAAATTTATACAGTTTGATTTTTTAGACATTTGTAAGTAAATAATTAGTTACTTTTTTGCCAAAAATACTTTCTTTTCTGACACATTTTTGATGATAAGCCAAACTATCTAATCTGTCATTTGCTTTGTTTATACAACAATCATTTTCGGCAATCAATTAAAGGCTAGTAAAATGTATATAATGTATTGCATTTTCCATAAATTAGAAATAGTAATTATCATGTTGTTGAAACAAAAACACTTCCTTACTATCTTCTGCTGTTGAACACCATAATTTATCTAGATATGAAAAGTTGGAATGTTTTGGTCAAAAGAGAACTCGACTACGAGATACCTTCCAATGCTAAAGAAGAGTTTACAGCCGATCAATAATATATTTTAGATGGCCATATCTTAATTTTTATCCATTTCCAAAATATTTATTATAATTACAGTCGTCCTTTTTTAAGTAAATAAATCGCAAACGGTTAAAAATAGCTTACCAATTTCTCCCACTGTATTCATGGAAGAGCGCTTCTCTCGAGTAATACAAAAAATAAATGAAAAAACAACAAATACAATTACCTATGCCTATGCACACATGTACTTATATAAAATTATATCCGAATTTGCGCTTGGCTTTTAGCTTTTGCACACACACATCACACACACACGCACACACAGGCACACACACACACGATCGCATACTCAAAAGTATTATGCATGGAATCATGAATATGTTTTGCACGCAAGTGCAAATCAAACAACTTCCATATTCATTATGAAGTTTCATAGCGCATTTTTTGTTTTTTTATTTTTGTATTTTGCATTTGTGTGAGTCAGAAATTTGGTCATAATCGAAAGCAGTGCAGCATTTGTTGATTTGCATGTATGTATGTGTTTGCTGGGAATTGAGGAACAAATCGGAGGGGCACAGATACAGATAAAGCGCATTGGGGAATGCGCAATAAACAGACTCAAAATGCTCGCGACAACAAACCAAGCCAAGCAGCAGATTAAAAAATTAAAGCCACTCGACAGCAATGAGAGAAGTGATAGATAGAGAGAAAGAGAGAGAGAGAGAGGCGAGAGCGAGACAGAGACAGAGACAGAGAACAATCCACACACAGTCACAGTCACAGCCGCATGCTACAAATGCCTGGTTGCAGCTGAACGCTGAAAGTGGAGCGTAAGCATGCCATCAGCAACAACAACAATGCCCCTTGAGCAATGAGCAATGAGCCCATATGAAAAGAGGAACGACCTAAAATTGTTGCTTTAAATGGGAACAAGACGCATGCAGATAATAAAAAATAGATGAATAAAAACCAGAATAAACTTTCATTCACGCCATGCCGAAGAATAGATACCCTGCACATATAGTGAAAAATGATTGAATCTGGCATGTAATATCTGATTTAAAGTCGAAATATTCTCTTATATTAAGTATAAAAACTCGATTGCTAAGATATAACCATTCATAACCCCGACATATTGAAGATCAACTGTAATAATTACATTAAGATCGGATGAAAATAAAAGAATTTGTTACCATTCTGACTGAAACTAAATAAGATAAATGTGAACTTTTTACATAAATAAATAAAATAGATATATATTATTATTGGTTACTATTCCAAAATTACCGATTGAAGAATAAAAATATGATTCACTATTTTATTGGCATGAATATATCTCGTGCTCGTTACAATCTCAATGACATAATGTGAATACCCTTTGGATGTCAGGGGACAGTGGTGCTGCGGGGCCATTGACTGAGTCATAGTGGCAAGTCTTTGAATTGGGTGGCATTTGTTTGCTGTTGTTGTTCTTGTTGCTGCCATTGGCACATTCAACTGTGGTGGGTGTAGCATGAACTGACGACGATGTCGCCGATGTCAACCGGTTACAACAGCCACTGCTCTCTGGTCAACTGTTTTTCTGTACGCGTTGTGTTTCTTAAGTTTTTCTCATTCGAAAACCGGAATCGTGTTTGTACTTTGCCGCCTGAGAAATCATGAGATTATGGCCTAGGGCATTACTTAACAGTTCTCGCGTCTAAAACCCATTTAAGATCATGCAAAGCGTCTATATTTAGTCAGATTTATTATTGAGTCGAAGTCGCAAAACAATGGCAACTAAATGGGAATTTAATGAGGCCCCAGGGAAAACTAAACACGATGACAAGTTGCTGGATTGTTGTGTACATGTTCGTGCTCGTCCGCTTATGGGGCCAAGGTTATTTGCGTATTGCGAGTATTGATTGACGTCTTCCCTTTTTATTAATTTTGCAGTGAAATTGATATGGACGCCCAGCTGATAATGGAAATGGAGGGCAAGAAGACGCGCCTCTTAAAGCCCCGATCCGTGCGCGATGCGGGTCGCGAAACCCAGCACGATTTCACCTTCGACTATTCATATTGGTCATTCGATGCGGAGGACTCACACTTTGCCACACAGGAGCAGGTGTACAGCGATCTGGGCAACGATGTCGTCGATTGCGCCTACGAAGGTGAGTTTGGTTCACATGTAGCCCCGGGCAGAGGGCAAAGCGTAAAGCAGTAGTTAATAATGATGACATCACATTTTAACCGGAGTTGACTAATTACTGCTCACAGTTGGGCCGTGACTTTGGCTGACTTTGTTGGCTGGTTGATAAAATGATGTCGGTGCCAGTCAGACACAAATTGTTTGGCACTTTGCAGAGCTTTGTTTACATTTTCTTTATGTTTTTGGTTTTCCTCTGTGGTCTTTGATGTGGATCTCGTCTGCTTAGCCCAAAATTTGCGCTGTGAACACACAAAATGCGTGTCTAAAAATAAGCATTCGCTTCGACTCGCTTCGCTTCGTTTGCCTTCAATGAACATGCAAATTTCCGGCTAACTCCCTGAACTCCACCCCCTCCCCACCCCTTCTCGCTCCCCCTTATAGCTTTACCAGCTCTACCTGGTTGATGCCCCACTGGTTTACTGCTGATTGATTGTTGACATGACTCAACACGTGCCTGGCTATGATTTTCACCAGTGCGTAATATTTTAGGCGCTTTCACTCAACAATCAAACAAAAAATAAAAAAAAAAAACAAGCAAAATAAAACACAAACTGTAACAAAAGTCTAATTTCTTTTATTGCAAGCGCAAAAACAAAAGCCGAAAAATAACTTTCGCCCACAAGTGCAGAAAATGCCAAGCGGAATGGAACAGCAGCTGTTTGTTGTCTGCATTTAGCTGTTGTTATTGTTGGTGTTGCTGCTGTTGCTTTTACTGCTGCAGCCTGGCACGCTTTCAATATAAAATTACCCGGCCAAGATTGGCCGACTGCGAATGACAAAAGTTGCATGAACACGAGTCAACGATGTGAAAAAACGTAAACAAAGCCAAAATGCATGCAAAAAAAAAACATTTGATTTCGTTGCACTGAAGTTGAAATACTCTTAATAGTATTAGTAGTAAGAGATATGGTCAGCTGTTTTTGGCCAGCATTGTGTTAGCCTGTTGGCTATCAATGGCATTACAATCAAAGTAGTAAACTTGTTATCTTTATGAACAGTAAACAATCAAATTATGTCATTCAAAAGTGATAAGCAGTAAAGCTTTTATCAAATTATATCACATTATGAATGAATGCACATTTGTATTTGCTGAGTCTGATTCAGAGGGGTTTGCGAAAAATATATGTTTATGCTTTGAACCCATTCAAAATGTGTAATAAAATATAAAGTTTATATAGTAAAAGTATAAAAACGCATGAAGTATTTATATTCTTGATCAGCAACAAAAGCTGAGTCATGTTCATCTGTAAGTCTGAATGAACTACTCGATCTCAGAGATTATGAGATATAAAGACATAAAAATTTGAATATAAGTTATCGTATATGAAATCATTTTACACACAATTGTTGAGATGTTGTCTTCCAATTAATATTATATACACTGACATATTATTTATCAAAGGAATCGCAGATTTTGTAAACCAAAAGGATTATTTCATGTTGAACAAAATAATATGAGCAAGCCTACCATGTATTTGAAAGTCAAAGTTCAGAGTATCGTCTGGTCGAGCTTCTCGACTAGAGCATCCCAACTTGTTTCTAAAGCAGAAATAAATATTTTTTTGAATAATTCGAAAGATTTTAATTATTTATATAGTCTTATATGGATTTATTTAGCAGCACATCTTAGCTATAATTATCTGCAATATAATTAATGCAAATGCCGCTTTCATGGCATGGTTACATAAGTCAGGGCTTATTCAGAATACCCAATGAGAGCAATGTGTATATAGCAATAACTGCAAGTGATGTCCACTCGCACAGTGGGTTGGCAGGGGGATGTCGAGAGTATGACTTTGAACAGTCGTTGTACGTGTGGCTGACTGGCTAAATGATGCAGCGACTTGACAGTGCTTTTGTAGTTGTTGATGTCTGTTATTGTTAGTTGTTGCAGTTGCTGTTGTTACTTTTATTATTTGTGCTGTTGTTGCGCCACTTGTGCGGTCTCCGATGACGCCGTCGAAGAGGCCCATTCAAGCAATCTCTTGGCTAAAAGGCAAACCCAACGGCAATTCAAGCTTTTGAGATAGTATTTAAACCATGTGCCGACCATGCGGCCGCCCAACGGGTGGGTTCATCTGTCGCCTCCGTCTGACTGACACTTGAGCTGCAATTACAGTAAAAGTGTTTTAGCCAACTCAGGTTTCCTTTTCCATTTCCATTTACATTTATGCAATGGTCGCGTCTGTTGCGATCTGCACACAATTAAGTAAATAAGCCTTAAAGCTCATGGGGAATGAAATCGATTCGATGAATACAATAAGGATTTTTATTATATTGCTAACTATTACAATTATTTTCGGTGACTCATATTATGAAATCACAGCCAGGTGAATGTGTGTAATCTGTTGATTACTAATTTGACCATATATCTTGCTATGCAGTACGAAATAGTATTCGAGACCACATCGATAGTTTTCTATTGATTGAGTCGGCATTGAGTATAATTTGTGAATGACGAAACTTTTCCTTCTAATTATACCTCAAAATATTAAGTTAAAATGTAAGTCTTTCAAGGCAATAAAGTAGTTAATCTTATTTATATATTTTCTATTTCCAATGAGTTGTTACCATTTTAATTCATTTATTTGATTAAAAATTTACTTATCCATTAAACATAAATCTACAAAATCAAAATATATATAACTTAACTAGTCTATTACGGCTGTGGCGTCATTTCGTTTCTGCTGAATAGATATTAAGGTTAAAGTTTTTTATTTGACTCAATTCTCATGGTTAATACTAACCCATTTATAAGTGCATATTTATTTTGTATCTCATGGATATCTTGAGTAACAAACTGCCGCACATGAGTCACGGTTCGCAGTGTTGCTCATGTAGTATTAGGCAATGCTGCCATTGCATGCAACAAGTGGATTGGCAAGCAGCGATGCAGCAAATTATAGCTGCAGCCCTTTACCTCTTTAAATTGGCCATAAAAAGTGGTATTCACATGCACTTTACTGTTGTTGACAGGTTACAATGCCTGCGTCTTTGCCTACGGACAGACGGGCTCGGGCAAGACGTTCACCATGATGGGGACGCCGAGCAATCCGGGCCTGATACCGCGCATTTGCGAGGAGCTGTTCACGCGCATGCGCATCGGTCAGGAGTCGGGCACGGGATATCGCACGGAGGCCAGCTACCTGGAGATATACAATGAGCGGGTCAAGGATCTGCTGTCGGCACAGAGCACGGGGCATGCGCTACGAGTGCGCGAACATCGCACCCAGGGGCCCTATGTGGAGAATTTATCGCAGCATGCCGTCTCCGACTTTGAGGAGATACAGGTGAGTGTTTGGCCAATAAATTTAAATGAAAACCCAACTGATGATATTTTTTTGGCAGGAGTGCATTGCTCGTGGAAATGCGCACCGCACCACGGCCAGCACCAACATGAATGACACAAGCAGTCGCAGTCACGCCATCTTCACGATTACCTTTGTGCAGGCCGTCTTCATGAATGACATGCCAAGCGAGACTGTCTCCAAAATACATCTTGTCGACTTGGCTGGCAGGTGCGTTATTAGACCATGAAATTGTCATGTGTCCACTGAACATGATTTTTTCTTTTCGCAGTGAGCGTGCCAATGCAACGGGCGCAACGGGACAGCGGCTGAAGGAGGGCGCCCACATCAATAAATCTCTGGTGACGCTGGGCAGCGTCATCTCAGCACTGGCGGAGCAGTCGAGTGCCGGCAGCGCGCAAGTGTCTTCTTCTTCGCTGGCAACCACACCGAATGGCGGGACGAAGCGTGTGCTCTACATTCCGTATCGGGACTCCATACTCACCTGGCTGCTGAAGGACAGTCTCGGCGGCAACAGCAAGACAATTATGATAGCGGCACTGTCGCCGGCGGATTGCAACTACAGCGAGACGTTGAGCACATTGCGATATGCGAATCGTGCCAAGAATATCATCAACAAACCGACGGTGAATGAGGATGCCAATGTGAAGTTAATACGCGAGCTTCGCGAGGAAATCAACAAGCTTAAGTCGATGTTAACCGGCGATATTGTAAGCAACGCTATATTGTCAGCATTATATATACCTGTTAAATTTGAGTATTACTCTCTTTATTAGCAATCGTTGCAACCCTCGCTGAAAATGCTGGCCGATCTGCAAAAGAAGGAGGCACAGGAGAAAGTCCTCACGGAGGAGTGGACGGAGAAATGGAAGGTCGCCCAGTCCATATTGCAGGAGCAAAAGAGTCTCGGACTACGCAAATCTGGTGTGGGCGTTGTGCTCGACTCAGAAATACCGCATTTGATTGGTATACACAACGATGTGACGACTGGCGTCACCCTGTATAGCCTGAAGGAGGGCGAAACGCGCATTGGGACAGAGGATGCGGAGTTGGCACAGCACATTGAGCTGATGGGCGATGGCATAAGACCACAACACTGCAGCATTGTGCTAAAGGGGGGCGTGGCCACGCTACATCCGTGTTCGCAGGCCCAGTGCTGGGTGAATGCGCATCTCATCGATGAGCCCAAACAGATCTCCCAGGGCGATATCATATTGCTGGGACGCACTAACATTTTCCGCTTCAACAATCCCACCGAGGCAGAGAAACTGCGCAAAGATCTAAATCGCTCGCAGTTGGATATGTCGCGTCTGTCTTTGATTACCTCGTCACGGGAGAATTTGCTCTCGTGCAGCACCTATGTGGACGATGATGCCATGACGGGCAGCACCTCGTCCTCGTCTAAGCGATCTGACCGGCAGTATTATCCACAGCGTCCAATGTCACGCGATGATCCCGAGTTGCAGGATGAAAACCGCAAAATACTAGACACGATTGAGAATGCACTCAAACAACTGAATGTGGTTAGTACAATAAAATATATCTAATTCATCTTTGACTATGACATATTGATAGTAGATGAAAATATATTCAATTGATCATGAGTTAAGCAGATTATCTAATAGTGGTGAATTATTTACAGGAACGCGTTCAGATGCATGATCAGTACAAGACCAAGGTGCGGAAGCTAACCGAGGAACTGAAGCGCCTGGAGCTGGAGAAAATTGATGGCATGGAGGTGTTGAATTGCCGCGAACAGGAGCTGTTTGCCCGCAAGGACATGTTGCTCTGGGAAAAGAATAACGAAAAAGTTCAGGTACGGTCTTCCGATTCAATTAAATGCTGCATGTATCGATTTAGCTACGAATATGTTTATTTCGCATGTGCTTGTTATGTGATTTCGTCTGGCTTGCATTATGATTTTGGTTTCTTTATGGTTTTTTGTTCGTTTGATTTTCGTTTTAGATCGACATTGTGTGTAGACAAATTTCAGCATTTCAAACGCAGCTCGACTCAAAGAAACGCGATTTCTCAGAGTATGTAGCGAAAGAATTACAGGAGCTGCATGATTGTGGCAAACTTGACGAGGTTTGTTCGTTATCTTTTTCAACATCATTTGCGTAGAGCTTAGACTATTCTCAAATAGAACATCAATTAAATTACTTATTTGCTTACCAAGTTATTTGATTGCAATTGCTCCTTTACAGATGGGTGTAAAAATCGAGGAAGGCACTCCGTTAAATGATGAACTACTGCTGCACGTCTCCGAATCGTTGGATTTGTTTGCTGCGCAGTTCATCAAGGATACGGTTCGAAGAAATGTAAGCTCTAACAATTTAATGTTATATCTACCTTATTGACTTAAAAACCCCTTTGCAGAATGAAGAGATACGCAGGCTGGACGAGCAAATCGCCGAGAAGGAGCGCATACTCAATGCCAGCACCACTAAAATAGCTAAAGTCGATGAGACCATGCTGGAAATACAGGGGCAATTGGACCTTTTGCGCCAGGAGCGAGCTGACAGTGAGCAAGAGTCCCAGGCAATGAGAGCCAAAAAGCAGAGCATGCAATTGCAGATGACAAGTGCTAATGATATGGATGATGTGTCCAAATCGGACACCTATGAAACCTGTGATACTTTCCATACGGCGCACTCCGATTTCTCGCTAATGTCATCGCCCACCATCACGGAGGGTCAGCAGTCGCCGCTGAGCAATTGCTCGTGCGAGGCCGATAATGAGGCGGACGACACGCGTAAGGATGACTTATCGGGCAGCAGCGAGGATGCTTCGCGCACATGCACTGCGGGTCCCAGCAGTGGCAGTGGCAGCGGAAGCACTTCTGTTCCACACAGCTCACAGGCAATCATGAGTGACAGCGGTGTCTGCTTGGACAGTCGCAATCAGCAAAGCATGATCCCAAATGGAGCTGGCAGCAACTACAGAAACACTATGCGCACCAGCGATGAGGAGACGGGCTCCTGTTCTTCCTGTGAACTCGGCAGAAGCACAGGCATGATGCGCTCCCATTGCCCATTGCTTGCGCAGCGGCGCAAAATTGCCTCCCGAAAGGCGTTAATTATGAAGAATCTCGAAACGGATCTAAACAGGGCTCATCTCGATGAGCAAATAGCCATTTTGCAAGATCTGCAGCAGACCTACATGCAAATGGAACAGGAAATGCTGCAATCAGTGGAGGATCGTGAGTCGCATGCTCAGTGTTGTGCGGGTGAGCTGGCGTGCTCAGTTAAGCGCTCCAGAGTGATGAGTCCAACCAGCATGGAGGAGTCCACCTCACAAATCTTTTCACCCAGCATGACAAGATCTTGTCCGTCAATGAGCGAGTTTTGTAAGTTGCCGATTACACTAAAAAAAAAATCCTTAAGCTGACTTGTATCTTTTTATTCACTTAGCCGAAGGCGAACACTTTATTACCATACCAAGTTTCGTGATGCGCGGAGCAGGCAAACAAACCCACTATGAGTATGAGGTGCGCATTGCCCTGTCCGATGGCAAACTGAATATTCTGCGTCGCTACAGTCGCTTCCGGGAGCTGCACTTGTGCATGAAGCATTGCTATGGTGCAAAGGTAAGTCTTTTAAGTTTTGTATTAATTCACTATCAGATAATAATTTTATTGATTTCACTCTTGTCTGTAGATCTCTGCATTGCCTTTTCCACGCCGTGAATTATTCGCCTCGAATAGTGAGCCGGTGGCCAAGCATCGTCGCCGTTTGCTGGAGCTCTATTTGCGTCGTCTGTTTGTCGTCTGCTCCAAGATACCGCAGTGTCCAATTTATGAGGGACCGGGGGGACCGGGCCTCACGCGTGCCTCTCTCGGTCAGCTGTCGTCTTTTTTCAAGAAGGGCCTGTTCGAGAACGGAAAGCACGGGACGGGATAATAGTTAACCTACTGCTGAATTATCTCCTGCCTACAGTGTGTCTATTAATATATTTATATTATCTGCTAAGCTATATGAACTACGATATGGACCTGTTTTAAGTAGCTAGCCGAAGAAATTATAATAATGTGTACTCAATCAAATATGTGTAAGATCTTGTATGTTATGTAAGACCACCAGTGTCCTTCCAATCTGTTATATATTCTTCTATAATCAATGTATAGAGCTTTACCTTAAACTAATTGTAAACGGAACTGCCAATGGCATTATAGTATCTTTGTATTCTACATAGAAGAACCAAGTACATACATACAAACATACATATATATATATATGTATATTATCTCATCTCAATGGTTGAGAATTTTTAATAAGCTTTGTTGGTTTGTTCGTTGGTGGCGTATTTTAAAATAGCAAATTTTTCACTAGTTAAATATTGTATACTAATATTGTGTTTATGTGGAACTTCCATAAGTTATTCCAGTTATTCAGTCTGTGATTATCAATTGAAAGTTATATGACAACATCTAAACATCCAAACAAACATAACGTAACTGAACATTTCACGAGTATATACAAATCCAATAAATTAGACGTAGGCTAGCGATAAATATAATTGAACACTGATGGGTCATGGGTAGGCTGATGTTTAGCAGTAGGTGATAAGCAATATATAGCATATAAGTAATCATAAGCTGATCGTCGCAATTACTTTACACTAATTATGAGTACAACTAACAGCAAAAAACATTAAATGTTAATTACATACAAATCTAGGATAAGCGCTTAGCATAATGATAACTGATCGTTGAAGTTGCTCCATTGCAATTACTGAAACAATAATAGTCTAAATGTTTAATAAAAATCATTTCATATGTAAGTATTTAAACAATATGTATCTTTAACATTTGGCGCCAATTGGCGTCTGTTAACTTCTGCGGAGCTTCCAGTAAGCTTTCGTTGTGCTTTTATCATTGTTGCCCTGCTTTGCTTTTGCTTGTTGAGAGAAAGCCCTGCATCTTGAACTGTATTAGAATAATGGTAAAACTGGCCATAGTAACCACCATCTGCAAATGAAGAAATAACAATTATGTGATTTAGGCTAATAGTTTTAGATTAAACTGACACTGCCAAAGCAACTTAGATTAATATCAAAGAAACCGCCGCAAGTGAACCGCAACTTTAAATGTTCAAACTGCAATGAATATTCTCGAAGAGCATTTTTGAGCAGTTGCGGATAAAAGCCGCAGCGAATGCTGTGAATAATACGCTTGAAGCTGTTGTACTAAATGGAAATGTTGTTATTACACACAAGAGAACTGGTCCAAATTCTTGTTGTTGCTTACTGTGCTTATGCAGTTTTGGCTGATCCAGCATGGCAACAGAAGATTAATTAGCAGAACTGTTAAGTGTCCAACACGCCCTGCAATAAAGAAGCATATTAAATGGGAGGTTTTGTCCGTGCCAAATGATAATGAGTTTTATGTCTGATATATATATATATATATGTATATGTCCATAAATCAAATCTGAAGCACTTACAAAAACGACAATTACTGCAATCGTTGGGATTGAGCGATTGAATATACACCCAATTGACGATGTGCAGCATGCTAAAGCAGTTATACAGAAACAGCAGCATCATTGGCAACATAAAGTATACCTCCAGTTCGCCCACAAGCCTCCAAATGCGCGACATTAGCTGCTTATTGCGTCGCAGTGCGGCACACAGTGCCTGGAGCAGAGCACGCCCCTCGCAGACGGTTAGCTCCTGCTTCAGCTGGATGAGCGAGTGGCGCAGACGTAGCAGTAGTTCCCGTACCAGAAGTACAAATAATGTATACTCCACACTTTTCAGCTGCATCACCAGCATTATGAGCTCGGTGAGAATGTTGTCACGCCATTTCATTCCCAGTTGGGACATGGTTGTGCGAGGAAGAGCTAGAAATAGAAAAATCAGCCACAAGCCGACAACGATTGCCAAATGTTTTTGCAAGTAGTAACGCTGCCGCTGACCACCAAAGTATTGGGATGCAGCATCAATATCCAGCTCCAAAGCTGTTATTTCCACATAAATGCGAGCCAGTCTACCAAAATGTATCAGTATGCAGACATGTGTGATGGCCGGCAGGATCGTGTACAAGACTATTTGCAGCAGGCCCATATTGCTCGTGAAATCACCGACTGCCAAAAGTAGAATTTCCGCGTTGAGCATAGTCGTGTTTACATAGGACACATATAGTCCCAGCAGAAGGACACAGCAAGTATAGCAGCCAAAAACAAATATCAATAGTTGCCTCCGGCGATGGTCGGAATTTCGCTCGTAAATGCTGGGCGGTGGCATTAGCGTGAACAGCGAGAAGAGCTGCAAATAAGGACGCGCTGTTGCCAGCAGTTGACCCTCCATGGCAGGCACCAGCAACGTCGTCCACTGACTACTGGCCTAGTCGCAGCTGCTTGCTTTCAATTAGAAATATTTATTACGCATACGCCGCATTTGCCCACTGGCGCGTTGTTTCTGATTAATTAGAAATATATAGATAGGACAGCTGCAACCTGTCAATAGGTAAACTTACACTGAATTAAATAAGTTAAGGCTCTCGAAGCCGTGGTAAAAATATTGTTAGTCTTAAATCTCAAGAAAATAAAATATTTTAAAGAAAGAATTACAAAAACATCAGTTCAGTATGGCATGTAATAAGTTCTTATTGTTATTGATAAAACGTGAAACTGTCAGTGTATGCAGACTAATTTGACTAACTGTACACAGATAGGAGGATCTTGAAATGTTTATACAGCCAATTGTCACATTATGTAAGGTATGTAATTTTCCAATTGCAAGCCAATGTGGGATACGATTGTTATTAGTCATAAAACCGAACATGTCCAGCAATCAGTAATGACGATTTTCCCCCTGTTGCAATGCATCTCTTCTCCGAGTATTTCTACATACGTTTGCAGTAGCAATTGTTCCACTTTCTTGCTTAATTTTCCATTTTATGCACATAATTGCCTGCAATGTGCAAGTTCTCAACAGACACACATACATATGTATATATGTCACACATGTGGGAGTCAAATCAAATGAAAACACCCTCCGACTCGACTAAGGTCCTGCAGGAGCTCGTCTCATTCGCCACCTAATCCCAAGTGCTCACCCGCCAGCCCGTTAGAATTTCACTTAGGCGAACGTCCGCGCGGCAGTGCATTGACAGGATTATGTGTCCTTTTTAATTTCAAACTACTTCAACTCACTTTGTGCACCCGTCGAGCGAGCCATGCTAGTCACCATATAGTATGCATGTGCGAGTGTATGTGTGTGTGTTTGTGTGTGTGTGTGTGTGTGTGCAGGTTTTATTTCATTTTCAAGTGCTCTTCTTTTCAGCTTGATTAAGCACTTTGTGTAACTGGAGCACATGCAGATGTTCCTTGGCCCCCATGTAATATCTCAGCTGCCCAATGGCATTTTTAATTTACTCGACTCGACTCGACTCGGCGCCTGCAAACGTTAGAGTGCAGAGAGAGATACTTTTCCATTTAGAGTTATTATGCCCTCAATAGGCTCATTTTCAATGCAAATTTACTGCTAAAATATTACAATGACTTTGTATTATTTGTTGCCTCCATTCAAGCAGCAAACAATAATTGGAATGAAATAAAATTGAATAATTTTTAACAATCCACCGGAAAGTGGTCGAACACACACACACACACACGCACACGTGTACACATACTAATGTTCACACGTAAACACCCACACTAACTCAGACACACACACACATACGGTGTGGCTGTCAAAAAACCCAATCTCTTCACAGCTAGCACAGATAGTTTTTCTTTTATTGCCTTTTATTGCGCTTATTATAAATACTCTTGGGCATTGTTTAAATTGCTTTCCGTTAACAAAAACTGCCGATATATTTTATTGCAAAGGTAAATAAATTCGCATAAAGGCGTGTAAGCCGACTTCTGCATAGGCGTTTGTGTGAATGTGACTGTCATGTCTGTGTGTAATAAACAAATACATTTTTATTATTTATGTATTCATGGCCATTAAACGGATATCCGTGGCCATTGCGCGTTAAATTGCAATGGACTCCTCACTCCCCCCGCAGAATTCCTGAAGAGGAGCTGGCACATGCCATGTTGGCGCATATATATATATTTATATAGTATATTATATACATATATAGTATGATTATAGTCAACTTTAATATGCATTTCTGTGCCCGAGAGCGTAATGTAGCACTGACATGTTATTAAATTAACGAACATATTAACAAAAATGATGCAACATTTAATTCCATTCCATTATTTTAAAGCTGGCTGTTCACTTGTAAGTTTGCTACAGGTATTTTTCGGGCGGATCAATAAACAGTACATTTATTAAAAACAATTGCAATCACATTTAAAATGAAAAGAGTTTGAAACACAATTTGTTATAAATTCCTTAAGTGTATGTTCATTTAATAAGATTCATAGTACTCAATTTTGATTCTTGTATTGGCTACTTGATTTGCGATCTTATTTACAATTACATTTAGCTGGATTGTCCTTGAAATTGCCGAATTTTTCGATTTTTCTTATTTTTCATTCCATCTTATGTAATTTTGTTGCCTTATTTTGATTACAAGAATATGTATAACTCTGCCAAAGCCATACAGATTTTTAAAACCCATGATGTGTTAGAATCACAACGACATTCTCTGTCAATCTGCATTAAAGTATTATGGGGTCATCTAAAAACCAAAACATTTGTGAAAAATTCCTATATTAATATATCCCGTGATAGAAATGCGTTGCTTAGTGGTTTTAATTTAATTTGCTTAATGGTTCAAATCGATCGGATAGGCATAAGTAGCTTATTATTGAGTGCTATCTTAGATAGGTTATGAGACAAGAACTCTAAATTATCATGAATCATACCACATATTGATTTCCAATGAGTTTCATAAATTTTTATTCATGTAAATCAGGCTGGCTTCTCTTTGGTACTAATGCTATTGTTTTATTGTTATTTTCATTTATTTCAGACTTGTTGCCTTTTTTATTAAAAGCTTTTTTTTTTATATACCATTGTTTTGTACGTTTCAATTAGTTAATTGAGAGCTCAGATTAGCCATGCTTCTTGACTGTCAGCATACAAGTGTACTTGACTTCGCAGAAAATAGAGGGCAAGAAATAGTAATTGTCTGATGTGGATTACACACCCCTCCGACATACACTCACATTTTATTTTCAAGCATAGCACAAGTGCTTGGATACATCGACTTAACTTGGGTAAAAGGGGGACAGGGACAATGTTTAGATTTGCTTGGCTCTAGACCTTGTGTATTAATTCTAATTAAATTTGTTATTCAAAACGAAAATGCGGCACGTCCACGTCAGCCATTTTGCAAGTGTTAACCTTTTGGCAGTCGGCGCTAAGCCCTCGCAAATGGACAAACATTGACGGCGACTATTCGCAGGAGGCAGCAGCCCGAGAGCAACCTTGACATTTTTTATTTATTTATTTTTTTTTATTATTTTTGTTGCCTGTTTTCATTACACTAATGAAGTCATGTGCGTCAGTGTTGACAGTGTGTGTGACAGTGTGTGTGACTGTGTGTAGCTGTGTAGGTGTAGGCGTAGGTGCAGGTGTGTGTGTCCGAGCAGTTTCAGCAGCAGTTTTGTCGAGGTCCAGGCAAACGACAACTGCCAGACACATAAAGGGTGCATGGAAGGAACTGGCAGCGACGCCTCATTAAACCATTTTATTATGCCCAACGTTCACGAAGCGGCCTTAACTTTGTCAAAGGCTCCCAAACACATACACACATTAGCACACACGCACACACAGCGACACAACATGTGTAAATACGCTGTGTGGTACAGCACACAATCATTTAAAAGCTTTAAAACGAGCACATCTCGAATTAGAAGTTGAGCTTTAGAATTGCCAACTAAATTGTAAGACGACAGAAATATTTCAACAGGAATTTACGATGCGCGCACACTAAACGCTCATTTAGCTTGCACTTTTATTTAGAAACTTCGTTTGCACGTTTGCCAAATTGTCTGCGGTAGCGAAAGCCAACAACCGCTGCACAGAGACAACAACAACAAAACCAAGCAGCAGCAGCAGAAAGTAGAACTACAATAAAAACAATGTTTTTGAGGCAAAGTGCAATAATAATGAAGACAGAGGCGTAAATTTTGCTTTGGCTGCAGTTTGCCAAGCGGGAGAGAATGGGAGAGAAACTGGCTGCTGACTGGGTGGGTGAGAGCCAGTGGTGGTGGCTCCTATGGCTACTGGCTTCTATCTCCTGGCTCCTACCAGGTGAGTCATTTTGTCAGCGGAAGGCAGCAACAAATTTTCGTTGCGAAAGCTTTTAGTGAATTTATGGCTACGAATTTCTTCTTGCTCTTGGTACTGTAACTGCTGCGGCCTGCAATGGCCGTTTGTTTATGTCTTGGGTAGGACCACTTCCTGCCACATGCGGCATGCGTTGTGCTACTGTACATAAACTTCAAGCGTAATGCACTCGCTGACCCAACAGCCTTAACTCCGTGTCCATGGTGACTAATTGAATGCTAAAACCTTCAAAGGTTCCACAAAGCATGCGCAATTAATTTTGTAAAATATTCATGGCCGTGTCGTTCACTCAGATGCTCATCCTCCACCGAGACACATCCACCATATGAACATCAGCGGCAATAGATATTGGTCTGGCTTCATTTTTGCTGCCTGGCAGCATCAATTACCTGGTTATTTTCGCAAATTTATACACAACCTTGACGAATTCTGTCAAGTTCCGATGAGTTTTGCGTTTCCTTCGGCGGTTGAATGGAAATTTTATCCTTGCAGCCATTGCTCTTACACAATACGACGCCTCTTGTTTCATGTCTTATTTCCTTCCTCCTCTTCGAAAAAGTTGATTAAAGTTTATTCAAAAACAAATTTAACTTTTAAGTCATCAGCAACAAAAGCAGCAGCAACCAGAAGGTAGCTTAACAATTTCAACACATTGCCACCATCTGTGAAGATCCTTGACAGCTATAACGAACTGCCTAGCCCACATTACCCACTCTACCCAAACAGATAGCCTGCCACTGTGTAATTTTACTACCGCACAAGTCGACATTGCTGCTCCATATGCTTGGCAATTGCACCGAAATGTGATACTTGATTTACCCTGTAGCCACAGAAACAGGTAGACTAATGGGTATTGCACATGAAAGCTCGCAAGTCAGGTACAGACACAAAAATTTTTTAATTTAAATTGCTTAAAGTGATAAATAAAATATTTAATATTAATATTAATAATAACCATATTTTTAAGAAAGTATAATTGTTTGGTCAAACTAATTCAAACACAGCTGATCACTCAATATCAGCTGTCAATTTATCGCGGCTTTGCATAACACTGGTGCAACTTATTCACTTATGTTAACAATACTTGTAATTTAGTAAAACATCGATAGTTCACTATCGAATTAGCCAAAGTTGTTATAAGAACTAGAACAAGCAACGCGCGCACCTTTGTGTAAGAAAAATAAAGTGTTAATTAAAATAGTTAAATACTGCCCAGACTTGAAGTCTCGTGTGTGCATAAAATAGTTAAATACTGCCCAGACTTGAAGTCTCGTGTGTGCATAAAAAACGCTTTGTGCACCGAACAATAATAATTGAAAAATCAAAATTACAATAATCAATTCTTTAATGCATACGTAAGTAAAATATATTTCATTCATGTTTGGCAGGGCATCTTCCAATCGACGAAGCATCCTGGCTTGCTTTTTTATACTGCTACAACTTCTTATTTGTATGAATGAATCTTTTATCAAAAGATATTATCAGGAACATTTCGTTGAGCTGACTGCAAAAGAGAACAGGAAAGGGTTGAGAGCGTGGTGGGACAAGTCACAATTCGTGTTGCATCCACATTCGCGCTGTCTGCCATTGTTTAACTTGCAGTTGGATTGTCGGCCTGCATTTTACCGCATCGCCAGACAACGTCGTCGCCTGTATTTGCATTCAACTTAATTGCGTTTTAAGTAGATTTGCGGTGACATGTGAACACACACACATACATATACGTATATACATATATAAGTATATATATTTATTATATGTATATACTTATATATATTTGTTTTCAGTGACATGGTACATGGTAGACATGGTACAGATGGCGACATAGAATGTTCAGCAACGGTTGTCCATGAA